ATGGAAGATTTGAAGGATGTTAAAAATCCAAACCTTGAATTGTCATCTGATCTCTTCAATTTTGCCCAGCCAAATTTCAAAAAAAAGTAATTTAACGAGGGCCTAGACAAATCCTCAGCCGATTTCGTGAAACCTGAAGTCATCAATAATCATAAGATATTCTTTGTTTGTCACAACAGGTTTATTGAAGACAACGACTGTTTTCACAGCTCTTAGCTGAACATGGGCATATTGTTAATGGAAATACTTGTTCTTCAATATCGTAAGGTGGTTCAGGGTTTAACTTAAAATGTTTAGGATGCTCGTACTCTGATGGTTCTTCCTCAAAGCCTTGTACTGGGGATTGTTCAAGTCTTTTCTTGCTGAGAGGAAGCTGTTTGGTTGATGGACATGGTTGACACTACACGCTGTATTGTTGAGGTAATTTTTCTAGCGATGTTTCCCTCTAAAAATTACAATTACAGTGTTGTAATAGAGTTACAATCTTAGACACATTCGTTTCACGATCATGTAACGATATGCAACACAAGGTAATTTTTTGACGAATTGGTTTGGTTCAGAGGTTGTCTTCCTTATTGAAAAGTGTTTTGGAAAGTCCTCTATTTGCTAAAGCAATATTCCTAGTGTATGCATTGCAGACGTTTGATTTCCATTTACCTGCGTGCATGACCACATCCTACGATTCTCCTTCTTCGGTGAGTTTGGAAGCTGCTCCAATTCTAAGGGAGTGACCTAGAATATTTTCCTTAATGTTAAGGATTTTTCTCACTTTCTTCATGAATTCGCATATGTCGTTTGATGTGAGGAAACGATTGTCGGTAAAGGAGAGGAAAGGACTATTTCTTTCTTTGAAGTTGTGGACTCGGTCTCTGTATGAGGTGATTAATTTCACTGGGCAGTACTTTTGGTTGGGGGCTGGTTCGATTATGATGGGATCTTTATCGAGATTCATCTTGTCGGTTTTGTGACCTGAATTAATTATTGGAATCCAACCCTTCTTTGGTTTGTCCCTGGTAATGTCACACCATTTAATAGAAGCAATGTCTGAGGGACGAAAGAGTGCGCTGAACCCAATGAACATGGTGGTTGCAATCAGGAGTTTTTCAAATTTGTCTTCTCTCATTTCTTAAACCGAAAGAGATGTTTTTGATTGTTCATTTGGTGATCATTAGGGTCATCAATATTGACAAGAGGAGGGTTCAACCCAAAGATGAACCCTATTCAAATACTACTTGAAACTATTAATTTAATTTATAACTAGCGTTTAAAGCAACGCCATGATGACAAGTATTATTGAGATTGCATATCATTGATCTCTAATAAGATTTTCATATGCTCCAAAGCTTCACGAGATAATGTATTGAAAGTGAAAAGAGCTTTTTGTTTGTTCAAAAACACTACCCATTCCAGCTTTGGAAAAGCACTGTTTACAATGTAGAAACATGAATTTTTTCGTTGCTGAAGAAATTCAGCTCTAGTTCTATAACCCTTCGAAGAGCACGAAACTCTATCAATTTTACTCAATAAAAAATGCGCTGTTTTCATATTTTCAATCAACCTGATCAACAAAAAATTCTTGCGTACAACTTATGGAAGAATGAAAAGAACAACCATCAATCGCATCTTGCAAGGATTAAATTCCCACAGAAACACATTGAGCATCACCAGTAACCATATTTATGTTCGGCATTCTACTTCGTCCTTGAAACCGTTGATGAAACATGCTGCTGTTGTTCCGAACAATAACAACAAATTGTTGAATCATCCAGCAACGACATCATTTGGCCAAATACGTTCCTACACCACTACAAATTGGTTGAAGGAAAAAGAAGCATCCAGCAACGAGAGTGGGGAAAGTACTTCAGCACCTTTGTCCTCCGAACCAATCACTCTCAATTTGATGGATTACAAGAAATGGAACGCGCAACAAGTAGCATCACTCATGACTTTTGATGATTATTTGGGTGGTGCTGGTTTGTCGGTTGATGATGTGATGTCTTTGTATGAAGCTGGTTTTGATGGCTCAGCTCTCCACAACATTGTTGAAGATATCATGAATGTGGATGAATATTTTGCTATTGATCGACTGGATAGTATTTACAACAAGAATAGCACTCCACAACTTTCCAATACTTGTCAAACTGTTGTTTCTTGGGTTAATGAAAGAATTGTCTCCGGTCAACAAAAATCACAGAACCTGCTGAAGGAAATAGAACAAGCACGCTATGAGAGGGCAATATATTTTGATTTCGAAAGGTTTTATTCTAACTCACAGTACGAGTTGGCAACCATGTACCCATATAATGTGTTGAAACATGAACAATTTAATGTGTTTGAACAAATATTGCTCGAAAAGACTACTATTCCTCCGGCGAAAATTATGCTTGGCTATCCCAACTTTGATACGCAATATCAGTCTACAAAATTGCCGTTAGTAGATGGTTCATTTGTCAAACATGAACTACCATATTTTACACAATTCCAGTACACTATGGCACAAGAGGATGAGGTATTGAAATTACTAGCTCCTAAAACCAAACGCAGCACATTAATGTTTATGGGTCCATCTGGTACTGGAAAGACATCAGCTTGTGTGCGTTTGTTATGCCACAATCCTGGAATGATTCTAACATGTACATCACCATCAGAGGCAACTAGTGGATTGAAAACTGATTCGTTGATGCTTCAAGCATTTTACTACTTATCGAGCCGAAATATTTTTGAACTTTTTGGCTCAGTAGAACAAGTAGTACTAATGGTATTCATATGTAGATTGATTTATATTTCAAAACTAATTCATCAAGCAAAACAACACCCAACTGTATTTGAAGACTTTGTTCAGAGAGATAAGGATGGAAATATTGCTACAGGCGGAATACTTCCATACCTGGCATATATGCAATCAAATGGCAAAACCGATACCAGTTTGGAAGCTTTACTCTACTCATTGAAATATGTATATTCTTCTCCCTGTGTTTTAAAGGCATTTATTGCAAAATTAGTGAACAAGATAATTCGTTCACTTAATGACAATTCTGCTCTATTTGGAATAGTCAAGAAAATTGAAAATTTTATTGTTGTTATTGATAACGCAAATGTTTATTCAAGGTTTGTATTGCAGTTTTTCTTAAGTGATTCATATTATGTTTTCATTAGCGAAAATACTGGATCGAATAACCTTTCAGAGTTAATAAGTTTGAGTGGTGAGAAGACAGGACTTTTAACCAAGTTTGGACAATGTATTGATACCATACCAGAATTTCATCTATCCATATATTCTGGAACTAATTTTTCTATTGATGAGGGAAAGATCATGCAATCATCTCTCGGTAAGACTGAAGCAAAGATTGATATAGAAAAAATATATGATTTTGGTTTGATTGTACGAGATGATATCATTTCATTTTTAGAAAAACATATCAAAATACCAAACAACGAGAAGAAAGAGATTTTATTCTATTTACATGAACAAGGTTACAAGTATGTCAGAAGAGGATTAATCACATTAGCATTAGAAAAGCTTGCTATAACCAACAACATGATAGATGCTCTTAAATTGTCCGTAGACGAGTTTGTGTTGCAAGCAAAAAAGAATATGGAGCCTTATCTTGATACCTATAACTCAAGTTTGAATCCTCGATTGGTTGTAGAAGAAACAACTCGACAAGGAATTCAAGACGCCATTGTTAAATACGTTACTCATTATCAGTTTCCATTCTTAGGTTCTAAGTTTAAGGTACACAAGGATGACGTTGCTGATGCTTTACTGTATTCTGGATTTTCTGGACCAGAAAGCTCTTATTGGGATCCAACTACAAATTATTTTATATTTTCTGCAAAGGATTTTATTGGGTATGAAATTGGACTAGAAATTCTAAAGAAGATATTTGGGACCGAAGATAGATCAAAATTGACGAAAAAGATTGTTCAAGAAAGGATCAACATGTTACTCCACGAATATCCAAACTGCAACATGGATTTGGAATCAATTGTTATGCTTCGCCTGACAGAGTTGGACGGTACAAAGTTCTCTGAAACTAGTTGTTGGAAATCTCTAATCACCAACCATCCAAACTTAAAAGATCATATATTCAAGTGCAAACATTGTTTAGATTCAAACGGATATGTAGAGTATTGTATTTCAAAACGTGTTATAGATCCAGAGAAGAAGCAGGATGAAAATGGAGAAGAGTTGTTCTGGACACACGTTGCCGAGAAGAAGTGGGATTTATTAGATGGAGTTTTTATTTCTCCATCAAAAGAACACCATAAGGATGTGTTTGGTATTAACATAGTTACCACTTCTACAGGTGTGATCATTCCAATGGGTTTCCAGTTCAAAGTACAATCTGGAACTAAATTTGAATTGAAACCCACCATCGATGAACTCTTTTATCTCGATAATTATGGAATACTGAAATCTAATACCCTCTACAATTTAAATGACTATCATATAGAAGAAACCGCATGACAGGAAGAGGTGTCCAATTGATATACTCAACAATAGCCGAATAATGACTTCAAACCAGAGTATTAAGCTTAGAAGAATTTGTTAGAATTTAGGATATATTTGCTGTCAAAAATAGGACCAAATATTGATGAAACCCACCGTTGAAGCCAAATGAACAATTACAGCAATTTCTTTCAAAAACCATCACTAAAACACAGTCCTGATGACGCGGCTTTTTTAATAACCTTGTTTGTTTTGGAGGTTTTGTTGTAATAAACGGTTTTAAATTTGTCAGCACTAAAATAACATAACAAAAGCCACAATTTATTACAAACTCAACAAGTCCATTTAGTCAGTTCCTGACGAACCATTCATTCATTCTTTGAATCAAAAGTGTTGTTTTGGAGGTGGATAAGGAATTGTCAAGGCGTTCACTTTTCCATGATCAGTTCGGAAGAAAAGAATGAATCAAGATATTCAAATTGATAGAGTTTCAATTGAAAGAGTCGTTCAATACTGATAAAGTTTCAACTCTTGTTGAGGTTTTCAAAAAAAAACTTAACAACCTTAATCTCAACGAATGAAGAGAAGTAGAGAGGATGAACCCACTCATCCTCCTGGAGCTTCAGTACGATTCCATTATTATTAAGAACAAGTTGAACCATTATTATTTATGTATTCCACAAGTTCTGGATATTAGGAGTAAGAACATTTCAGACCACCTTTGATTTGAATGGTTATTCAACCAAATGGGGCTCAGGAGGTGCCGAAAGAATTGGTAGATTGTGTTGCGCGTATGACAAGTTGCAACCGAAATGGTCTCAATCAGAAGTCAGACGTTGCAAAAGATACAAGGACAAGAGAGCAGGAAGAAGAATTTAACAAAAGATTAGAAATATTGTGGATGATCTACACAAGAAACTGTGTTTGTGGCTGTGTCGAAACTACCAAGTGATCTTACTTCCTTCGTTTGAGACTCAGAAAATGGTAAAGAAACTCCATATGAGAATTAATAGCAAGACAGCAAGAAGTATTGTTGACTTGGTCACATTATAGATTCAAGCAAAGATTGCTTCACAAAGCTAGAGAGCATCTGTGGACACACATTTATATTGTCAACGAAGTGTATTCATCCAAAACTTGGACATATTTATACGGTTGGATCATCTGAAGTGTTTCGTTGTCCATCATTTGGCTCAATTTTTGACAGAGATATCAATGGAGCAAGAAATATTCTTCTTCGATCCCTTACTACTCATAGAATTAGTTTTTGAGCACCTTGTGTGTTGGGTCTTCCCCACCTTGTGTGCGTTGGGTCCTTTCCGCTGGCTTTCACTCTTTGAGTGTTTGCTTGCAAGATCAGCACGTTGTTCGATTTGTTTGTTTTGTTCAAATTGTTGATTTAAATAAAGGCGTTAAATTATCCTTTTTATGAGTGAGGTTTGCCATGACGTTTAACGCTTAATGGTGTCATCCCATGTTGGGACTGATGCATGATGTTTGTAGCATCTAGTTGTATTTACTCTTGCTGTATTACAGGTTAGAAAGTAATGTGATTCTTATTTATTCAACTATTAGACATGCCTATGTACACACGGGGAAGAATAAATAATCAGTTTTACCAACCATCTTTCTGTTGATTTACCCAGTTACAAGAATGCAGTATGGAGAAATAATATTAAGGCCCTCCTTGCTTTCCCAGCTTCTCTCGCGATTTTGAAATTCAGGCATGACAGCACTCTACTCCACGGAATCTGTTACACTACTCAAGTTGTTACGGTTAGCACCATTTATATAATTGTGAAACTCTATCATTTACTTTGGTCTTTACATTGACAGCGCAGGGATATCCCTAATCCACGTCATGATGAGATTCAAATGATTGGTAATGGTCAGAACATATTCTTCTTCGGAACACAATAAGACTGCTCTGGATAGGATTACATGGAAATATTATTCAGGGATTTATTGTAGTGTTTACAGTCGTATTTTCTTTCTCTTGTGAAACTGTTGCTGTTGTTGGAAACTCTTGCTTGGAATCGAGAATTTTTTGTTCAATCAAATCAAGATGGAGTGAAAGCTGTTCGATTGTGGATGATTCGCATCGTTGTTCCATGGCAAGATAAATGTTGTGAACAAGAATGTTTTTCATATTGTCGAGTAGCTTATGAAGACCGTGAATGAAGGCAAGGTTGTATCCATTGAGAGAGTCATTGGATTTCACAGAGTCGTTGAGTTTGGCAAGCTCATCAGGCCTCATTGTAATTAAGCGAATATCACTCTTGGCAATTTCTGTGGCTTCATCAACATCACCCTTTGCGATCGCTTTACGGAACGATTCAAAATTGTGCAGAGGGAAATATAACTCTTCAGAAAGTTTTAAATGCACGTTTCGCTCCAAATAGTTCTTTACCTTATTTCTGATGACCACATCATTGGTCATACGAGGTGAAATTCTTTTACCTGTTACTGGAGAAACAATCTCTACCTTTTTTCCACACCACTTTTTGAACACTTCTCTTTCATAAGTTATATTATCCACTGCTACTACTGGATCAAAGAAAATACACATGGATATTGGACATGTCAAAACTGAAACATCAATGCCTTCTTCTGTGTGTTCAGAAATGGAAATTAAGTTGGGACTTGATGTTGGAGAACATGTTGTTGGCAGTTCAAAGAAATCACCACCACACAATACTCTCTTGTCGCTAGGGTTGTGAAGAGGCCACCTTGCCCAAACAGCATTTTCAGGGATTGGACCTGACCAATTATATTTGGCTCTCAGGTGAGAATTTGAATCGAGAGCATTTCTGTCAATTAGTTCAAATATTCTTCCCTTGTAATTTACAATCACTGAGAACGTGTCTTCATGAAACAAAATTTTCAAACGCATGGATTCAATAGTATGCAATTTCTCAATACCTTCTTGACTTAAACCCAAATCGGAGTACAGATTCAAGAATTCTCGAATATCTTCCAGCTTTTTAGTGTTTCCCGAAGATTTAGAATGATTTAATAGCTCGCTATATTTCATTCCTTTGAGCGATTGATATAGCGGAGTGTTCTCGGCAATGATAGTACCGTGGACAAAATAGATCTTAACCCAATCAACGAGCTTTTCAATTGAATCATTCTCAATGCTGTTGATTTCACCTGTAACTCGGAAATCAACTGTTTGTGTATTGTACAATCGGTTGAGGAGACTCTTAATCTTACATGATTTAAGTTTTGGCTGCCATTTGAATAGATTGAATACATGAGCTGCATTCGAATGTTTCAGGAAAATGAACACTTACGTTGAAGTCAAGGAATGCCTTTTCTAAGCACTGTAAAAGTTTCTCAAGACTTATTTCTGTACAATTAGGTGGGACGTCCATTGTGGCTCCTCTAAGCGTAATCAGATTGACTAAAAAGGTAAATCGATTGTTTTGGTTCTATACCAACAAGGCCACTACTACTTACATAACGACAGAAGAAGAGAGTTGTTTCTCTCATTCCCTCTATTACTACTCAACAGTATTGATGTATTTCTTGTTCCGATGATAGTTTTCTTAAGTATGAAGATTGGCTCCTTGTTGGAGGAATTAATGTTGTTGAGACCACTGCTCACAACAATATCGTTGCTATCCCGAATAGAGGTCTGGGGTTGTTGGGGATCTTGGGATAGAATACTTGGTGAGTTGGAAACCATCTTTTCCTCAGACGGACTCGTAACGGATTCTTCAGCATTAGTTGGATGGCAATTCTTTCCTTCGTGAGTTGAGCTTTTAATATTTTCAGAAGAATATGTAGCCTTCCTTACTTGCTCATTAGATTCTCTAAGATCGGTAGAATGATATGCTTCATCCTCAAAGGATGTGGTTGAATGAAAGAAAATTGAAGAGACCATTGTCAGCTTCATTTTTTTGAGGCTTGTTTTCAGTTTTTCGCTGAATGGCATGTTGGTTGTACAGTGTGTTTCAATGAATAAGCAATGATGTTGAATGGAGGGTATGAAGAAGGTGATGATGCTATTTTGTTAAGTAATTGATTTATGAAAATGTTATAAAGAAAAAATTCTGATTTGTGCGGAATGTTAAAATGTCAAACTTCCAGATACGGAAATTATTGTTTTTGGCAAGAACGTTGGAAATGAACGTGTCTTGTCAAACAGTAATAACACTTTGGATGGCGGAGAGATACCTGCAATAGGTGACGGTAAATCAATGGCAATGTCATTTAAAAACAAGAGATTTATTAAAATTTAGTAACCTAGATGAGACTCGTAAACGTACCAAGGCATGTCTCAATTAAATCTGAAGATGGAAACTTTGGGGTCATTAATCTTTTTTGTAAATCATAAAACGATCTTGTTGATAGAAAAGCTTGGATAATTCTGTATACTCTCTTTGATTGGGAGGTTCAAAATTAGAAACATTGTGCTGCGTTTTCGAATAAAGCAGAATCTTGTCGGTATAGTCGAAAAGCTTGTCCTTGCCTCTGAGTTGAATAAAGAATTTGATGTGTCCAATATGAGAGAATTGATTCTGTAGATTAAGTTTTCTAAGGTTTTCTCTAATCTTGGAAATTTTCACTTTGTCACCATCGCTTCGTAGGATCTTAAAAGTTGCAATCAAATCAGAATCTTTAACCTTGTCCACAGTTGATGTATTTACAAAAATACACATATGAAGGCAGTCATCAGCTTTTCTAAATTTGATAATTTCATCCCAAGCAATGTCCATGAAAATTCTCTTTCCATTGGCTTTTAGCTGTCTGGTGCCATGACCATCACATCCTCCGTCATAATAATAAATATGTGCCAACTTGTTCAGTGTTATTGGCTTACCACCATTTTCATCAGCGCTAGAAGAAGTGGATGACGACCCTACAGCAGAAGAAAAAGGCACAGATGCATCAGAGCCTGGAAGATTGGCCAATGAGTTCTCAATTTGTTGATACATCTCTCTAGTTGGGTCAACATTGTTTGTCTTAGGAGGAAGCGATGGAGCCAGGCCCTCAATAGGTTGAATAATTTGATTTTTTGACGGCGTCTTACTTTCAGTTGTTTGTTGTGTCGTAGATGAGGTGCTGGTGTCACTAGATACAGATGCTGCACGCATCATGGCTTGCTGCTGTTCCAGCATGACAATGTTAAACTTTTTCTTTTTCGAGGTGGCCATAACGGGTTGTGTTGGGAATGGAAAATCAACTCGTTTTCGCTTTTTCAGCTCGGTCAACTCTGCCATTGCAGCAGAGAGTTCTCGCTGTATTCGTTCATATTCCTTAAGTAGCTTGTTGTGCTTCTTCCTTAGCTCTGTATAGGGTGATGGCTTTTGATAAGTTACAATACCTTCTTCCTCTTCAGCTGCGCTGTTGGAAGAGCTGTCATCGGATGCTTCTCCCGATTCGCCACCCTCAGATTCTTCCTCCGAACTATCCTCGGAAGTATCCATTTGTTGTGGTTGTGGTGGCTGTTGTTGAGGAATCGGATGAGGTGGAAGTGCATACGGTATTCCCTCCATATTCATCGAATGACTAGGATACATTGGAGTAAATCCATAGGGTGGATATGCATAGGGTGGGTAGAGTGGTGGTGGAGGAGGTGCATTGGCACCATTCACAATCGGTGTGGAACCGGTGTGAGGAGGAGGTGGTGTATGGAATGGATTGTAAAATTGCACGGCCGTGGGAGGTCCACCTTGAGCAATGATTGTGGCACTCGAAGGATGATGAGCATGATGATGGAACACAGTCGTGGTTGGGGTGCCAAGAGGGAGATTATTGGTGCTGTTCGAGTGTTGTTTGTGGGTTGCGCTCGAGACCAGAGTACCCAAGACTTGATGACTACCTGATTGTGTTACCGCTTCTTTCATCATCACGTGAGATGGGTTACCTGCAATGGCTTGATGGACGACGGGTGTTGTCTGGAAGGGTTGATGGGTGAGAGGGGCAGAGTTTGCTGATGAGGGTTGCTGCGTCTTTTTGGGAGTTGTTGTCAAACCTGATGAGGTTGTAGAGGACTGTTGATGATCACCATGATTGGGTGAAGAGGATGATGATGAAGAGGCTGTTTCACGAGACTCTACCACAGAGGAAGTTGGAGATTTTGCAACAGCATTGTTCGACGTCGATGAAACAGATGCATCCGTTATTGATGCTGATGCTTCAGTGTTGTCCTTGGCCGTTTCATTCTTTTCATCATCTATCTGAATAAAAAGATTAGATGTGGCACCACCACTGGTCAGAGACTCTTCCAAATTTCGTTTGGAATTCTCATCGTTCGTTTCGATGTCGTTGGATGATTTCTTGGTACTTTTAGGCATGGTAAATGTAGTAGTGAGGGATTGGGACTTTCTTGCTCGTATGATCGCACACGACGTTAAATTGTGAGAGGGCTCGTAACGATTGGTTTCAATTTCGAACGTTCAGACTGGATGGAATTGAGAACACGACTACAGGAATGCTTTATGCAAAAAATTATGCGTTTTTTTTGTTGAATTCTGGGTTGAATTGATGCGATGGGAATGCCTGATTCCTTTATTGAAACCCCAAAGCACGGGAATCCCGAAAAGCGATGGAGAGAGACAAAGAATTGGAAAAGAACCAAGAATTCATCAACTCTCAGTCAATTTTTCTACTTTGACATGAGAATGTGAATTCATGACGCCTTGTTTTGAATTAAATTACAATGTCATGTGCTTGACGTGAGCGTGATCGTTAGAAATTGACACATATTTCCCTGTTCATGGAGCAAAATTTTTGTAACCCACTCTACAGTTTTATTTTGGGATCATTTCCTCATGCTTCAATCAATTCAGTGAATAAATTGATTCGTTGTATTCCAATACCACGGTTGAACAAATACATGGAGAGTAAAGTAAATTCCAAACATTGCAATACAAAGTGTGAGGAAGAAACAATATGAATGCGAGATAAATTGGCACTATTTCAGTTCTGATCTCACCTGAAGAGCTAGAACATGAATTGATTGTGAACTATTGCAACCGAATCTCTCTCGCAAGTTCACTCCTTCAATACAACTTTCGAGCGGTTGTGAGATACAGAAATCATTGGCTCAAGAAAAAAAAGTTCATCCTTCGATTTGGAGGTGGTAATTGTGTTTGTTTTGCTCCTTTTAGGATCTTCGAGATCATCTCAATAGCTCAGTTAGAATGGGATCCGCTTGCGCCACTCAGAGGTCTACTCAACATGTCGAAGAGCCTCAATCCTTTGGATCAGACTTGAAAAAATCAAAGGCTCACCGTCAAAGTCCATCGCAGCAGCAGCCCTATGAAACAGAGTCCGTGGATATGAAGGAGCCAGCGGGAGCATCATGTACTTCTGTTGCCGTGACTCCGTTAGTGGAAAATGGCGACGAAGCGAATGGCATTAAGGTTACTATGCAGCCTGGACAGAGCTTTGCTGCTATCGGAATGCAACAAAACTCTTCAACAGTTGTGTGTGGAGACTCAATTACCCACTCATCGAAGCAGATAAAAAACCCTTCGCCGCCCATGACAAGAAAAAATTCGGAGAACGTAACAAGCCAAACCAACCCAGCAAAAACAAAATCGTTGAATTCAAAATACATAATTCATGATGAGCAGATTAAAAGAGAATGGGGCCAATTTTTGAATGGAAATACATCACGGAAAATCAATAATGATCAGGAGGTTTTTAGTGAGATTAGTTTTGAGCCATTGGAGAGTACCGTTGAGCCAATAGCCGTTCCCGATGACGTCAATTACTCACAAATTGTTAAAATATTTATCAAAGGATATTTAAATCCTATTGCAAGTATTCTTCAAGTTGAAAAAGAGGTTGATGGATCTACAGATACAACTTATGTATTTCAAAATTTACAAATATTGAAAGAGGTGGAGAAGGACAAAAGATTGTTTGCCGTTTTATCTGACACACTACCGAGCTCAGTCTCAAAACAATTTTCCAATCTGAAAAATATTGTTACCTCACTTTCGGTAAACACCACAGCTGAGTTTGAAGCTTTGATTGAGAAAACTGAAACATGTCTTGAACAAATAGAAAACGGAGAGGAGCTTGTTAACTTTGAAGGAAGTACTTATATGTGGACAAACTTGGGCGTTCCTTTGTTGCATTTTGCAGTGAGTCAAAATAATTTCTCTGCAGTCGACATATTATTGATGGGAGGCGCCCAAGTTGGTCAACGAGATATTCATGGTAGGACTGCTCTGTATTATGTAAAAAGCGTTGACATGTTTAAGAAATTGAGCGAGTTTATTTCTAATGAAGATCTGCAGAAAGCCTCCTTTTCCGGAGAGTTGGTGTCGCATGTCTTGTGTGAAATGTATAGCCATAACAAAGATTTAGCTAAATCATTGCTACATGAATTGACATCTTTCACTACCGACTCTTCAACAAAAGAAATCCTATTCTGGAAATTGGATTGTCATGACAACACTGCAATATCAATACTACAGAGAGGTATTTATACCAAAGCAAAACGAATGTCAAAGCATGATCAATTTAAATTCCTTAACGAGGAGCTGAGATGGCAAATCGAGAGAGGTGTGACGAATTTTAAAACTCTCAATAGTAATATTTCTTCAGAGACCAAAATAAGTTTGTTGTCGAACGCTTTATTGGAAGAAAATATTGAGCTTGCTTACTACTTACTTGAAAATATCCACATTGATTTAGATATCTCATCTCTAGTTTCTTGCATTAAGAGCGTTCATGTAGCAAAAATGGTATTTCAATTTTATCCAGAAGCCTTCTATCGTAAACAAAACACTGAGAGACAGGAGTTGAGCGATCTCTCAAGGATCATTTTGAATATGAGATCAGGTAACATTCCTCTAATTTCTTTCTTAATAGAAAAGCTTGAATACAATCTAATCTCCATGGAAATCAAGCTACTAATTGAGTTGACTGTACAAGGAGCATGTGTGGAGCTCTTTGAACTCATTAAGAAAGCTATTCAATTTTCATCTTGCTCGGAGCTGATAGGCCCCTCTTTCGGATACACAATGTCTCCATTCGAATATACCCTTTCGCTCAACAGAGCATTTTGTCATGTCACGGAAATAGAGCAAATGATATGGACCAAAGTTAAACATGACCAGAACGAAACGAACACAATACTATTGAAAAACTCATGTGGTCACCTTCTATCTCAATGCTTAAATGCCAGAAAATTTGACACATTTAAGGATATATTATCACATCTATTGATGAATGGGCTTTGCGCTGAGAATATGAGATTCAGTTTGGTAACGGAAAGCAAATCTATTCGCCTTAATCTTAGACAAATTGACCTTATTTATAACTCACTGGCTTCACTCATTCGCACTTCAGACGACTTGACTCAAGACCTTACCGACGAATTTTTACAACTAGCTTCCAAATTGTCTTCAATCGATGATACAGATCCGCCAATATTGTCAATATTACTTTGCCTTTTTATGAAGAAAGCAGACATGGGAGTTACTCTTAACATTTTATCTCATAATTACAGTTATTTGGTAACTACTTTCGATGGCCAAGTGCCTTTAATCACTGCAGAAAACAAGGAACAGGTATTGAATTGGATTAGCAACATAAGGGATGAGTCATGTCTCAGAAATTACCTTGTCAAACCTTACAGTACCAATGACAAAGTGTCATGGAATTCTCAATTTTGCTTGGATTTGCCAAAGTTACGTAGCTTTGTTATACAAGGTCTATTAGCCGATGATTATTCGTTTGTAGAAAAAGTTAGCTATGAGGCACAAAGCTTATTAGATCAAATGTACGAAATGATTTCCTTGCTTGCGTCTGAATCAAGCGATCTCGTGAAAGAACAATTCAAAACTATTGCTCTTAAGCAACTTCAAACGATTGAACACTTTGATCCACCTATTGACATTGTGTCTCAACTGATGGTACAAATGACGAAAGATTGTCTCGGTGCTGCACCCAACTATTCCGTATTAGACAACGTTCGATCTGAGCAAGAAATGTATGACTGTTTGGTAGCATATTTGAAATACAGCAAGCTACTACCCTCACTTCCAATTTCCAAGCTGTCGCATCATTTACACCAAGTCGAAATCACTAGCAGAATAGTCAAGTTCCTATTTACACATGATTACTTTAAAGAGATAACTGAAGCCTTGATTCATGCAATGCCATTTGAAGAGAAGCTCAAGTGTACTTCGTTTTTCTTTTCCATTAATTCGTTTAATGGAGACAAAATGGGCCATGTCGAAAGAATACTGGCAATTATTTGTGCTGTTGGCAGAAATTCAGACGACGAGGTATTGCAATTATTGGTTATGGCCATCAAGAAGTCCAATGCTAAATTTGTGAAACAACTAATTTCTCAATTAGAGGAGGCAGCACAAACGTTCGAAAACGTCAAGGACTTTATTCGAGAACCCCTATTCGCCTCATTAAGAAGTGGCTGTGATTGTATCTTACCAAGCCTTATTTCAAGCGTATGTCCATTATCCGAATTGGTGGGCATGAAAAACGATGCAGGAGAATCTTTGATGCATGCTGTATGCTTTGGAGGATGCATCAAAACCCTGACGCTTATTCAAGAATCAGTACATGAAAGCAAATTTGCATCATTGCTTTTTGACTCATCCTTCCAAACAAAAGTTGAACAAAACACAGAAGATGAAGAAGATGGTGATCAGATTTTCTATACTGCCCAATATTTTGCTTATTGCTCTGGAAAACAACACAGTAGAACAACAATGTTTGAACTCATTAGAGAAATGTGGAAAAAGAGCCTCATTCCAGCTCCCGAATATATTGGAGACTGGACAAGAAATATTGGAAACATACCCTCTTTCCTCATGCATTTCCAAAATAGTCCTAACAAGCCTCTTATTAACACTAACGAGCAACAAAATTATTTGTACTTAATGGATACAGCACTGTGGATGCAATATCTTATTGATAACGAGTCAAAATTCAAAGACAACGATTCGTTTTTACGGTTTTATGTTTATCACTTTATTTTGAGACAGTCGGGAGGAGAAATCAATCAAGATACATTGCTCTATCATGCTCCAAGATCTGTTGCTCCAAGACATTTGTGGTCACCCTTTTTTGAAACATTGTTCAGAATTGCTAATGTCGAGAATGGAGACTTGACAAAGTTTTTCATCATGTACATTAGATACGGCAAGAGAGCACTTCATGAAGATGAAATTCTTCATGCTCTTGACATTCTGTACTCGAGACTTAGCTCTGCCAAGAACCATGAATGTACTTCTTCTGCCATTCTCCAAATTCTGTCAGATGGCTTCGAAGAAAAAGACGACTTGCTCATGGATACCATGTTCAAACGAAGATCCAAAATGATGAAACTGTTTGTAAAAATTATATCCGAAACAAACAACTTGAAGGACAAGCTTTGGACTCTTATGGGATCACACATTGAGGAATCTGTTAGACTCGTACATCCAAAGATCGAAAACAACGCAGCTCAGCAATTGATTTCATTGTTTGATCTTAACGTACAGCCAGGATCTGATGTTGTGGAGCTTTGTCAAGCGACAAGTGGCGACCGTCTCAACCACTCTGACGAAATGATTGCAATAAGATCATCGATGGGGGTCGTTGGACGGGATTGGTCCTTGAGCAACGCCTTGAAACAAGCATCTGCTTACCTTAATGTCGACATTATTGAATATCAGCCTGCTTTGAGCACTTTCTGTGAAGAGAAGGCATATATCCTCACTGGCACTGTCACTCTACACGGCATTGAACAGATATTGCAAAATATTAGGGAGCAAGATATTGAAATTCAAAAAGTCTCCATTTCGGTGCTTTCTAACATGAGTGATCACTCATTAGCTTCAACGATCCAAGACAAAACCCTCCAAGTACAGATTTGTCTTGAGAAAGATACATTGTTGTGCTCAGAATGGGATTGCAAAGCGCCTCAGCAACACTAAATGAGTAAACTAGTTGTTTAAATATTGACATGTCTATCCAATATTCATTAACAAAATTTAAAGTTCTCTGTCCTAACCAAAGAAGAAAAAATGCAATTCGGTCTTTTGTTCTACCAAACAGCCTTGTGGTTGGGCTTTCACATAGACGGCAAGACCTTTACCATCGCACCCATGTTAGAAGACCAAGCAAACTTTAAGCTGATTGAAATTCCAAATCCATCATCTCGGTTTATCATGTTGGAAGAGGTTCAACTCTCACCTAACGATTTGAAAATAATATCGAATAATAATAATTCTATCACTCCATCATCATCGGAACAGCAACAACAGAAATTTGAAATATTATTACAGCATTTCAACGAGTATTACAAACAACATGAGCAAGAATTTATGAATTGTTTAATTGATATTTGGGAACAGGATCATTGTTCCAACACAACTTTATCATTTTCTGAAATATTACACAAATTCCTACCACTGTCTCCACACAATGAACATTATTCGGAATTGGATAAAGCCATTCGAAAGTTTGTGCTGTATTGCTGTATTAATAGCTTATCAAACTATGAAAAAATCAAGCACAAGGAAATTACATTTAGGCTTGTATCAGCAGATGAGCTCCTTGAAAACAGGTTAAAAATGAAATTTAAACATCAAATGGAGCTGTTCTCAAAAGAGGTATTTCATGTTGAATTGAATGATGAAGAGTCCATCATTCTAAAGACTCGTCTTCTCGATTGTCTAATTTTTCAATCACATAGTATATACTGGAACGATATTTGTAAATATCCTTCAAAGGCCAAGAGTTTGGAAGCCAGAATTCGAAAATGGTTAGATCTTTTAGGAACAAAGTTGAGCTTTCCAGAAGCTCTCATCCTCAAATCAAATGTTTTTCCAAAGCATCTTGTTCCTACATTGATCAAATGTATTTTAAATCAGATAGATAAGAAAGTGTTGCATACGATGATGGAGGATCAATCACAATTTCTGGAATACAAGGATCTTGTTAAGAATTGGGATATCAATACCTCAAGTTGGAAATTCTATGACAATGTGATCACCATTGACTCAGAAGGCACTATGGATATAGATGATGCCATTTCTATTGAAAGTTATGAAACTAATTCAATGCGTGTGGCCATACATATTACCAATGTTGCACATTTCTTTTATTCATATTTAGGAAATAATTCTCTTCAAGACATGTTGAAAGATCCTATTTTCAAGGAGGCAGCACGAAAAGTTACCTCGTATTATGACAGTCTCCCACGATCGTCCGTTCTCTTCAGAAATCCAGACGAACTCGATCAAGATGCAAGACATTTAACAGTCTTTCCCATGTTGTATCCTTCCCTTTCTGAAAATATTCTATCTCTAAAGACTGGAAAACGTCTAACCATGACCTATGAATTTGAATTTAATGATTTTGATTCTCAGCCCAAATTGTTAGGAATTTATCCCTCTTGTGTGAATATTATTGAAAATACAACCTACGAACAAGCAGAAGCATTATTTGAAAAAGATGAAAAGTGGAACAAGTTATTTTCATATTGCAGAGCTCTGTATGAGAGGAGAATTCAGAATGGAGCACCCTCTTTTGAAAATAGAAAATGCTTAACTCCAGAGCCTTCAAATAACACCACAGCAAGATTGTCCATTTCTGAGAGAAGAGGCTTAAAATCTTCACTCGTCATTAGTGAAAGCGCAGTGCTCATAGGGTCCATTGTTGGAGAGTATTTTAAAGCGCACAACATTCCTGGCATTACTCGAAATTTTGATTCACGCAAAAAGATAAGCTTAACATCTGTGTGTAACAAAGACACTCCGAGTCCTTATTTGCAACAAACAAGTCCAGTGAGAAGATTCATTGATTTATTGAATCAACTACAGCTGTATTTATTTTTGACTCAACAAACAATGCTTTCTGTTAAGCAACTGGAGGAACATTGTGATAGAATTGAATCAGAATCTACCAAAGCTCAAGAAGTAGAGGATCATATTATCATGTATTGGTTTCTATGCTATTTGTGGGAACATTATGGCCCATCATCGTCAAAGAGTTCTACCGTTGATGAAAGGAACTGCAAGGCGTTGAAAGGAACAGTCGGTAGATTTGTCAGTGCATTCACCAAGATTATACTCAATGACGAGCAGTTTTGCTCGTTCTCCATCCATTGTGCGAATCTACACTACTTGTTAGGTGGAAAATATTGTGTAGAGGGACTGCCAATCAATTTTGTAATTGAATCCATTGATTGGGAATTACTGACAGTGAGTATTCGTGTTGTTGAAGAAGGGGAACAACATGAGCAATTATAGACGCACTCATTACGAATGCAAAGTGGCTATTTCCATTTCTGTGTCGATTGGCACACTTTCCATGTTTACACAAAATATATATTTAGAAAAACATGGTTTGGAAATTTTTCAAGTTGGTAGTAGCTATTTGCGTTCTGCACACCTGTGTACTGCACCATGATGAGAAAAATTCCACTCTCTCATAATATACTATACTTTCAATACTATTCATTTGCAACAAGGAGCAAGCTTGTCAGTCATTCAACATTTTACATTCCACATTCATCATTATTCGAATCACCATAGAGACCAAGCAACATGATTGGAAATTCAACTCTCTCCAATTCAGGTGAGGAACAACAACAACAACAACACCAGAAAAAGCTTCCAAGAATTGCCTCCATTCCAGACGATGATATTTTCCTCTCCGATGTGTATATGGTTCTGTTCAAGAATGGCCTTTATTCAAATGCAACAGTCATGATCAATAATATAACATATAGGGTTCATAAGGAAATTGTTTCACACACAAGTGGACTTTTTGCGTCCTACTTTTATTCAGGGTTTGATATTCAGAGTCATCATAATATTGAAGTGAAAGATTTGGATGACAAGATTGCTTCTCCTGAAATTATTGATACCGTTTTTAAGATCTTGTACAATAGTTATGCATCGATCAAGAATTCTTCATCTGATCATCAACACCTTGACGCGAATAGTAGTGATACACATAACAATGAAAATAGCACCACGACGGACAACTCTTCTTCTTGTAATGATAGTGACAGTACGGTCAACAGCTCTAGCCAGTCCAAAGGCTCTTCGTCAAATACTACTTTTAAATTGGTAGATCCGATCACTCGTGAGAACCTTTTGGAACGATTGAATATCCATTACATTTTGAGGTTCTTTTGCTTTAACTTTATTGATGAGTATGACATTCCATTGAATGTTTTTAAGGAGAATTTTAATGTACTCTTTGAAAGAATTAGTGGGATCTATGATACCATTTACAAACATCGAAAAGGAGACTGGAAAAGTAATATACCCACTCGGGACACGACAGAATCAGTGGAATTATTAAATCAATTCTTGACGATATTCCGAGGTAAAACTAAGGACAAATTACTACAATGGGACACCAAAGTTATTCTCTACAATGGTTTGAGATATAACATTCAGGATAATGAATTTTGGCTTACCTATTTATATGTGAATGTGACCGCACCATTTTTTGGATTGAATGCCTTTATTTATCCAAGTGAAGCAAAACATCATCAACATTATCATTATCCCATACGTTTACCACTCATACGTAAAGTGAAGAAAATACCAAACTTGAACTTAAATTGCTTGAGGAATCTGTTGGTCATTGATGAACATTTGCTCTTCCTGGCCATGCTGATCGACTTTGAGGGAGAAGTACTCAAACATTATAATGAGATATTCGAATGTCCATTATCGAGTAATACTCACACGCTACAAGATTCATTGAGTAAGATGGGTGATTTGAGTCATGAAGAGAAACTTAAGGCTGCAGAGACAAGTTTTGTGACGCAGTGTCAACTCATGTTTCCTCATCAAATATCTCATTACATTCTCTCCCTCTTCTTCACTTCGAATGCTCTTTATCAGTCGAAATTATTTGCTCCTCAACCCAATGCCTCCACACCCTAAGTGTTAGTCATCATTGGGATGTAGTTGGTTCTATCAATAAATGATGTTCACCTTTCCATCAATACTTTGCAGTAAACTTAACATTCTTTAATTAACATACCATGTCAGCGAATCAGGAGCTGGTTCCTTTGGGATGACCGCTGAATGCCTTCTCTATTAATGACGATGTTCAGGTTACCGTAACACAACTTTCAAACAATTTATTTACAACGGTCCTTACTGATTTGTTGGTCAATCTACAAATTGGTGTAAGAATATTTCTTTCTTCTTTTCACACAACAAAAAGCAATCCATCCAATCAAAGCAACAATCACTACAAGTAGAATTGCACCACCGACAACAGGAACTGCAATCATCCACCACTCAACATTTGGTCCTGAATAAGCAACAATGGCAATAATGACATTGTTGGGCAATGTCGAACTGTCACAAGTCAATTGGTTGTTTTGCACTGTTGCTGTGGTTACTTTTCTAAACGATGAAGAGGAAGCAGATACAACACAAGTAATCGAGTTCAAATTAACCTGAACATCTTTTCCATGTACATCCTTCATTTGTCCATCCATTAAATCATACACCAATGAACTCGAATCAGTATTCAAAGATGAAAAATTACTATTCTTGGTCAAGTAAAAACCATCTAACACAATATATGAACCACCATCTACGACAAGAGTATTTCCTTCAAAATTCTTATATTTGCTGAGTTGGAATCTTGGAGAATCCCATGTGAGTGTTGGTACTTGATTTGGAAATGTCAATGTTAAATTTCTATCAGTAGAATCTTTTTCCAATTCAAAAACAAAACCAGAAGGATATGAAACAACAATCTCCGTATCAAATTCTACTGTTCGTGGACCAATGAGTTCATTATAAAAAATTCCTAATGAGAACAATTGTCCTGAAGACTCTTCAATGCTTTTCAAAGAAAAGTCACTAAATTCATAAAGTGTTGGCAAATGATAAATGTTCGCAGATCTGACATCCTTTGAAAGAAAAGATTGCAACTTCATGGTATCGACATTCAAGATTCCTTGAGGCATGTAAAATTCCATGGTCAACTTGTTACTTGAAGAATTATTTGGAGCTTGTAACAAGTAGAAGGTGTAAAAACCGAACGTACTTTCATCAGAAACGGTGGATTGAGTAATTTTGAAAGTTGTGGAATCTTGTTCGTGGCCTAGGGTGAAATAAACATTCATGGATGTGTCTTTGAAAGAAGCATATTTGAAAATGGTGGTCGATTGATTGGAATAATGAATGGTGTAACTTTCTCCAAAGGTTGCAGGAATTACGACAGGTATGGGGATGGTTTGTTGGTGAGCTTGACAATTGTTTAACAACAAGCAAGAATAAATGATCAGCAATGAGAGCTTGATCATATGGGTTGTGACACGAAGAGACATTTTTTTTAGTTCTAAATGAACTAATGAAAAGATTTAAAGAACTTTAAAAAATCTTTTAAAAAAGTCCCATCTTGCGTTGCATCGTTTCCAATTCTGGAATTTCTAATGAGCCCGAGCACCCTGGAACTTCTGATGAGTGAACTTAATTAAAAAAGATGAGGGACGAATCGGCGTGTTATCATGATATGAACATTAATGAATTTACATGTATTTAATGTCTTTTTTCACAGCATTAATAATGTCCAAAATCAATGCTGCAGTTTGTTTTGCATCAAGAGTAGAATTGTCAATAACGAACACAGGTATCTTGGTTGCTACAATTTCCATGAATGAATCATAGTGCTCCTCTATGAGCTTCAAATATGACTTTTCAATTCCTCCTTCAAATTCTCTTTTTCTAGCCTTAATTCTTTCGTGACAAATGTCAATGTTATTCTTTGGCTTGAGATAGAATGCCATGTGACCAGTGACACCTCTCTTTAAGGCGTCGTAATTTTCACACAAATCCAAATAATCTTCCTCGGCAATCATTCCCTTGTTATACTCCATAACAGTAAATACACCACTCGAGGAAAGAATTCCTTCAAAGAAAATGTTGAAAGTGTCAGAACAAGTGATTGGTGGAGTAGTGACATTTTCATCTAATTCATATCTATTTACATCAAAGGAGTCACTCATTTGTGACATTATCTTGGAGTTTGGATGTAATTTCACTAAATTATTGAACTTCTTCATGATGGCTTCGAGCTGTTCTTTTTCAAATAGGTCATTGACAGTCGTGAATGATGATTCTCGTGATTTCAATGATGACGTTGATGTCAATGGCTGAAAGTTATACTTAAAGTAATGTTTGAAATAGGTATTTGCAATTTGTTTTTGTAATTCATAGTTGAGCTTGATGTCCTTTTTATGAATTCCAACTTCATAATACTTGCTGAGGAGTGTCCACTCATCAGTTCGTTGTTGTTCGGAAACACAATTTTCATTAAATAATTGTAACTCTCGTGATGTGCTGCTCTTTCCAGACCCGATATTTCCTTCAACGAAGCAGACCAATCGTTTATGATGGGGCATCAAACTAGAATGATCATGATGGTCCATGTCTTGAGAAGCAATGTTGTTATTTACAATTGATGATGACATTTTCCGAGTAGGATGAAATGATGTACAATAATCACGATGGAATGAAGCTTTTGATGATGATAGGATTCCGATATTCTTGTTGTTATTATTATTCGTGATGATGATTCTTGAATTAAGCCTTTTAGTTGTAATATTTGTTTGAATTGAAGAAGTTTCCCAAAGATAGTTTGAAGTGCTAGTTAGCGTTGAGAACCAACAAGTCAATGGAGTTGTTGTTTCTTTTTTTCTTCTTATTATTGCTCGAACACCGTCATGACATGAACAAGCTCTACGCAGCAGAGAAGCTTGGTTCATCATTTTTTGCAACCAGTTCGAACAAATGTTGGAAGGATTGTCTGAAACCGCTGCGACTAGCCGTTACAAAAAAATTTTGGAGCCCAACCATCATTGTAAAGCCTCGGGCCGCATGAATAAAAAATGGCAATTTGTTTGGAAGCACTTGATCCAAGCAAGGATCTTCATCAAGGTTGTGATATTTGGTCGTGGAACTCATAAAAACCAAATGCAAGTTGTTTGCCTCACCTTGATGAAAATTTCTGAATATTCGTAAATATTCTCCTTCCTATTTTTCTATCCGAAGTGTAGGGATACGAAGAGAATCGTTTCACGCCCACGGAAATGGTTGTTCATTTTGAAGCAACAAGAAAATATTTGTTTGCCTTCTCCAAAAACCAGAAGCGAGAATCTTCTCTCTGTATGTATGTCTTTTCTTTCGCACTTAGAAGTATTTGTCGTGAAAAGAGAGCCAAAAAGATTAAAAAGGAAGTGGCAACCGCAATTGAATACCTGAAGAGTACCATTGAGATCTCCACATGAATGATCTTGTATCTCGGTGGTGAATTCAATAGCTTTGATAACTGACTTTCACTTCTGCAACCATACACGCACTTTAAAAAAACAAGTCATGATGCTTTCCCTGACGACTTCGACCACAGAATCTCGACTTTTTTCCATTGTTGCAACATTGGGCAAAAACTACGACACAACAACAACAACGACTCGTGACAGCCATCACTACTACTACCAACCACAAGGTGGCCTCATGGATGACTTTCTTTACCCTGTTCTACACCAGTCTCAATCCCAAGGAGGTAGCAACTTTACCTTTGACTTGTATTCGAGTTTGGTGGCTGGTTTTGATGGACCTTTCATTCTCATCTTTCTATTGACCTTCTTTGTGGCATTGGGTAGTTACGTGTTTCAATTCAAACATTTAAAGAGAAATCATCATGTACTGTTTTGGATGATGTTTGCTCTCTCACTGTTTGCTTCCTTTCAGAATTTGACTCGTCTTGCTAGTGAGTTGGCGTTTCTGTTCCCAACGTCAGATGGTGCTTTTCATTTGAATAATGTGATTAAGGGGATTGATCGATCCATGTCAGCTGTGTTGTTATATACTCAAATTTTAATTCTAGGATTTATTGCTTATATATTGTAAGTAGTGGTCTTTGTGTGTGATGATGATGATGATTCTCACGAATGTGTGTGTATTCTATGGATTGAACGACATGAATCTCGCACCAAACAACATTGTTACTTGTATATATTTCGCACCAAACAACATTGTTTATTTTCCAAACATTGTTTTGGACGTTTCACGGGTCAATTATTATCAAAAATAGTATGAAAACTACACGGGCAACTGGTGACATTTCAGAGAGAACTTACAAGATATCAGTGGTCTCCCTCATCGTTACCTTGATTTTGTTCTTTATCTTGTTCATGTTAGGACATGTCATGGTCATTGTCATTCTTCATGCAATGAGAGGATCCAAAACCATCACTGGTCTTCAAACCTCTCAATTAACGAATGCAATCTTTACTTCACCAATGATTTTTATGAGTTTGGGTTTGGCCACAACAGCCGTTTTCTTAAATGTAAGTTGTTGATTGAGAATGTGTGACTGATCAAGACATTTCATTGAAATACAACCATATACAAATCATGTAAATGTTCAACAAGAATAGGCTTTTGGATTTCGTTTGTACATTTCCCTAAGACAAAGAAAGAAGAAAATTAAGGAAATGCTTAAAAATACCATGAATTTAACTCTTGAAATGAATTCTCCAAGATCCAATGATGGAGACAAGGATTCAACCAACATTAGCAACACTTTCTCGACAACGAATAATAATAATGAAGCAACCAACACAACGATTCATACAACAACCGTCACGACAGATCTCTCTAACCAGACGCCTGGCACGCCTTCGACATCAGCATCTCCCACGGTTGGCTTTATTATTCCCAAGTCCAATTCCAAACATGTCATACAAAATGAGGTTATGGATCAGAAAAACAAGAAGAATTTATCCAGTAAGACCAAAGATTTTAGTGAAACGTATCATCTCAAGAAACATGCGCTTCGAAAAACACTTGGATTACAGATTGGTCTGAGTATTGCTTTTTTCATTCAATTGATTGGTTTGGGATTTTTACCAGGAGCTCTTGGATGGCAATTCTCACTCCTGTTTTATCACAACTTTTCAAATTTTGCTCAATTATCCTTTGTGATCATTTTGTTGATTATTTTCAATCCATTGAAGGAGGTTCAGAGATTGTTTGAAAAAGCTCCTAATTTTCTCAACAATGACAGTGGCATCAACAAGAATAACAACTCCATGATGATGAAAGATAAAGAAAATACGCCCATAGAGAGCGGTGATGCTGCGAATGGCAAAACACAAAATGTTGACCTTTCTGTCAATGTCTAATGAACGAAGGTGCATTGTTGTGAAATGCGTGTATTTTTACAGGAGAGTGTATGTGGTGTGAAAACTACACGTTTTTAATAACCACAGATCTCTCTCTAAAACTAATAACTCACTGTAGTGATGTACATCCTAAAGAATCATTTCAATAAACCTTTTCAAATAAAAGAGAGGATTAATAAATCTTGGGGTTCACAAGGCAGAGGCCAAGAGGCTTATGGGTTGTTAATACGCCTCATAAGAATTCGCTCCAGCAACAACTTCATACAAGCAATCATTTAAACGGATGTTTGAGCGAGGTTATGGACCTTGAGTGCACCCGATAAATACTTACAAAATATTCTGAATAAACGACATGAGCACAAATAGATTAGGTAATTGAAAGAGCTTCAAAAAGATGAGTAAATCAGAGATGGACGCAATTCTCGAACTCATATCCCAACTCTCCGAGAAGCCTCCTTTTGATGCACCTTTCTGATATATTGAGCCATTGCCTGTTGCTGATTGATTCAAAAGAGTACAAATCATGGCACTGTTATGAATCAGTTCAAAACCAACTCCAATGATTTGAAGAAACAAATAGAAGGCTACCAATGCATAGAGAATGAGTTGATTTTTCTGTGCTGTACTCGATTTGCTTACTCGCCATTCCCGAATTGAGAATAGCACAATAAACAGCACTACAATGAAATAGGCTATTATAAACAAGGAAGAATTCACCGTAGCCTGAACATGATGATCCAGCTCGTTTCCGTTCATGGGTGTATTCATGGTTGAATTTAAATTAGTTCCATTATGAAAGGGTGGAGGATTGGTTTGATTCAAGAGTGGAGGTTCTTTGGAAGGGGTCATGGCTGGTGGTCCTCCACCTGGCAAGGGTGGTTTTGAAAACGCAGAAACTATTGTTATTGATGGAAGAACGTGATCAGTGAGGAAGGGAATTATTGGATAAGAGCTTGAAGAACAACGTTGTTGAAAAGGACAAGGATTATGATGGTTGTTTTTGAATGAGCGATACCATGTACGGAAAGAACAACAAATGATAGAGTAGTGAACATGCTGCCTTGAGCGAGATAGCATCAAAGGATTCAATTTTAGTATCCATGTGATGAGGTTTCTCTCTCTTGTCAACTGATTTCAAACACATACGAGTCGGCGGGTAACATGAAATCGAATTGATGGCTTTTTTAGTGCAAAATGAACCATCCACGAATAGGATACAAGTGTAGTAAGGTAGTAGGTATGTGTTCATGTGTTTGAGGAAAGGTTCATTTAAATGTCGTAATTGTACAAAAATTAAATTCGTGCAGCAGATCATCATCAAATGGAAATTAGCAAAGGGGGTACGTATGGATGTTTAAATATATATAAATATGAAACTCATAAAAAAGAATCTAATAATACTCTCTTCAAGTAAAATAAATTATTTGGAAGAAAGACTCTCTTTCAGAATAATAGTCTTCAAATTCTCTAGTACCTTCTTAATATTATTGGTATCTACCGCACAAGTGACTTCAACAAAAACTTCAGCATCCTTATTTTCCCTCAATTGCTTGAACTTGTCTGCAATGAACGGAATGGCATCTGGTGCAGAATGTTTTTTACCTTGATAATCCTTAAAACATTGTTCAGAAATGTCCACCTTCTTGATCAGATCATTAAATAGATCGACCTTGTTCAAAAACAACATGACAGGCTTATCATAGAAAACACTACAATTCACCAATTCTTCAAACAACAACATGCTTTCTCGAATTCTAATAGTTGTAGGATCTTCCTCCAATACTTGATTATATTCCACGAGAGAAACCACAAAAATCAAAGCTGTCACATTATCAAAGACATGAATCCATTTCTTTCTTTGATTACGTTGACCACCAACATCGACCAAACGCATGGACAATCCTCCAAATTCAAATTTAGTCTCATGAACTCCGGTAGTTCTCAATCGACAGTGTAATACATCCTCCACCGATGGAGTATAGGAAGCAGCACCAATACGTTCGCAATGATTCATGAAATAAGCTAAATTGTCAATGAGAGGATAGGACCATGATGAAGAGGATGGTGTGAATGATTGTTGATCGCTATGGTTGTTGTTGTTGTTATGGTTCGATGATGATGATGATTCAGAAGAACCAACACCAACAACATGACCACCTCCGTGTCGATGATGATACACGTGTTGAACATATGGATGTTGCCATAGAAAACGAAGAGAAGAAAGTTTCGAGGGATCATACGAGAGATGGGCCTGTTGAGAAGAAGAGGTTTCTTCTTCTTGGTCATCATCTCTTGAATCTTGTTTTGATTTTCTGAGAATATTTTGTGTATGAGTTTTTAGTAATTCTTGTTGTTCTTGATCCATTACGAAAGGAGTGTTGTTGTTGTGGTTGATGGTAATGACTTGTTGTTGTTGAAGAGAATTTTGTACAATATCCATCAAAGCAGCCATTCCAAGAATTAAATTGTCTTGAATGGTTTTGGTGAAGGAAGATAATTCTTCTTTGGTGTAACCATTTTGATGTAATATTTTGACTTGTTTGAAAAGAGTTGATTTACCTGACTCCGAAATACCTAAGAGAAGAAGATTGATTGTATTGTCGACTGCAACCGAGGAGTGTGATGACATTTTTTTGGGTTGACTGGATGACTGGTGTCATTTGGTGATGTGTGTTGTTACTTTTGACATTTAGAGCATTGGACTTCGAGTTTCAAAGTAACAAATAGATGGATCATTACTATACGCTAAATGAAGAAGAATACTATTCCCTTCGAAGTCAAAGATGAGTATGTAAAGGGATGATATTATTAACAAGTAAATTTACAATCCAATGGAGTATTAACTGGACCACATGTTCTCTGTGATTTCTTGTTTATTGTGGACCGCAAAAATCAAAAGATCAATGAATCCTCTGCGTTTTTGGATTACTAAGGCTCTTTCACATTCAGTAATTCCGCCATCCCTTGAGTTTTTTTATCGTCTAATTGCACGACCCTATTTCGCCTAAACTCTCGCAGTGGGTGTTTTTCCATTTATATTCCGCAAGATGATTCTGTGTACATGATGACCTTAAAAAATGCAGCAAAACAGTAGTAGCACAAATCCAGGTGATACCACCAATGATCCAACAACGACCATTCATAAAAACCTCAATCCCCCTACAACAACAACAACAACCAATGTAAATAAGACTCCCTCGATCTCTCGTTTATTAAACAAAGGCTCTTCCTCTCAACACCAACAGAACAATAAAATGCCCGTTGGAAAATCCGCTGGCACACTCTCGGATCGAGATGACCTGATAGAACTTGTCTCGACCACTGGTGCGTCCAGAAAAGAACATAGAGAAACATCACCAGGTTCTCCTTCAACTTCCGATAAGCAATCAACAATAGTAGGATGTGGGAATGATCATGGCCATGAATCTCATCATCATGACGAGCGTCATCATCACAACGACCATCATCATTTGATGAATAAGAGTTTTTTGATGGGTTTTATACCTAGGTGGACGTTTCACCCAAACAAACAGTCGGAAGCAAGAGATTTATTGGCTGTCGTAAGTTGAAATGCAATGGAAATGCATTATTCATGACATGCAATTTATGCTCAATTTTTGTATAATTCAATTATTTGAAAAGGAACGAACGCAATTGGCGTGGGTAAGAACAGGTCTATCGACCATTGCTATTGGAATTGCAATTGCAAAATGTATGTGTTTACGTGTATTGTAAAATATTTATGAATTAATTTATATGAATTCAAAAACAGTATTGACGAGTGACGCTGATTCTGAAGCAGCAAAAATTTTAATGGTCACAATAGGCACCATCTTTATCGTACTAGGTAGGTTGTTAAGGGTGACAATATTCATTTTGGTAAACAACTACTTTAATTTGTCGACAACGATAATTAAGGCCTCTTAATATTCTGTTATTCTTTCGTAAGGTTCCACTATGCAACAAGACGATTAATTTCCGGAGTTTTTGTTGCAGATATGTTTTCACCGGTTTTCATGTTTGTTTTTGGAGTAACTGCATGCATTGCAGCGCTTGCTCTTGTGTTTGTGTGATTTGTGGCAATTGTATTAAATTTATTAACTTATTTGAATGGCGAACTAATAGCGAATTCAACAAAAATGTGTTCATCATGATGAAAAAAAAATGACGTCTTTGCTCCGACACAAAAACAACAACTGTGGTATGAGCAATATTGACAACTCTGAAAGAGACGCATTGGGACCTATGAACACAATGGATGAGCAAGAAGACATGATTGATATGGACAACTGTTCTCAACAAGAATTTTCCGAACTCGCCAAGACATCAACATCTTCGGTCTTTGACCACCCAAAAGACGGCTTAAACACGGAAAGAACATCCTCTCTCACGAAAACAAACAACAAAATTGAAAAGAGGAGGAAAATGTTGCAACAACGTAAAGCAAAGATTGTTAATCTGAAGAAGAGATGGCGAGAACGAAACGCTGCTCTCCCACAGGAACAACATCAACTCATTGACCATCATGATGATGGGTCAAAACTCGGAGATTTATTAGATGAATGTTTTGACAGAATTGAAAAAACTATCGTTCAAAACGTAGAGGGTAAAATTTCGACGGCTTTCAAGAAATTTCAAGAGAGCATGACATTGGCATTTGGAGAATGTTTGCAAAAATTAACATCAGCCATTGAAATGCGCCCTTCTTCTCTTTCAACACCAATCAAATTGGAGAATACACAACCAACATCTTTGCCATCCATCCAAGTACAAAATTCACAAAATTCGCAATCTCAATCCAATATTATGGCATCATCATCCTATCCATCAAAACATCAGCATGGCTCAAAAGAAGAGGATTGTTGGATTATTTGGAATAACTCAGTCTATGACAAACTTCGATTATTGAGGAGAATGAAAGCCATCAAATACAATGAGTGGGAGGATTTTGTGGAAAGGGATGCCATTATTTGGAGAAGACATTTTGAATTAAGGGATCAATTTAAGAGAGATAAATCATCTGACAAGAAACACTACACTCTCGCAATGGATTACATTAGCCCAGTTCTACATGCAAAACAATTTCTTGGTAAAACCCTTCAAAAAATCAGACAAGGCTTTTTCAAGAATAAGGAAGTATCGAATGAAATGCTAACCAAAATGCTAGAAGGAGTTTCAAAAGGAAACATTTTACCATATCAGCAAGATTTGTTGTTAAGCAAGAAAGAAATCCAAATCACACCCAAGTCAAAAATTAATTCACCATTCTGGTGGTTAAACCTAGAAATTTATCAACAACTCTCACTATTGGTAGAATTGAAAATTATTGCAAAAACGGATTGGAATGCCTACATGAAGAAGGTAATGCAGTTAAACGACTCAATAACTGAGGAATCTGAAAGAGCTCCTAAAATCATTAGCTTTGGAGAAACGTTAATGAAAAATTTAAAGGACAAGACACCAACTGATAAGTGGTTCCTATTTGTGCAAAAGAAGCAAAGCATGATGAAATGTTCAGATTAGAGGAAAAAGAGCAGTACTGCAGTGCAAGCAATACCAAAACCTAGTAGGAGCAAGAAAGGCGGGGAGAATGAGTCAGCTGAAAATTGATCTGTTTCAAAACATTGCAACATTGGATGTTGTCAATAATGATGAAGCGTCAGATACAATCAATGCTTGTTTACAAATACTTACGATCAACCATGGATTTCATGACCACGTAAAACCTTAAATGTGCGTACATGATCAACAATAGGGAAATGACCGCTGTCAAAACACCGAGCGCTTTAGGAACAAAGGGATCATGCCCTTTTCTATTCACTAATTCCATTAAGGTAGTTGTTATTAAACACAATATGTTTCATTAATTAACACGTACGTCGTGAGACTCCAATACCAATTGCAAGAATGGCATATGCCGTTCGTTGCCATGACAATGCAGTTCGTTCCTATGTAATGAAATTAATATCATGAGGACATGTTGTCATGTACATTATTCTCTTTAGAAACACCAATGAAGAAAATACCTACTGCTGCCAACATGTCTCTGGCCTCGCTCACTTTATTCGGGAACGAGTGCCATATCGGAGTCATGACATGAAGAAAATAGTGTTTCCATGACATTCGTTCTGGTTCTTTATACTCTTGTTTCTTCTGTGTGATATTAGCGGGAGTACTCTTTTGTGGTGGTGGTGGTGGCTGTTCATTATTTTCATTTGAATTACTCTCTGGTGATGATGATGATTCCTTTGTTTCCAATCCAACCATGGTAATTTCCGAAGCTGAAGTCTCCAAAGAAGGAGCTGAAGCATATAATACCAGATCGTTTCTACTAGTGTTTGGAATGATGGAGATGGAGACTTCTCTCGGGTCGGTTAGTTTGGTCTGTTGTTGTTGTTGTTGTAGTGAAATCATTTCAATATCTTGTTGTTGCATTTTGAATAAAATGAAAAGAGATGGCGGTTCAATGAATTTTTTTGTTTCGTTGGGAGAAGGATAAGTTTGGGTGCCATGGAGTTGTTGTTCATGAGAATAGGCGAAATTATTTGCCCTCATGTGCAAGTCAAACGTCAAAAAACAATGGTTTGCATTATGTTCATAAATTAAGAATAGCCTTAGACATTCATCCGAGCTGTCTGTTGACACCAAAATGTCTTTATGTGAGAAGTTTGGTAACCGTTTTGTGATGCAAAAATAGTTCCTTTATTTGAACATTGACCAAAAAATGAATGAAAAGCCTTCGGAGCAACCGAATGTTGTACCAACCACACTTCTGCATTCAAGCAACGAAACAACGAGCACGAATGCTCATAACGAACGGCTTGTAGATCGGGTAGTTGATGAAATTTATAGGATCCATCTAGAGTCATCCAATGATGGTGTTGCATCATCATCTCATGGTTCTGGTGTTTCGGAGCAAGACCGAATGGAAGATGATGATGAAGGTTTGGAATTTATGATCAAAACTTATTTAAATTTGGAAAGATTAGATGAAATGTTGAATGAAATGTTTTTGAATGAACATGTTCAAAGTTTGCAGGAATATAGAGAAAAATCAAAAAAAGAAGAACAAGTATTTAAGGTGGGTGGTTGTATATTGCCACAAGAACGGCTGATTATAACCCTATTGTAATGTTAAATAATAATTTAAGCTCATTGAAAGCCTGATTTTAGAGGGAGAATGCATCAAGGCTTTCGAGTTGTTAAAGGCTCACTTTCCTTCCGTGGTACATCATCCATTGCACACAAAATTCCATATTATGAATGTAAGTATTCATTGTTTGAAATGATGAGTATTGAACAAAACCATGCTTGGCACTGAATGTTTACAGCTCAAAGAAATGATTCTTAAATGTCCTGTCGACGATTATGAACAACAGGCTAAATGTCTGGAATTGTGTAAATCAACCATTCCCTCTGAGACTTGTGTGTTTAGTTCTCCAGAACATACCAATCTGATGGATACTCTCTTTCTACTGTTGAGAGAGAAAGACAACTATTTATTGGTGTACAAACAATTGCAACAGTCCAGAAGTGCTCTTCTCCACGATTTTAAAGTGTTTTGGTACAAACAATTGAGACAAAGCAAAAAAGAGGATTCCACGTTTGAAGTCATACTGAAATACTTGACTACGATTCACAACATTTATCAAGTTCTTAACGGTGCAACATCACCTGTGCCAGAAATTGAATCGTTGCTGTTGCCGGAAAAGGAGCTGTTTTCGAGCAAGTACGAAACTTCGAATGCACACCAAACCTGTCGAGAACGGCATGTTATTGAAATGACACAACGAATGTCAATAACTCGAGAGGAAGCAATGCAAGCCTTAATTGCTTCTAATCATGACCGAATGCAAGCCATGAAGCTCGAAGCAAGTAGATTACAACTGAACAAAATTCTGTTGGCAGACTTGGTCGAGGAGCACTGCAAAAATAGGGGTCTAATTCTCCCCATGAAAGAAGATGCCATTTCTCGAAGAGACGTCATGACCAAGAATATTCAAGAAATGTTGGCAAGTCACAAGTACGAAGAGCTTGTACAATTTGTCAATTCTGTCGACTCATTTGTCCTATCCACATATCCAGTGATAACGTTTAGGATATATGAGTGCATGTTCTTACATCATTACAATTGCTGTGAAGACACAACGGCATTGAGTATTGCCTCCGAAAAATTAGCTCCTATTCGATTACGCAACGAAGAACGATTGGATGAAGACTTTTCAGACACTGTTTCCTTGCTTGCATATGATCATTCAACAAATCCAGTCCCAGAGCACGCAAAGAACATAATATCAAGAATCGAAAAGTCCAAAGAATTTATTGTTAAAACACTGAGTGAAGTTCTTTTTGACCGAGTTGGCAAACCATCAAGGCTTGTAAAGGCCATGAAGTATCTACTATTCATTCATAACCATTGGTTTCAATATGACGCTGATGAAATGGTAGAATATCTTAGTATTCATACCTTAAAGGAGAGCACGTTGTCAAACCTTAAGATATCTTTGGATTCAATAATGGAAACGAACTCGCTTGATCCCAAAGAGCAAGATATTCAATCGATTATGGATATCACCCAACTGAGTCGAGAGGAGGCAGAAAGCCTGCTCAATCAACACAAAACGGTTGAAGACTCTTTGAACGCATTCTTTCAACTCTAGTTTCAACAATTCTCCTAGTCATGAAGTCCACAAAATAAGATCTTGAAAAATCAATTCTTCAAGATATTACCAGTACTGTTCCTCCTCTTTTTGAATCTTTCCTTAGCGTTAGCTCCAAAATTATTTCCATATACCAATTCGTTTCGTTCCGCAATATCTGCTCCATTTTCAGAATCACCTGTGCCGAAAAACTGATATGGATCATGAATAAGGTTTTTTCTTACAATGGTGACATGTCTCTTAAACCTGTCCATTGCTCGCTCTTTTTGATTCTGTAGTCGAGAAGATTGTTAGAGTAATGCAAAAGTAATGAAGCACTTACAATTTTCAAGAACCGTTCTTTCAAAGCCGTCTCCTTAATTTGGTTCAGCTCGGCGTTGGTGTCTAAGTATGCCTTGGTTTCTTTTCTAGTTTCTTTGATCATTGACTCTTGTTGCTTGGCAAAATTTTCCAAATCCAAAATACTCTGTTGTATTTAAGATTAAGTTTAAGCTTTGAAGAAAATGCAACGTACCCTTCTTTGCTCCAAAATTGTCTCGAGCAAAATATCATCTTCCCTTTTTATCTCCTCTGTTCGGGCCCTAAGAGTTTCTACGGCTATTTTCAATCGATCTCTATTATTATTGAGTAATTTAATATCGGTTTCGCTTTGTTTTAACGTGCATTGCAGCTTGGATAGAATTTCTCTACATGCTTTTGTTTCTTCAACTTTAATTTTCAGTGCCTTGTCTTTTACCTCTGCTTCCGATTCCAGAAAATGGAGCATGGTTGTAAGTTGAGTTTTATTGATATGACCCAAACTCGGAGTTTCATCAATAATTTTAATAATTCTATCGATCGCTTTTTCCTCTCCTCCTTCAGCGATATCTTTGAGTTGTTGCATTTTTTTTTTGATTTTGTAAATTTTGGCGGGCATAATTTTTTTTATATTGATTCCCTCACTGGGCCAATTCGCTCGGAGACGAATGTTGAGAAACAGGTAAAGCGCACTTCTTTTCCAAATTGTAAGCATGAGGCAATAATAAATGCAATTCTGACACAGTTCGGGTCGCCCTTCCTGTAAGTCCTCGAATTCAAGATGCTTTAAAAGATGCCTCAACTTTACCGTTATGATAAAAAAGCATTCACACCTCACAAACAAATGGTAAAGCAATTCGTCATCATTCTCGAGAAAATCACCACAGTCTCTGAAAAACACGTTACCGAAGTTGCCAATACCATCAGGTGTTCAGATCCAGTTTTTGAGGAATTATTTGGTATTCCCTATCCTGAAAATGAAAAGATTTGTTCTGTCGATGTGGATGGAGGTGATATTAAATTAGTTTTGTATTGGGGAACTGAGCGTGAGGGTCATATCAAAACTGCAATGCCAGTTACTTTGGGATCGTGGACTTTGTTCACCTTACTGGATAAACATGGCTTTGAGTTGTTGGAACAAAGAAATTATTTGCAAGTTAAAGATGAGAGATTTAAAGGAAGAATGTTGGTAGAGAGAGTGTTTGTCAGAAATAACGTTTAATCTGCTGAGCGTTGGTCCTTTTCTTCTTGGCATTAAGATACAAAGCAAGAGGTACAAGATATATTCAACAATTGAAGGTGAAGATAAATTTACTATTTAAATAACTGTCTGTGCAATTTCTTTCATGACGTCCTTCTTATAGTCATAGAAATCTCCATTGTACTTGGAAATTGTTTTACCTGTGCAAACCCAAATTTCATCACACACAGATGTAATCAAATACTCGTCGTGACTCACCATCAAAATACCTCCATTATATTCATTGAGCGCTGTAATGAGTGCGTCAACTGTGTCGATATCCAAGTGGTTGCTAGGTTCGTCCAATAAGAGCAAATGAGGTTTTCTGAATGTAATTTCTGCAAAGACCACTCTTGATTTTTGACCTCCAGAAAGGGTGTAAATTGGTTGCAAAGCTAAATCTCCAACAATACCAAGCTTGGATAATTGTGCTCTTAAACCTGGTTCTTTTTCACTTGTAAATATGGAAGCCATGTGTTCAAGAGGTGTCATTTGAGGATTCAAGTGCTCCATGTGGTGCTGACTGAATTTTGCAATTCTAATCTTTCTATTCACATTGACCGTTCCTTCGAGTGGTTTGAGCTCCTCAGCCAAAATGTTCAAGAAGGTGGATTTACCTGTACCGTTTGGTCCGACCAAAGCAATACGAGAGTCCATATCCAAGTTAAAGTTCAACTTTTTGAATAAAATTTTGTCTCTGGAGTAGCCAAATGTCACATCTACTGCTTGGAGATATGGTGGATTTTCTTGCTCTGGAGAGTCAAAAGTGAAACTAAAGGATGGATCTTCAATGACTGCTGGTGTGAAATCCATCTTTTCTAAAACCTTAATACGAGACTGTGCCATCTTTGCAGTGGCTGCCTTGTATCTGAATCGATCGATAAACTTTTGAATGTGTGCACGTTGTTTCTGTTGAGCTTCATGAGTTCTTTGCTGTTGGGTTAATTGTTCTCGTCTTGTCTTTTCGAAAGTATCGTAGTCACCCTTATAATAATGAAGTTTTTGTTCTTTTACAAGGATAATGTCTGTAACGACTGCATTAAGGAATCGTTTAGCGTGAGACACAACCACCAAAGTCTTGTCGTATTTCTTCAAATATTCTTCTAACCAAATGACTGCAAACAAATCCAAGTGGTTTGTAGGTTCGTCCAATAGTAAAATATCTGGTTCGACGAACAAAGCTCTTGCAAGAGCAACTCTCATTCTCCAACCTCCTGATAGAGATTTAGTCTTCATGTGCATCATTTCAGGAGTAAATTGTAAACCAGTAAGAATAGCTGCTGCTCTTGCTTCAGCACTGTGAGCATCAATTTCATCCAATCGCTCATAAATTTCTGCTAATTTTTGTCCAGCATCCTCTGATGGTTCTTCCAAAAGTCTCTTTTCTTCCTTTAGCAATGATAGTCTTTCCACATCTGAGTTGAGAACTGTATCGAGAGCAGAAACGTCATCACCAATAATTTCTTGTTCAATGTGCAAAATTTGCAAATATGGTGGAATTCCCTTGAAATCTCTTTCGGCAATATGCCTCAAAAGCGTCGTTTTACCAACACCGTTTCTACCAATCATACCATATCTACGTCCGTTTAATAAAACAACATCTGTTCCAGACAAGAGAGTCTTGCTACCTACAGAAACTGTGACATCAGAGACACGAATTTCTCTAGGACCTTTGAAATCGGCAGCTGTGTGAACCTTGATGACTCCTCTCTGATTGCTCAAACCTCTTCTCTTCAAAAACTCCTCATACTCTTTTTGTTTTTGCTTGACAACAGCTTCTTCTTTTTCCTTTTTCTTTCTCTCTTTCTCCTTGATTGCCTTTTGCTTCCAATCCAACTCATCGTTCCAGTTTGATTCAGCAATTTGTTGATGAACAGAGGCCATACCTGTTTTACCAATCATGGATTCTTGTTCAGAAACCTCCTTTTCGAATCTTTTACCCAAGCTGACAGCCTCTTCCAACAATACGACATGCTCCTCTTCTTTAATATCTGTTCTCAAAAGTCCTCGATCCTTCAATGTCTGAAGCATAACTCTAACCAATTCTTTTGCGTCATCCATAGAGCTAGAAGCCTTGGTATGAACCAAGTAAGAAGAAATTACGTCAACCACTTCAGTTTCTTTTCTTCTTGTTACAACATCGTTTTGAGAAGCCAAAATACTAGAGAAATAATTTAAAATTGGAATGTCCAAACATTTTGCCGATGTCTCCTTTCCAATCACATCATTTGTGAGAATTTCAGCAATATCCAAGCATTCCTTGCTTGGTTGGAAATAAATTTTTGATGTTCCCGATGGAATTTCTTTTGATGAAGATGGATGATGCTTATCCTGATGCTGCTTTTCTTGTTGTTGTACCGAGGATTGTTGTCGTTGATTTGGTGTTGGAAAATCATCACCATAGGAAGCATCTTTAGCTGCTGGTTGTTGTGAAGCAGGCTTTTGGGTGCTCTTGCTTTTGTTCGCATTTGCTGCTTGTTTCTTCCGTTGTTGTTGTTGTAATGCTTCCTTTTCCTTCTTTTGTTGTTCCGCCAATAATTTCTTTTCTCTTTCAATCTTCTCCTTTTCCTCTTGTTGTTTCTTCTTCTCAGCTGCAACAATTTCTTCGAGGCTTACACCTCGTGATGATGAAGCTTTTTTTGGGGGCATTTTTTTCTTTCAATTTTAAAATTCGATTTTGAATTTCTGTTTGTGTTGTTGTTTTACGGACTGTCTCCAACAAACAACATACATGAAATCAGATAGCGATAAATCTTCACTGAAGCCATAAGACAGCCAAGGGAACATATGGGTATATGTAAATAATGGTTTCATCATTGAATACAACAATCAATGGATAGAAAAATAGCCTGTGAAAGAATTTGAGTAAGAAATGACATGTCTCTTTGTGGTTTTTTAATTTTGAAAAGTGTAACGTTCAATGATACGATACTCTTCATCACAACTTTACTTGCGAAAGAGAAAAAGAACCTTTTGTGCAGTTTTGGAGTAATAGACAACTGCAAATTTTGAATTGTGTAATTTCCATTCATATCGTTCGATATTTGTTCCGAATTTGTGTCTATTTGGTACCAGAAAACAATCTTCTTCGAAAGAACGAGCAAAGAAGGCATCTGTTCCTGGAGACACGACAGCATAATCTTGGCCAAATTCTTGTTTATACTCTTCCAAAGATTTCAGGGGGCTTTCTTTATCATGTTGGGACATTTCTTTTGGAAAGTCATCTTAGTGATTGGTTTTTATTGGGCGTGACGCCAACCAACACTACACGCATTCATATCTTACATTATTATTATAAATGAATATGTGAAATCGGGTGTGGTATAGTGGTAGCATTCCAGACTGTCACTCTGGCGACCCGGGTTCAATTCCCGGCACTCGAGTAATCTTTTGGCCTTTTTATTTTTATTGGCTTTGTGGTTTGGAGACCCTGAGCACAAATACTTGGTCTCTAATCTTAATACCCAAAGACCTACTGGCTGCGTTACCTTGAGTAATAAACTTTTCAAATTTGTAATTATGATTGGACCCATTATTGATAATTGAAAGCATGAAATCGATCACATCAGTGACGCGATCATGCTCAAATGAAACAAGCAAACATGCCCTGTCATTCGAGTCCATGTAAAATCGTGGCTTTTCTGGTAGCTTTTCATTGAAGAAATCTTTCCAATATCTAGATACCAATCAATAATCATTTATGCACATTCGGCAATTATTGCCAAGTTTCATTCAAAGAGAACGAAAATGTTGTTGTGAACGTATTTTGAATGATGAATGGCAATACATATTGTTTCCGATCATGACACTCGAATCTCCTTACCTCACTCCTTGCGGTTTGATAATTCCGAAATATTGTGAAAACATTGCTGGCGGATCTAGTGATGAGTCAAACACCAAATGCTGTTTCATTTGTAAACTCTTTTCACTGAAAATCTCCTTTTCATATTCTTGTTTAATTACCTCTTTTTGAGTGAGAGGTTGTCTTGCGTTGCTTGATGACATTTTTTATGTGACATCGACGAACCAAAAAAATGGCTGAAAGGCATTTTCTTTGAGCTTACAAAAACAAAATGCGTCCTCCATGATAGACAGATATCAAAATTTAACCCCAGAGACAGAGCATTCTATATCCACCATGACGGACATATGACTAATGATACACAAACCACAAATAAGATCCAGCATCCATTAGTTTACAAAAACTGGACAGAACCTCCTCACCCTAATGGAAGGAAAAGCACACACTATTTACTATAAGGACACGATAAACACTAAAAACCAATAATCTGATACCTGTCCCATCGGGACTAAATAAAGTTCAATCTATTTTTTATGTGACATGAAATTAATGTGTTCCATAAATCAACACTTTGGATCTTTTGAAGCTGAAATGGTATTTGTTTATTGAGGTGTTCTTGACAAACCTGAATCTCTTGTAATTTATGAACTGTAATCATCCAATATTGCTTGTTGAGATGACTCCAGAAATTGATTGGAACTGAAGAAATAAAATTGAATGGCGAATTGAAAAAAATGTACAATCCATTTAAACCCATCGTAAACTTCTTCCACCGTGAATTCCTTGGACCAAACACCAAGAAAGTAGAAAAGAACTGGGAATCCATCAAACGTGTTATGGAATGGTCTGCCATTATTTATATTATTTATATTGCCAGCGAACCAATTAATCCAGAATTATACGAACTCAAGAAGTATTTGGAACAATCCGAAAGATATGTGGGCATGCAATTGAGTAATGTTGTGAATCAAGAGTTTGAAAAGATTGAAATGGAAAATCGTGCAATGGGATTCTAAAGAGTTTAACATGGTTCCGAGATGATTCATATTATTCTTTCATCATCACATGACGATACTCTAATTCCAATATTTCTTCACCTCGCTCACATCGCTTCTCATCAACAACAAATGGTTTTAAATTCTTATTTCATTGAATCATCCTTTTTGGTGATGAATGTTGTGTGCTCCTTCTCCTCCTTCACTTATTCCTTACCTATCATCCTTTTTAAATTCAACACATAAATTTTTAAATCTAATTCAATATGACCTGTTACATTATTGTGTACAAACTTCATTTTCATCACATTGAAGAAGAAAGCGTAATTCGTTGCATCACATGCTCACATCCTGCTTCAATTTCCAGCTTCACTTCATCACAGAAAGCCTTTCATCACTTCATCAAAAAATATTCTCAAAATCGAAAACGGTTTTTGTTGAAGAAACGAAAAACACTTTTCAAACGTTCTATCATCATCATGTCTGTTTTTGTTGGTAATTTATCTTTTCAAACCAAATGGTGGACGTTGAAGGATCACTTTAAACAAGTTGGAGAGGTTGTTCACGTGGACATCTTTACAGTTCCTGGTAAGCCTCATCTTTCGAGTGGATGTGGTCTTGTCCAATTCAAGAATCAAGAAGATGCTGATAATGCATTGACTCTTGATAATACCGAGTTGGACGGAAGAGTCATTAGAGTGAAGAAGGACGAATTTTCTCCTCGAGGTAGACAAGTCTTTGTTGGTAATCTTAACTTCCGTACCACTTCTCAAACATTGAAAGAGGCTTTCGAAAAGGCTGTCGGTAGCGTTGAGAAGGCTGTTGTTGCTCGTGATCCAAAGCAACACACTCGTTCGTTGGGCCATGGTATTGTGAGATTTGCTACTCCAGAACTTGCTGAGAAAGCTATTGAATTAATGAATGATAAAGAGGTGGACGGAAGAACTGTTCTCGTCAAAATGGACGATAGATGTTAAAAAGAATGTTGTCTGTCAACAACTAATGTTGATTCCTTTCATAAGTGAGATTTGGAATTTTACAGAGAGGTGGATAATTTGTTGAACTCAAACGGAATACTCTGTAACTCTTTTTCTACAGAAAAGAGATTGTAACGACCATATCCAACTTGAATGGATTTCTTGTACCTGTTAGTGCCTTTATAAATTTTAATCTTTTCATGATGTGAATTGGCCACCATGCCTTAAACAGATTAGAGCCCTTAGTAACATTTAGTTCAATATGTGAGAAAGAAGGTTCCAACTGAGCTCGAATACAAGTGATGTCAAGAGTCAATGCATCATCTGCATCTTCTTGATTCTTGAATTGGACAAGACCACGTTTCTCGATTCAAGAACTTTGAACAGTCGTAAACAAAAAAATGCCTTTAGAACCATTCACTGCCACGGACAAGAGCTCCGAGGAGAATATTCTCACGACATCGAAAGGTAGCAGTTATTTTCGATATCAACAATTTGAGTTACTTCTCAATGATGATGTTTATCGATGGATTCTTTCATTTCTGAATTATTCAGATTGGATGCAATTACAATTGGTCAATAAGAATTTCCGATTGTGTCAACTCACTGAAGATGATCAATTATGGAAACCAGTATACATGAAAAAATTAGAGGAGTTTCGAGAGGCATCTTTGGGAGAATCTGTTGGAGTAACCAATGATGGAGAAAATAACAATTTCTATTCGAAATTTGAACTTTTGAAGGAAAGGAATGAAAATTTCAAAACATCATTGATTGAGTTCATTAAGGAACTACACACAAAAGCAGATAACAATTTTAAACAACTGACCAGTGACATTGAAAACGTTAATGTAACAAGATTGCACAATTTCTACAAACTAGAGGATATATCAAAATATACCCAAGATCAAATTCGAAACAGTTACATTGGTCAATGGAAAGTGCTCAAAGTTGTAGTCGTAGGAGACCACTCCAACGGTAAATCCAGTAAGTGAACACCTTTACAAAATTACTATATTCTTATTACATTCATAATCTATTCAATTCAACGATTCCTTGACATTTTTCAACATTACACCTTAATTAGGTCTTGTACATCGATGTCTGTACAATAATTTTTCTGTTCAATACATTCCACAAGTATATGAAGCCTTCTCCTGCACAAGTTCCTTCCTTCCAGAGTATTCAATTGGTTATTGGGACACTCCAGGTCAAGCAGAATATGACACCCTTCGTACCTTGTATTATCCAGAGACGACTCTATTTTTGGTCACGTATAGTGTTGTGAATCATAACTCATTGAGAAATGTCGCAACGAAATGGATTCCTGAAATTATGAAACATGGTCACAATACACCTTTCGTATTGGTTGGCACGAAAATCGATTTGAGAAGAAATTGTAACTATTGTAAATTCATGCTCTTGAAAGAAGAACAAAAACCCATTTCAACAGAATTGGGAGAACGGATGGCGTTAAACTCGGGATGTGTGGCACATCTAGAAACAAGTGCTTTGGATGGAGATGGATTTGATGTTTTAGATGAATGGATTGTCAAACTTTCGAGTATTGTAAGAGCTGAATCAGAGTTGAACACGTCTTGTCAACGAAAAAAGAAATGCATTCTTCAATAATGGTGTAAAAAGAGAACCAATCTGTTATTATCAACAAGTATCCATTTTGGACAAGATTGAAATTCATACCATTGCCATGAGTCAACAAGAATTCTGAACTGATGTCTTGCGCTTTTAGCTGTTTGTTGGCACGTACATGGAGGATTTGCCACGAAATATGCAAACTCTAATTGTTGAACAAAAATCAAAAGGAATTGGTTGAGTGTATGACATGTCCATTCATCTCAATTTCAGAGTGCTCTGGAGGAAGTAACTATTAAGGTCAACGATGGTTCACAGAAAGGGAGCATGTGAATAATTCTCCTCAACACATGTTAACTTGGGATTGTTCTCAAATTTAAGAAAATTCAAAAAGAATCAATACGATTCTCTTTCATAGTTCAATCGTAAAGTACCAAACAGGTAATCCCACAACATGACATGCTCTGAAAAATTCACTTTAAAGTATCGATGATGAGCTGCATGATATTCAAAATTGTAAATATATGGAATGACAATTTTCCTTCCTGAATGATTCCATTGAACGAAAAAGCTAATGACAAATAGAAACACAACGACCGAACTGATAGGAAATGGAAAGAACATCATTTGACCACATGAAAAGAATGCAATAATGGTACTTTCCCAAGCATCTCCATAAATGGCATCTAGAATTCCACGAGGAGAATTATTTTCGTGATGTTGTTTGTGAAGCAAGGAATATAACGTGGGATGGGAATGGCATGTTCGATGAAAGAGGTAAACTAGTAAATCATAGAGGATCATCATGAATAGGACACAGAGGAGAACTTGGACCAAATACATGCATGTTTCGAACATTTTCGAAAACGAACATACATTCTGCCAAATGTCAAAGTCTTCATACAGAGAACCATAGTATCTAGTATAGACAATACAAAAACTAGTTAACAAGGCAGCCATTGAATGATTCAAGACATAATACAAGATTGAGTTACTTTTGGGACGATTTTTGTAGAGTGGTTTCAATTCAATTTCATCCCAAAACCAATGGGCACATGTCTGTGCAAGAATGGTAATGAACATGGAAGTTAAAGTCAAGAGCAATGGAACGAGAAGCCAATAATGTAAAGTTGAGCCAGAATCTGGGAGACCAAACATTAAATTCAAAGTGTTGGACCAGTGATGAGCTATTTGTTGTTCTTGCTGTTGTTGAATGGAATAGGTCATGATTTGGGTTAGTACGAGAGAGATGTTTTTTTGTTGGGTATTGAAATATTGTGTTATCAGGGATGGCTTTCACTGAATATTCGAGGAAACTGTGGCAGTGATGAACCTGAACGACATTTGACATTTTAGTGCGTTTTTGAACAAGTGTAGGATTGTTGAGCTGGAATGTCACAACAAATGTCGCGACTAAACAATTCATGCCTCAAATGAATTTAGAGAATCGAATGGACAATAAATTTACAGTTATTGATACTAGACCCACTGCAGAATCATTCAATTTCCTTCAAATTTCTGAATACTTGGAATTTAACTTACCATGAACGGACTCCATCCAACAATTCAAGAGGACACTTTCATTCTTTTATTTCGAAAAAGATATCCATATTTCCTTTATAACTCCTTGAAAAAATTTTACAATAATTATCTGCAATTTATTTATTATTATACTATTTACATATGATACTATGATATTTATCAAGTACTATTATCCTTTTTCTTTTCTCTGTGTACTGGAGGACATGAAGAGCATGATTCCACACGCTCACATCCTTTCTCCTTCTCATGCTTCACCAAATTTCGAACCTTCGCACTTGGATCTGACAATTTCAAAGTTCCAAACACATAATCCCATACCATACAATGTTCAGAAAAATTCACTCGAAAATGTAAATGATGCGTGGTGTGAAATTTAAAATTGTAAAAATATGGAATTTGAACACGATGACCAGAATGATTCATTTGAACCAGAAAACTAATGAGAAAGAGAAAGATCACCACTGAACTTATTGGAAATGGGAAGAGTATCATTTGACCACTTCCACACGTGGCAACAATGAGACTTTCCAAAGAATCTCCATAAATGGCATCGAGAATTCCTCTGGGTGCACAATTTTCATGATGTTGCTTGTGAAAGAATGCATAGAGAAATTTATGGGCGTGACACGATCGATGAAAGGCATACACACAGAGATCGTAGAGTAGTAACATGATGAGCACACAGAGAAGGACTTTTCCAATATACCAAACTCGTTCGATATGAGAAGTCATTTGCCAAATATTGAGTTCATACAAAGAGCCATACGATCGAGCCAATACAATGCAACTAGTCGTGAGAAGAGAAGCCATCGAATGATTCAGAATGAAACTCAACACTAAACTTTTCGTTGGTTTGTTTTCATAATGAGGAGCATATTCAATGAGTGGCCAAAACGAACAACAAAATTGAGCGAGTACTGAAATGAACATGGAAGTGAGAGTGAGGAGGAAGGGAATGAGGAGCCAATACTGGAGAGTGGGTCCATGTTCAGTAAAGAAATGCCAATCATTGAGAAGAGACATGAGGAGTGTTGAGAAAGTTAGTCTAGTTGTGTTTTGTCAATGAACGTTTGTTTTTTTTGATTGAATTGGTTTCTTTAGAATAACAACAGCAAAGCTCAGTATCTTGCCACGTTCATGCACACACACGAATATGTGGAAAAACCAATTTAGACTTTGGATTTGACGTGATATTTCATTTGGTGTGAATTAGTTAAAGAGTTGTCTCACCATATGGGTGTGTTTATATGTTGGTGAGATTCAGGGTTCTCGTTTTGAATGAAGAGATAGATGACGTCTGGCTATTTTAGATCTCATGAAAGAACTCATTTCATGTTTTGCATTTTGTGGCGTTTTGTAAGGATGAAAACATGGTGAGGATCGTTTTTGAAATGGTGTGATAGGATTTTTATTGGATAATTACAAATGTTTCATTTCACATGTGTGAAATTATTGTTCCTGTGGTTCAACAGGCTTCTTATTCCAGTCAAACTTCTCACCAGTAATTCTCTCGTAAATATCAACAATGTCGACAGCACAAGATTCAAAGTGAGTAGTAGCATCATAGGACTTGGAAATGAAAACACCATCCTTCTTTCCATCCTCCAATGGAGCAAAAGTGTCAAGAATGTAAACAAACTTCTCATCAATTGGGTTCAAAAGATCAAGAACAAGTTTAACTTCGTTCTCTGGGTTATCAGTCTCAACTGTTGTAGAAACAATAGCAATATATTTGCCATTTGGAGCAACGTGGTGAGTGAATGATGTCACACAACAATAGATATCATGCTTTCTTCCGGTTTGCTTTTGTGGGAAAATAATTTGTGTAGACTTGGCATTTTCAGTGCTCTTCACAGGATGAGAGAGAATGCAAATGACACGAATAACCTTTCCAGTCTTGCGAACCTTCTCAGGGAAATAGCTTGGATCTCCGACAACCATCTTACATTTTGCAACTTCACCTCCCGATTCAACACCAACCACATGACCATTATCATCGTAGACAATTCTGTCAACTCTCTTGTCCAACATGTAGGTACCACCATAAACAGCACACAAACGAGCAAAAACTTGTGGCAATTCACCCAAACCATACATTGGATAAACGTATGGTGACTTTCCGTACATGTTGAGTGATTCTTCGTACAATCTCATTCTCTCAATAACTTCAATAGCAGGAACAGTGGTCATGTAGGAATCATCCGTGTACAAGGCAACAGCGTGTCCCAAAAAGTCAGTGGTGTCGTCGCTCACACCATAATACTTGTAGATCTTTTCCATTGTGTCTTTGGTACAATCAAATCCTTGATGAGTCTTTGGATTGCTTTGATCATAATCGTACAAATAGGAAACAAGCTTTTTAGCCTTCAATTTCTCAAAGAAGCCCAACAAGGGTGTTTTGGCAACTTCGGTTGGTGTAATGGGTACTTTATGGATTTCTCCCTTGTGATAGACAAAGCTTCCTTCGACCAAAGCAAATTCCATATTATAACGAGTAACACCAGTCATTCTCAAAATCTTTACGAGTTTACCGTTAGCCATCAAGAATTTTGGAATTAAATCAATGTTATAATCACGGCTTCTACCGAGGGATGCGGGAGGCTTGGCATCTTGTCCTCTAAACTTTTCAAACATTTGGTCCAAGTTGAGAGAAGCAGATTCACCTCCATAATAAGGGTTACGATCCATGTGGAGAACCTTCTTACCACTCACGGAGAGAAGACCTGAAATAACACATTCGGTCAAACCAGTACCTAAAACCACAACATCGTATTCTTCATTCATTTCTGTTGTTGTTGCTGAGTGTGAGAGAGGAGCAAACGATGATGAAAATTTTCAGATTTTTTTAAAATAAAAATATTGTTACCTGACGTGCGATTGCCTTGATGACGTTAACAACGTGAGAATGTCCAAAGGTCTTTTTTTAATAACTTGTTAGTACAAAAAGAAAGGAAGGCACTAGAAATACGTGTGTATTCATTTGCACAATGATCCTTGAACTCCAACCAGCCCTTGCAATGTGAGTGGTTTGCCAACAAAGGAGAAAAAGCTCTGTAAACACATCGATCGAACTGAGACAGAAAAAAATTGTCCTGAATAAAACATTTCAATTACATTAGTTATAAATTATACATTAATAATGTACATGATGTATTCATCCATTTACAACTCAGAGAATGCTTGATCCATCACTTGAAGGGCAAATTCAACATCAGCCTTAGTAATGTTCATTGGTGGCTTAATTCTGAAAACGTTGCCGTACAATCCTCCCTTACCAAGCAACAATCCCAAATCCTTACATCTTTCAAAGACCTTGGCAGTTTCTTCCTTAGCTGGCTCAAGAGTAGTTTTATCCTTGACAAGTTCCATACCCAACATCAAACCCTTTCCTCTCACGTCACCAATGATTGGATACTTTTGTTGAAGCTTTCTGAAGCCATCCAACAAGAGGTTACCCATCTCCAATGAATTCTTTTGAAGATTCTCCTTGTCAATCACACGGAGGACAGCACGTCCAATAGCACTCGAGACTGGGTTACCACCATATGTATTGAAGTGAATCTTTTGAGCAACTGTCTTGGCAATTTCTGGGGTAGTAACGACAGCAGCCAATGGAGTACCGTTACCAATACCCTTAGCCATGGTGACTGTTTGTGTGAAATTGCAGATTCGTCATTATGATGTGTTTTGATGCAATTGCGTGTGAAATATTTCATAATGGTAATCAACATGAAATTTCAATTGTAGACAATTATGGTGTCAATGATTGTAAATAACCATAGTGTTGAACTTACCAATATCAGGCATGACACCTTCACTTTGGAATCCCCAATAGTGAGTACCAGTTCTTCCGAAACCAGTTTGAACTTCATCAGCAATACAAACACCTCCATGCTTTCTGACAGACTCATAAACAAGCTTCAAATAACCTTCTGGCATGTCGACAGTACCACCAACACCTTGAATAGGTTCACTGATCCAACCAGCAATAACACCTGGTGTGCATTGTTCAATAACATTCTTAACATCCCAGTGATACTTTTCAGCAGCCTTAGGATCATCACGCTTGTATGGTCCACGATAGAGGTTAGGTGTCAAGACATGCTTGATTCCTTCTCCTTGAGGAACAGGGAATTTCCAAGTGGACAATGAGGTAACACCCATGGTACCATAACTCATACCGTGATAGCAATTTCTCAAAGCCAAAATATCATGATTCTTGGTATAGAGACGAGCCATTAACAATGCCAAATCGTTTGCCTCACTTCCAGAATTCACAAAGTAGGTAACTTTGAGATTTCCTGGCATTTTGTCTGCCAATTCCTTACCGAATTGAGCAATTTCTGGATTGTAGTAAATGTTGGTGGTGTGCATGAGCTTTTTCATTTGCTCGCTGCCAGCCTTGACAATCTCCTCATGGCAATGTCCAACAGAGATGGTCACTGTTTGTGTGTAATAATGGTAACACAATGATAACGCATAAAAAGTAATCATCAATTCACAAGAGGAAACAGCCAAGGAATTCATGAGGAGTGTTGGAATATTCGAGAAGACAAGCAACGGAATGCATGAGTAAATTCGTTCATAGGCGAACATCCCAGCATTTCATCATCAGAGTCAAAGTTTACAATGCCAATGAAAATTTTTTCGTGGACACAGTCGTCATCATGCATGACATCAGGATCATCACGAAAGAATTTTTGATGAAAATTATTATTTCAGATTGTGGATCCATTCATCAGAGATCCAATAATCATAGGCATTGAATGAAAGGATACACATTCCAATCATCAATAGTTCATCATGAAATTCCAATACAAAATATTTAAATAGATTTCATAATGATGATCCAGTTGTGGAAGATTTGCGATATTTCACCATCATGATGAAGTGAGATTTGCACACATCATCAACCACCCACATAATTTGCAAATTATGTATGAGATTGAAATTAAAAAATTGAAACGATCAGAATTGATGATTGACCCAGATCTTCTCTACTTACCAATACCACCAAAGAAATCCAAGTATCTCTTTCCCTTCTCATCAAACACGTATTGCTTCTTACCCTCCACGATCATTACAGGCTTTTGATAATAAGTCAAAAGTCCAGGAGAAAGGTAGGTCTTTCTCAATCTCTCAACTTCTTCAAAGGATGGACCAGTGTAGGGTTGAGGCTTGTAATCAAAAGATGGGAGATTAGGAGCTGATTGAGTGGATGCAAGAGTAGAGAATGATCTGCTTGCACAAGCTTGTTGCTTGATCAATTGGCTTGATTTGGAAAAGACTTTTTTCATTTTCAAAGAGAACAGAGGAGAGATGTAATCACAAATTTTTTTTGATGAGTGCTGGACTTGGAAATTTTGTAACTTGGGTGTTTTCGACACTGATGACGAAGCTTGCATGATTAGTCCATCGTTTAACAAAGAACCAAACAAAGAAAGCGTTACTTGCATCAATGTTTGAGCCACCAAAGATTGAAAATGTTCTTTCATGCTGAATTGGTGGCGTAATTGGTCCTCTCTTGGAAGGATTTGGAAAGTGAGGGATCGTTTGAAGCTTGTGTCAAGTGCCGTACTATTCAAAGATTCACATTGTTGCATTTTCGTGGGGGCTTGTTACTTTTTGAACCGATGCCAAGAACAACAACCCGAATCCAAATACAATGACAATGTCACTTGTCAAATAGAGAGAAAAAATTGTCAAAACACAACAACAGCAGCCTTCACATACTGCATCCAGCCACATTGAACGAACTAGTCACTCAATCGAATCATCATATCGAACCATAATAATATTTTCTCGGTTCATACTCATCACACAAAATCTTTGCCAAATTTTTCAAGCATTGAATATTTCATTCAATTTCACTGCCTTTCATCCTTGAGCTTTTCAATCCGTTGAATTTGAATCCACATTGTTATCAAAAACTCTGTACATATTTTCATCAAACCATTCATTCAATAACACACACTCTCTCATATCTATGGGAAACAAACTTCAAATCGATTCGCCATCCTCCTCGGATGCATCCTCTCCTCTTCATTCCTCTCACACTGGAATCGATCCAGAGAAACGTCGTTCTGCCAATGCAGCGATCACAACTTCCCAAATGACCTCAAAGGATCCTTCTTCTCCAACGAAAACGAAAATATCTGCGTTTCCATCATCAGACCAAACCATGTACCTCACTTCAGCTTCACTTATTGCCATGAATCCTTCGTCGCCACTCGGAATGAGACGCTTATCAAAGAAAACCAACACTCATGGTTCTTTGCCTCCACAGTCGTCTCCGCCCTTGTTTTTGGGAGATGCTATTTTTGATACAGGTAAATATCATGAACTCACTGAGGAAGGAACAAGTGTTACTGAGTTTTCTTCAGAGACGGATCAGAAAAAGATGAATATCATCTTGTTGGGTAGGTTTTTAAAAAATTATGATTGAACTTTAAATAATTGAAATCGAACATTTGGAATGAATGTATTAATTGTTGAACATGACACAATTTCAAAATTAAATACGATTCAAATGATCATGAAATAATTAAGGATGTGGAGGAAGTGCTAAAACAACGATATTTAAACAATTGAAATGTAAGTCGTAGATCATGATACCAATGAATTTCCAATGGTCAAATTCAATATTAACGATAAATGAATATACAATATCTTACACACCACATGAATAGTGCTAGGAAGACGAAGAAATGAGTTATTACAATCATTCTGGCAAGAAGGAATCATTGCTCCATGTTTCGATACCCTTATTTCAATATTTAACAGAAAAAATTTATATTACCCGAATGCAGAATATAAATGTGCAGAATCTGAAGAGACTGAGCAAGCTGTTTTTGACATGTTTGATAGTAAGGGAATCTTGAATGTCACTCACTCTTCGAACGGAAAATTGATTCAACAAATTGTAGATATGTGGAATCATGAGCCCATCTTGAAAAAAGTCTACACAGAAATGCTATTAGATAATCAAGTCGAATCTGTTGCAGTTGAAGATATTAATTATTACTTTTCAAGAGCTATCAAAGTACACAAAGGAGACAAGGCTACAGATAAGGATTTATTAATTTCTCAACGAAAAACAACTGGTGTGACACATGTGGAATTTCGTTTCGGAGGAGGAAATACTGTTGCAAACGTTTGGGATTGTGGTGGTCAAAAGAATGAAAGAAAAAAGTGGCCTAAAATGCTAAGAGGTAAGTTTCTGTTCAAACTCAACAACAACAACTATTGGACAATTATTTCATCTTTGTTTCCAATGTTCACAATCACATCTCGTAACGTGCCGCTACCTTTCACAAATGACCTGACTTCATGAATGCATTACACATAATAGAGGCTGAAAAATTGGGAGGAAAGATTTTCTTTGTTTTTTGCGTAGCTCTTTCAGAATACAATCAACTTTGTTACGAAGATGACACCACCAACAGAACAGCAGAATCTCTCTCAATTTTTGAAAACATTGTAAATTCTCCACAGTACAACGCTCATCCCTTTTTCCTAGTTTTCACCAAAAAGGATATTTTCAAACAAAAATTAAGATACACCAATCTCTCTGTATGTTTCTCAGACTGTCCCGAAGATTTGAAACAAGATGAAGATACTTCCAATATTAAGAGAGATCTTATTCAAAATTGGACAGGTTTTCTTGAAGATCGTCGAAGTGTCTCGGACGATATCTATGAGCGAGCTCTCGATTTTATGAAGGAGAAATTCTTAGCGAAAGTGCAAGATCCTGTTCGTAGGAAAAACATTGACAAGCATATTAAGGTCATTAATGCAATGGATGCCGAGGATATCAAACGAGAGCTGGTGGATTGTCTTTTTGAACAAACCATGATGGAATTTACGTATCAAGACGACATGGTTCATTTCATCTAGAGAGTTTCCTTCGTTTGTTATTACTGGATCATGTCCAGAATTCTAAAGAAATACGAAGGAAAATAAAATTAAGCTCGAATAACATTGAGGGCAAGTTTTGTTTGTTAATGTATTGAGGCAAACTGCATTAATGCATCATTTTGTTAATCTGTTTTCAAGGTCTTGCCTGGTCCTTGTTTTTTGGGACAACAACCAAGAAGATGTTCCCCCACCCCGCCAAAAAAACTACAAAAAAAAATCGTTTCAAAATTTCGATCCTTTTGTCGTCACAAAATGAAGTCCATACCAACTATATCGAGTGAGATGATGTAAGTACAATCGGAAACAATGCCTTTCCTAACGATCATGAATGGGGCATTTAATGATGTTGCTCGGAATCAAGTTGCTCCAACGGTTACGGAGGAAAGAGGATTCATGTCGTTGATAACGATACAATTGCCTTTATTTGCGGAAGGGGACTTCGATTTATTAACTTAGAAACAAAAGAAGAGAATTTCTTTGTTCCCGATATTTATATTGAGGAGCCCGTTTCTTCACAAAACAATAATTCTTTCATTGACGATCTTGATGGAGAGCATGCTGAAGAAGCAACCCAACGAAAGTTATATTTGACCGCGGGTGTATGTGCAGCTGCTTTTAATCGAAAGAAGGGAATATTTGCCATTGCAGACAGTTATTCCAGTCCTAAAATTCGAGTATATAATTCACAAACTTTTGAGCTGTTGAGAGTTCTCTCAGGTGGTGCAGTCATTGAATTTTTCGATTTAGATTTTTCCAGAGACGGATCGTATCTCGTTTCTCTAAGTGGCATTCCAGATCATTCCCTAAAAGTTTGGGACTGGGAAACGGGAAAAATGTAAGTTTTTTACTAGAACCAAACATTATTGAGCAATGTACACATTTTAGGATTGTTGAAGCTAAGGCACCTAATACAAGCAAATATGTCAGCTTTAATCCAAGAAACAAAATGCAACTATGCACTAGTGGTATTGCCCATTTGGCTTTTTGGGAAATCAACTCTTCTATTGATAGCTTTGAATTACATGCTCTGTAAGTATTACTGGATTAGTTGTATTGGATGAAGCTAACTTCAATCCCATAGCGAACCGAAAGTCTCGGAAAATATCTATGAAAAAATTAAAGCAACTGAAAGATACAGGCACGGATGGGGCAAAAATCATGACATTCTTTGCGTCACAAGTGATGGGGATTTCCTTCACTTTGAAAATTTCAGCTCCAATGGTGTAATACTGGATTTGGATGATTCAAAAGATTCGATGCATGCTATTGCTGTTTGTAAACACTCATGTATTATTGGATTATCGGATGGAAATGTGAAAATTGTCGGGATGTCTCATGTATTAAATTCTAGCGGGCACTATGAAGGGCCGGTATCAAGAATAATTAATTTAGGACACAGAGTAGGAGACGTAACGCAAGTCACTCTCTCTGGCAATTTTAAACAAATATTAGCTGGTACTTCTGATGGAGGCCTTTTCAGAATTCATATCAAAGGATTTGAAACAGAATTTACAACAGAATTTGAAATTATGAAGAATGAAGCTAACGTTACAATGGTATGTTTGAACCATTTTCACATGAGATGTAACATTTGTTCATTTCATTCAATATTATTGCCAAAAGCTTTATGATTCTCACGTCGGAGCTGTTTCTGGTGCGTTTCAAATTGAGCCAAAAAAGATGGACTCTGAAGAAGATAAGACAATCTTGACATCTGTGGGAATGGATGGAACTGTTAGAGTTTGGAACTATAAGCGAAATATTTTACTGGCGAAGAGAAAATTTAATGCTCTATTTTCGTGTGCCGAGTATTCGAACGGATTACTCTTTGTAGGATCAACTGTTGGATTTTTGCGAATTTTTGAATTTGATGACAAATATCAACCTATCCTAATTTATTGTCAGCGTTTAAGGTCAGCCTCAATAACTGGTATCAATATTGGAGGACCCGGTGAATCATTGGTTGCCATTTCTTTTTCAGACTTCCACCTTGGATTTGTGTATTTAAGAAGTAGGAATACTACATTGGATCATGACAAAAACAGCGAGGACATCGTTGACATTGACACTTCATTAGAAGATGATGACGAAGAAATTGCTGTTCTTGGATTTTGTAAATTTAGCAACAAAATTGCTACTCTCTCATGGGCTTCAAAAAATGGCCTATATGTGGCCACTGATGTTGGAGACTTGTATATGATTGAACCTCCAACATCTTTCGAAGAAGTTATTCTTTTAAATAACGTTACTAAGGATTTGTGGAAGCTAGATTATCCATGCTACGGAATTTCTACTTTCAGCGAGTACGTTTTTTTAAAGCTTATATTTCAATTTACTAATAATTTCAACAATAGTGACCCCTATCATATTTACGCTATCTCTCAAGATAAATCGATAAAGATTTATGATTTAAATTTGGAGGATCGACAATCTGGAATCAGCAATAACGTCATCACTCCAAGTAGTGAAGTATTGTGCCATCACAAAGTTGGTGAATGCATCAAGCAGAGTCCAGATGGTAATATTTTGTGTACAGGAGCAAAAGATGGAGTGGTTTGGATTCGGGCCGCTCAAACTAATTTCTATGAGCAAACAGATGATGAAAATATTGCACAAATGCACCCATTCCACAACTCACAGGATGGAGGAGTTTCTTGTATTAGCTTTTCAAGCGATGGAAATTATATTTTCTCTTCTGGTTATGATGGCTCTATCTATGTATATTGCTTGGATCCTTCAGAGAATATAACAAAAACCACATTTATGTCAGCTATCCCAAAAAGTTCAACAAAAGACAAATGTGGCCTCATCTCAGAGTCTGCAGATGCAAAAACCATTCTAGAACTAAAAAAGGATAGCCATAACAAGTTGGAAAACATGATGAAAGAAACCAAAAAGGAACAGTTTAACTCACAATTGGAAGAGCTTCGAAAACTGTTTATTTCTATCAAAGAAGAGAATGACACTGCCAACGAGGATGAAAAACTCTCTGAAGATGAGTTTATTATCGATGATGAATTTAAAAAATTGTTAGAAAAAGAAGGAGAAAAAGAAGCTGAAAAACTGAAAGAATGCATGAAAATTGAAAATGCCAAAAAGGACATAATGGCAAAAAGAATTAAGAAAGAATGCTGGGATTCTATGGAGGAGCATGCAACAACGATTGTTGCGTTCAAAATGACTTCCGACTATCAAAAGGATAGCAATCTTCTTGAGGTTTCCAATTATGTGATCCGCAAGAAAGATCCAAAGAAAGAAGTGATTCTTGGAAAAATAGCATTCTTAAGAAGAGTAGAAGAAATCACCCTATGTGACAGAAGAAAGGAATACATCACATCCAACATTGAGGGCGGCGTTCACAATGAGGACGATGAAACTGAACCAATCAAGCGAGCAGATTCTCGAGTGGGCGAAAATGGAGAAGCGAAAATAGAGGAAGGCGAAAATTTGCTTGACTTTGGTAAAAAGTGGAAAGAAAATATTAGAAGCAAGCTTGTATTGGATATGAATGCATTGCTATATCCTTATACAGACCTGTATACTCGACAAAGAAAGGCAACACAAATTCTTCTTTTACAAGATAAGGTCGACAAAATGATGAAGCAATTCAACTCTGATTTCAAGGCTGCTCGTGATGAAAAGCTCCAAGTTATCCGAAAAATCGAAAGAATTAACGAGGTCATCACAGACATTTCGAAGGAACTTTCAAGATGTTCTGATTGTCCAGTTAAAATTGAAATATTCGATCCTAAACTCAAGCCATCAGAAAAGCCAGAGCAATATATTTTACAAGTCAGTGAAGAGGAATTACCTGCAAAATATGAATCTTCAGAGCTATCGAAGCAGGCCGACAAGAAAAAAGACCAAAATAGCACGGGTCATGATAAGGAAGTGATTCAAAGAGCTTTGAACATGATGATGGATGGTAAATTAGATTTAGACAACACTGATGTTAAAGAAGAAGAAATACCAGTTCCATCTTGCATCAATAAGGAAAAATCTGAATTAACAGACCAAGAATTGAAAGAATTACGAGTGTATGAGTCTCTTCTCAAGCAAAAGGAAGAAGAAAGAATCAAGAAGGTGAAACAACTTGAAGCTAAACTCAACAATTCAAAGCAACAAATTGAAGACGTATGTCAAGAATTTGATAACAGTCTTAAGCTTCTCTTCTTGAAAAAGCAAGCAAGCGATCAAGCATTATATGAGATTGAATTGCAAATGGTAAAACTTGCTCAATCCATTATTCAACACGAAGAGTTCGAGAAGGCAGAAAAACAACTCGAAAAAATCCTAGAGGATCTCAAAAACAAAAAAGCACAATCATCAAGTGCTTTGCAAGAATATAGAAAGAGATACGAAATTGAAAAAACGGAACATGACAAACTCTTAATTGAGGATCGACAAATTGAAAGAAGTTTCAAGACCCAATTCCAACGAGACGTACTTCAAGTTTATTTTGCTTCAAATCAACAATTACTCGCTCAGCAATACAAGAAGCTCGCACAGCAAAAAAATCCATCAGCGACAAGTGATCTCCAAAAACTGCAACATGCCATGAATATGAAAATGAATGAAATGATGGAAAAACTTCAAAAACTCTTTCGAACTCGTAAAACTCAGGGCGCCAACGAGAACTCTGAGAACAACGCCATGGAGAGTATTGATCCGTTTGCTGATGTCGACGCAATGGAAGAAGCAAAAAATATTCCTCCTCAAGATCCTCTTGAAAAAGAAAAGTCCAGACCTATCTTTATTGCCGATGATGAATTGTGGGAAAAGTTTTGGGAAATCCGAGAGGCAAAAGTGGAAATGGACATGAATGTCAGAGAATCACAATTAAGGTTGGAACAAATGCAAGCGCAATTGCAAAAACTAAAAGAGGAGGATGGTGACCTCGAAAAGATTATGAGTAGAGACATGACTGAGCTTACCGAGTTTAGAGATCGAATTGTGACAGAATCCTATAACATGGACAAGATCTTTAGATTCAAGCAAGGACAAGTGGAAGTTGAGCAAGCTGCTGTAGTGACTGATTATTCAGATGCCATTCTCATTTTCAGATCCACAGTTGAAGATCAAAACCAAAACATTCGTCAACAGGGTCAAGAAATAGTCAAGCAGCTAACCAAGATGAAAGATCTCAAAAAGAAAATTCGCAAAATTCAATGGGAGAATGATCTCATCAACTTTGACACTGAAGAGATGATGATCAAATTCAAGCGATTACAAATGTTAAAAGTCAAGAAAGAAATGCAAGAAATCATCAGGATGGGCGGAGGTACAGAAGAAAAGAAGAAGTTGGAAAGAGCTAAATTGCAACGACAAATCGATAATGTCAAGACTGGTCTAGAAAATGCCATTGAGGAAAAGAAGAGAATTCTCAAAAAGATGGAAGACCTTATGCATGTTCGATACGAAGAGAACACCAATCTCATTCGACAAATTAAAGTTCTGGAACAAGTGGTTGAGGAGAGAAATCAACTTCATCAAATTCAAGCGTCAACCAATGAAAAGGATATGGCTGATAAACGCATGAAAGAATTGAGATGGGAAAGAAAATTACAAGACATTGCCAATGAGCAGAAACGAGAGTTGGAAATTTTAACAGACGAACTTGATCGACTGAAGAAGAGATCGTTCCCAAGTTTTGCTGTTGTAGAGAGAAGGAAAATGTAAATAAAATAATATATTATTCTAAAAGGATGTCAAAAACGTGTGTTATTGAATTGTTTGTCTTACTTCGATGTTCAGTGTGTTTCGTGCTCAAAATGTTGCAATGGTCTACGCTTCATTCTGTTTCAGCATTTTGATTGGCTAATTATTTTCTGTTGAATGTGGCCATGACAATAAATCAAAATATTAATATATATGTTCTATTATTCATTTCCACAGCATCCAATGATTAGTCCTCGTCATCATCGTTAATCTCTCCTCGTTCTCTTCTTCTATCCTCTTCAAACCTCTGCTCAATATAATCCGATGGAGTATCTCCAGCGTTACCTCTGTAAAATTCTGCTTTCAAAACCATTCGTTGCAATAATGAATGATCCCTTTCTTTGAATTTTAGTTTTTCTTCGAGGATGCAACGTTGAAAATCCCTTCGTTCGGGAATGACACAACGATTATAACTTTTTTGTTGAACACACTGCTCGAATATTTCCAGTTTGGGTTTACATGTCTCTGCAATTTGTTTTTCAATTTCGGGATCATCCTCACTCCAGTAAAAACGTTCCACAAAATTCATCTTTTTATCGACCAATAATTTGTCGAGGGAAGAATTCGTTGAGGCGTTTTGCGTCATTTTTTTTGAATTTTCTTAATTCTTTGATAATACTATTTTGATATAGTCAAGGAAATTATGTTTGCTTTCTTCAAGAAGTTCTATGTGGAATAGTTGTAATCATATCAATATATATTTAATCTTGTTTAAGATGCAGTAACTATTTCCACTTTTAGATGTTAGATTAGAAAAAAAATGTCTCCTTCACCATTCACTCACCCTTTCATTCAGGTAAGTCCATTTATCAGTAACCATGCCAGAAAATCTAAACTGTTTGTCCACTTGTACCGGATTCAATGGAAACAACACCAATCATGCCATAAAGGTCATTATGCATTTGACCTCTCCAGTAACCTCCAATTTATTTGTTTTCTTTTCCTTCAAGGTCAATCATTGGGGAAAGATCAAAGCCTCGTTACTGGCATCTAAATTGCTCCGAACCAAACCACGCATGGCATCTTCCTCTGTTGCGTCTTCATCCACTACTACCATCAAGGATGTCTCTTCAACAACTACCAACCCAACGGCATCATCTCGTTCCCAATAAAAACAACGGACTTTGTATTCATGAGTACAGAACACTACCTGCTGGATCGAGCGGCACCCAAGATCCTGATTTGAAAAACTATCGGTTGGAAGTTGCTCTTCAGACAGGGATCCGCTGTTCTCTTATTTGGAAATCATTACGCCAATGTTTCGATCTAGTCTCTTACAAAAAAAATGTTGCAAAGAACCACACAATCGTTGGCATGGATGATGAAGAGAAGATCAGCCGCCAGTCTGAGATCAGAGTTATCCTTCTCCTCTACGTTGGGATCCCAATCCCGTCGAGTCTTTGGGAAGAGATTGGATCATGCCAATCAGAGAAGAGAGTTTTCATGGAGTACTTGGCTTGGTAGTTTTGGGCGAAGCGCAAACCCAACAGTTGCCAACAACCTCACCTCTGCAACAACTGGAACGACAGCCACTACAACGACCATCCAAGTAGCCTCTCCTGTGGTCAAAGAGAATGTGGTAGCAACCAACGAGCCCACCACGAACCAAGTTCTCTCAGATGCCAGCTCGCAAGATGACACCTTTAATGGACTACAATTCATTCACGAGACTGCGGATTATGAGTATCGTGCTCCATTGACTTTTGGTGAGGAACACGAGATGTTTCTGGGGGGTCATCTGCCAAATCAAGCTCCTCATATTCATATCATTCAGGATTTCCTTCAGTACATGCATGATACAATCGGTAAGCAATAGTATTCATACTATTTTGTGCGAGTGTTGTTGTTCAATGATACATGCGTGTTGAACATCGCTGTTATTTGTGGCTTTCTGGAATTTGTTGTGATTTGCACAAACGTTCAAACATGTGGATGCAATCCTAAACGACAGGTCTTCCATGGTATGGTGCTATTATGGCATGTACCATTGTGTTTCGTTTGTTGGTTCTTCCGCTGAACATTTCGTTGATCAGAAATAGTGCACGATTGGACACTGTTCGCATTCATTTGAATGAACAAGCTCAAATCATGTCAGATTCTCATGCCACTGAAGAGGATAAGTTGAAGGCTGCAGAGGAGTTTCAAAAGACACTCAAAGAGAAGAAGTGTCATCCAGCTTTCAACATTCTTTCTCCACTTGTAATGGCACCAATGTTTTTATCGGTGTTCTTGAGTGTGGAGAGAATTTGTTTGCATGACCCTGGTTGTAGAGGATCAGGAGGAATTATGTAAGTTGGTAACGGTTCGAATAGTCAACAACAACTGCTTGTTAACCTGAACATTTCATATGCTTTGATTTCTGAAAGGTGGTTCCAAGTAAGTGTTCCATGAATTCATATTAACCAATTTATTATCAATTTACAGGATTTGAGTGCCATTGATCCAACCATGACTCTTCCTGTCATCAGTGCTGTCACTTGGCTCATTACCGTAGAAATGGGAGCTGCAGAACCAAGGTATGTTGTTCATCAATTTCAACAGCGGAAGAAAGTTTTTAACATTCCAACAACAATTTATAATTGTGACTTCAACACCTTAATAATAGAACGGAAACAATGAGACAAGTAAGAAGCGTCATGCGTTTTGTCACAGCCGTCATGGTTCCCATTACTGGTGCATTACCATCTGGAGTGTTTGTATATTGGATTACCTCCAATGTCTTCTCCATGATTCAGATTTATACCATGAGATTACCAGCAGTGAGAAAGTTTTTCAACATTCCAACCAAAGATGTTTCGAACAAATATATTCAACATAATAGAGATATTTCCATGTAATGAATATGATTTAAACTTGAAACATTTTGGTTCACAAATTGAGGATAACTTTTTGATTGCATATAATATTGAATAAAATTCATCGATTTTATATTTCTTGCACCTTCATCGTACGATGAGTTCTTGCTTATCTGAACCACCTTGTCGATCGTAAAAGATTTTGCGCCAAAAAAGTTCGTTCTTAAATCAATTAAAAAATGCCTCGGAACCGACAATCTCAACAACGAGGGTCATTGCTGTCCAATATTTCATCTATATCGGGTGGTTATGATCCACAATCACCATTACTAACAGCAGGTAATTCTGATGAATTTTCGTTTCGGACTAGATTGCAGAATGATGGAACAATAGGAACCAATCTCAAAAATAATAATAATCTGGGAACGCCGACTAGGGCCAATAATAATTATTGGAATAATAATCAAAATAATATCACTAGAAATAGTCCGAACGCTTCTTTGAGAGGAGAGTCACCAGTAACAATATCAAGCTTTGAAAAAGAACGACATTTAAAAAATCCAATTCAACCATCGTTAACAAAGGATGAAATTGCAGTTGAGGAAAGGTTGGAACGAATTGAATCATATTTAAAAACAGGAAGCTTTGTGGATACAAAACATCATGACATGAACTACACACCTCAGGTAAAGAATGACAAGGAGCAAGACAATAGTTTATATTCATTAATTGAGCCCTCACTCAAAAAGAGCCCTATATCCAGAAAATCCACAAGCTCGCCTTCCTCTGGAAATGATAAGAAATCCCAAAAAACTCCCACAACTCCAATTGCAGATTTATTTTCAATAGGAACTTTGCCTTCGTCGTCTCCGTCGAATAAGAGAAAAACAGAGAGTGCGTTTAATGATAACTTGCTGGAAGCAAAAACTTCACAGCAGTCAACAAAGAAAACTGAGGGAAAAGAAAAACCCTCAATGTCCACAATGGATACCAAAATACCTCCTCTGCCGTATCACAAAAAATTAGTTCGAGCTCAATCTAATGATTCCAATTTGATGAAAGAAATGAAAATTGAATTTGATGTACTTGATAAGAGAGGGAAATTTGTAATGAACCGAGTTGAACCTCGAAAATCTAATGTTGTAATTGAGCCGCAAACTGCTCGAACCTTACAACGAAAGAAGGCAGACTTACGAAAAGCAATTGAGGAAATTCAAGAGCATGTTTATTCGCCGTCTGCGGCCTTACATTCATTTAAGCAAAATAGCTCCACGAGCTTAACCTCTAATTCAGCACCATTTTCAAACACTCCTCTCCTTAATAAGGACAGCATTCGAAATATATTTACACAATCGATATACATGACCAAACGCAACACCTCTGATATTGCCTCTCCAACTCACCAAAGAAATTTAAATAATCGATTTATTGAAGCAACAGTCACTAGTTTTACAAACAACAACGATTCTGCCGAAGACGCTCAGAGAAAGCAAGAGAAACCAATCTCCTCGAAATTTGGGGAGCAATACGAGTTTGAATCTCTGGAGAGTCTGTTGTTGAATGAATGTCCAGAACCAGTAACCTCAGCGACCATGGTTGCCTTTCCTGCCAAAAGAAAATTGTGCTTATTTGGTGGCATGACGGACACGGGACCTACCAACGATACATGGCTTTTTGAAATTGGACTTCAGAAATGGATTCGAGCTCAACCTTTGCTATCCTATGAAACCAAAAAGAAAACCAATGAGACCATGAATGCAGCATCATCGTCACACAACAACTCGGTAAAACCTTCCAAACGGTTTGGTCATTGTGCAGCTGCATACGACTCGAATACCATGTACATGTTTGGTGGAGGAGATTTGGAAAGGAGAATTCTTTATAATGATTTATGGGTGTTTAAACCAGATCCTTTTCCCGTATGGAAATGTATCAGTAGTAACAACAATAACACATCTCAAGGAATGCCCTGCCCTAGAATTTATAGCGTTGGAGTCGTTGCAGATGATTTGTTTTTTGTACATGGAGGAGAAGGAGCGAATTTTAAACCCCTGAGTGATTTGTGTGTATTCAGTCGAGCGAAAAACGAATGGATTCCCATCCTTAATAGTTTTCCACGACCTTCTGCACGTTTTCTACATACAGCAACTTTATTGGACAATCACAAAATGGTCATTATTGGTGGAAATAACAATACTGATGAAATGTCAGATACGGTTTGGATTATGGACACTCGATCTCTATTTTGGAAAGAAGTCAAGATGAAAAATGTTGGACCATTCGCCAAAGGACCTCTCTATGGACATACTGCATCGGTGTGGGGTAATAGGATTTTAGTTTTTGGAGGAGTTAATGGAAAAACTCGTCTCAATAACGAGAAGGTATGGCTTCTCGATTTGGAAGCCAATTACTGGGTAGATATTTCTGACAAGTGGCAAGCATTTTCTGAATTACCTACTGCACGATTTAAACATGTGACAGCCTCTGACTTTTATTCTCACATTAGCTGCAACACCTATCGAGCGAATGCTAGAGACGAATTAATTGAGCTCTCCAAACATCAAATTTCTCGATATTCTGAAAAATCAGACTGTACTCGATCCTATGACACGACACTTCTTCGAATGCCCACTGACACTCATTTACAAAAGATGACACGATTATATATTTTTGGAGGAATGCAAAATAACAAACGCCTTAATGAATTGTGGGACGTTTCATTGACATTTTCACCAATTCATAGTGCAAACTATGAAAGAAGAAATCGAATAGAATGATGAGAGGATTTTTTGATCAAACAGAGTTCACCATGGACATATGGACGGAAGAATTGAACCGTAGCAGCAAGCATGACACGTGTTTCATCAACGATTTTAGAACCCAATCAAAAAATATTTTCTATCATTTTCTCGTATAGGAAATGGAAACCACACAAAGCTCTGCGGAGTTATTGAAAAAACTACAAAAAGATCTCAAAAATTTCAAACACCATCAATTAAAAACAAATCAAAATAGTGACCTTCTGCGCACTATATCATCCAAGAATTTTTTACTCCTATCAAATTATTAACACAAAACTCTATCATCATGTTCTGTTTTCTTGTTGGAGTGGCCTCGGGAGTGTATTTGCACAAGAATTACGACATTGATCGTTTGATTGCCGACATGAAACCCAAGTTTGCATCCGAGAATAAGGACAGTGTGTGGGAACGAATGAAAAAGTTTGAACAAAAGTATCGAAAGGAAGTCGTGGCACAACCTCCTCCATCATCATCCACCCCATCGACACCATCAGAGAAGAATGACTCTTCGTCGAAATAATTTTGATCTCATTCTAGTATGAAACCTCTAATTGGGTAGAAAACCCTTTTCAATGTACATAATTTCTACCTTGTCAATATTTGAAAATAATAAAACTTTGAATTCATCATACACCTTAATACCACAATTTCGAAATGACAGTAAGAATATCCTTTCTGTTGCTATTAATGACAGCTGCTTGTCGACATCATGATACAAATCAATTTCAATCCTTGTCCATTGTTGTAAGATTTTCAAACAATCCTCACTTGCGATTAATCTTCAACAAAAAATGTTATCATCGATTCGAAACATTACACACTGTCATCGGTGATGGTCTTTTTGACTGTAACGACAATAATGACTCTTCTGTAGTAATCCTCGTTCTTTTCGATTTTTAATTCCAAATATTAATCATCACCACCAGCATATTCCGATGATACAATTTTGGAAATTCTCAATCTCTATGATAATAATACAAAAATTATTAATAATGATCACACGGACCAATCAAACTTTAAAATAATTATTTAATGCGACTCTTGTTTCACAATTTTAAAAACTATCATGAAAATGTTTGTTGTTTTAGTGGAAATTTCGGATTATGTGATTATATCGCTCCCAGTGAAGTTCAACATCAATTTTCATATCCACATAAAGAGTTCATATAAATTCAAATTTTGGTGAGCGACAATGGAAAGAGCAGAATTCAACGAGGAATTCAAGCTTTTGATTTAGATACTAAGGGGTTGTTATTTAAAATCAATTTGAGCTGTAAACCACTTTGTATTGAATTAGATATTTATGATAATTTATTGGTAGGAGCTGATGATGTCTGTATTTATTTGACATGGAGAGTAAGCATGTGTATCGATCAGAGAAATGGTCAGTTATTTGTTGCTTACAGATCAATCATTAAGTGATATATTCCTTAAATTTCCCTTTACTCTTCAGTGTCTAGAATACTCCATCAATATGTTTCAGCACATAAACAGAGACTTTAGCAACCATTAGCCAATTCCACATCCAAGTGAGATGCCTCAGTAATCTGCTTAGCAGCAGAAGTTTCAGAAGCCTTCTTCTTCAATAGGACCACAGCGGTCGCAACAGCAGAGAAAGCTCCAATAGCACCTAGAGCAACCAGTGGAACAGTGATACCTACGGCAATTGCAACAGTCTGATCTGAACCATTAGATTTTCTCTCATTGGACACAACAGGTCTCTTCTCAATGGAGAGAAGTGAAGAGGATTGAACTCTATCTGAAATAATTAATGCAGTGCTAACATCTGACAACACTGCAAAAGATCTCACAGTACCATTTGTAGAAAATGCTGGAATCAGGAATTCCAGAGTGGTCACACCTGAAGAAATGTCCTTGTTGAGGGATGAGATGATTTGACCGTTTTGTTCAAAATCGAATTTAACTCGTACTTGTCTGTTTGAGTAGTATTGCACAAACGATGCTTGATTAATTGTGAGCTTGACAAGCGTTGAGGCTTCATTCACGTAATCTTTTGAACTGTTGAATGTGAGTTGAAGATTGGTGGCAGGAACATGGACAAGTTGACATTGATCACCCATAAATCCAGCATGACAGCCACACTTGTCAACGCTTGAACATTGCCCCTTTCCACTGCAAACACTGCTTGTATTGGTTGATAAGATACCAAAACAGAGAGGTTGAGAACAGCTAAATCCTCCATATTTTGTTGGTTCGTGGCAAGTACATTGATCAGGGATTGTACAGACTCCTCTTCCACTGCACACATTATTGGTATCATTGGCAGGAACTTGGAAACAAACAGGTATCTCACAATTAGATCCAACATAGAATTGAGAGCATTTGCAAGTATTGAATGCTGTGCATGTACCATTCTTGTAGCTACAAACAGCATCACTTGTTGATTGGATTCCATGGCAATAGGTGTTTTCACAATTATTACCAAAGTAACCACTGTCACAAGAGCAGGAATTGATACCTGTACATTTTCCATGACCACTGCATACAGATGGATTTGTTGATAAGGTGCCATTGCAAAAGAAGGCATCACATTTTGCATCTCCATATCCAGATTTGCAATTACACAAATCTACACCCTCACATGTTCCATTTCCACTGCAGACATTATTGGTATCACTTGATGAAATACCAAAACATTTGTAATATTGACATTTTTCACCATCATATTTGGAAGCATCACATTGACAAGTATTGTTCCTGATGCATGAACCTCTACCACTACATGCATTGCTTCCTGCAACAATATAGAAACAAATTGGTGTCTCACAACTATTTCCTGTCCATCCCTCAAAGCATGAACAAGGACCTGGTTTGGCACATGTACCATTCTTATAATTACAGACATCAGAAGAATTGGCAAGTTTTCCTTCACACATTGGTACATTGCATTCATTTCCAAACCATCCAGAAGTACAAACACAATTATTCAATGACTGACATTTGCCATTTGAACTGCAAACATTATTGGTGTCAGTATGGTTTTTGCCATAACATTTCCAATCTTGACACTTGTCTCCATAGAATCCTGTTTTACATGAGCAAACATCCCAATCAATGCAAGCTCCATTTCCAGAACAAACGTTAAGGGTATCGTTTTTAGCCTTACCAAAACATGTGGCATCACGAGGAGAGCAATAATCAGGTGCAATACAATCTCCTCTTAAATTATTACACACGGTACTGTCATTGGCAAGTTTTCCAAAACAGATTGGGAATTGACATGTGGTTGAAGGTGCATAACCATTGGTGCAGTTACACGTGTTGTAATCGATACACTGCCCATGTTCATAACAAACAGATACACTATCAGATTGAACACCAAAACACGTTGTCAAATGACACTCTTTTCCATTGTAGTTGGTGACACATAAGCATGTGTCTGGTCCAGTACATGAACCCTTACCACTGCAAACATTAGGTTCGGTAGAGTTAATTCCAAAACAAACGGCGACTTGGCATTGTTCACCAACCCATCCCTCCGAACATGAGCAGTTGTTTGGAGCGTCACAGGTACCATTCATGTAATTACAAACTGATGAATCATTCGACAGGATACCAAAACATATTGGAATTTCACACTCTACTCCTGTATATCCATCCTGGCAAACACAATTATTTGGAGACGTGCATTCACCTTTACCATTATTGCATACGTCTTTTTGACCTTGAGTTTTTCCATAGCATTTTGGAACTTGACAATCACTTCCTGTCCACAATGAGTCATCGTTACAAATACACGAATCAGGAGCATTACATTGGCCACGACCATTACAAACAATGGAGGTCTCATTAGCAAGAGTTCCGTTACATTTTGGAATATCACAGAACTGACCTCCCCAATGAGTTGAGTTACAAACACAAGTATTCACATCAACACAAATACCATTACCAGTACAGACATTTGATTCATCTTGAAGTGTGCCATTACATTTTGATTTGTCACAGAATTGTCCACCCCAAGAAGATGCGTCTGAACAAACACAGACATTTACATCGATACAGTCACCACGATTGTTGCATACATTGATTTCTCCCTGGAGAGTTCCATTACATTTTGGAATGGAACAATATCTACCTCCCCAAATTGATGAGTTGGAGCACTGACAAACATCAGGTTCAACACAAACACCCTTTCCTTCGCACACTTTTTCTGAGGTGGCCAAGGTGCCGTTACATTTTGGAATATCACAGAATTGACCTCCCCAATGTGTTGAATTACAATTACATTGATCAACATCCAAACAAACGCCCTGACCATTACAAACGCTCGAATCGCTAGCTAAAGTTCCGTTGCATTTTGGAATTTCACAAAATTGACCTCCCCACGAAGAACTGTCTGTGCACTGACAAGTATTAGCGTCAATGCATTCACCACGGCTGCTACAAACATTGGAATCACCTCTCTGAGTTCCATTGCATTTTGGAATTTCACAGAATTGACCTCCCCAAGAAGAGGTTACGCATTGACACACATCTACATTCACACAATCACCGTGGCCATTGCAAACAAATGATGTTTCATTGGCAAGTGTACCATTACATTTGGGAATTTCACAATATTGACCACTCCAAGAGGAATTAGTACACCTACAAACTTCAGCGTAGACACATTCACCTCTACCACTGCACACATCAATCGAACCTTGTACAGTACCGTTACATGTTGGTGTTGAGCATTGGCTGTCAGTCCAACCATCCATACATTTGCAAATTTCTGGTAAAATGCAGTCGCCCTGTTTGTTTGAACAAACTCTGGCCTCATCAGCTCTGATGCTGTTACAAATTGCGATTTCACACTCATCTCCAGTCCATCCTGAATTGCACTTGCAATTGTCTTTGGAAACACAGGTTCCATTTCCATAATTGCACACGTCACTACTTGTTGAATTAACACCAAAACACATTGGAATTTCACATTCTGATCCATTATACCCGTCAATACATTGACAAACATCAGGACGAATACATGTTCCATTTTGATTATTGCACACTGATGTTTCATTTGCCAAAATTCCATGACATTGTGGGATGTCACAGGATTGGCCAAACCAGCCATCGCTACAACCAGACACCAATTCGACGAGAGCAGAGGAATCTCCAACTAGAACACTACCTGTGGAAGTTACCGCAACGGAGTAGGGTAAGAATGATACTGTGGTTGCTAATTGTCCGTCTGTCAATGAACCAGAAGCTCCAGTTCCAGCAATGGTAATCATATTTCCATCAGTTGTTACCTTTCTGATTCTCCTATTGTTGTAATCAGCAATGAAAAGTTCTCCAGCAGAATTCACTGCAACTGACGTTGGATAATTTAGTTGTGCAGAAGTTGCAGGACCATTATCTCCAGAAAATCCACCAATACCTGTTCCTGCAATTGTTGAGATTATTCCATCAGTTGAAACTTTTCTAATACGATGATTATTGTAGTCAGCAATGAAAACTTCTCCAGCAGAATTCACTACAACTCCCCTTGGAGAGTTTAATCTTGCAGAAGTTGCTGGACCATTATCTCCAACAAAACCGGCAACACCTATTCCTGCAATTGTTGAGATAACACCACTTGTTGAAACTTTTCTAATACGATGGTTATTAGAGTCTGCAACGAACACTTCTCCAACAGAATTCATTGCAACTGAATATGGATTGAATAATTGTGCTGAAGTAGCTGGACCATTATCACCTGAGAAGCCAGAAATTCCTGTTCCTGCAATTGTTGAGATTATTCCATCAGTTGAAACTTTTCTAACACGATGATTACTGAAGTCAGCAATGAAAACTTCTCCAGCAGAATTCACTGCAACACCCCTTGGAGCGTTTAATCGTGCAGTAGTTGCAGGACCATTATCTCCAGCAAAACCAGACAGAACGTTTCCAGCTACAGTAGTTACTGTGTTGTCTGCATGTATTCTACGTACAATATGATTGGCAGTATCAGAAAACAACATTCCCCCGTCAGAAAGAGCTGTAACATATGTGAATGAGCTTACGAACATATTTTCAATGGGAATTCTTCCATAATTGCTATTTCCTGCAATGGTAACGATGTTTCCATCAGTTGTTATCTTTCTGATTCTCCTATTGTTGAAATCAGCAAAGAAAACCTCCCCAATCGAATTCACTGCAACTGAGTGTGGATTGAATATTTGCGCAGAAGTAGCTGGACCATTATCACCTGAGAAGCCAGAGATTCCTGTTCCTGCAATTGTTGAGATTATTCCACTTGTTGAAACCTTTCTAATACGATTGTTATTGGAGTCTGTAATGAAAAGTTCTCCAACGGAATTCACTGCAACTGAAGTTGGATTATATATTTTTGCAGAAGTAGCTGGAATATTATCACCTGAGAAACCAGGGGTTCCTGTTCCTGCAATGGTTGAGATGATACCACCTGTTGAAACTTTTCTAACACGATGATTACTGAAGTCAGCGATGAAAACTTCTCCAGCAGAATTCACTGCAACGGAGTATGGGTAGAAAAGCTTTGAAGAAGTTGCTGGACCATTATCACCTGAGAAACCAATGGCTCCTGTTCCTGCAATGGTTGAGATGATACCACCTGTTGAAACTTTTCTAACACGATTGTTATTGGAGTCTGTAATGAACACTTCTCCAGCAGAATTCACTGCAACTGAAGTTGGAAAATTTAGTTGTGCAGAAGTTGCAGGACCATTATCTCCAGAAAAACCACCAGTACCTGTTCCTGCAATGGTTGAGATGACACCACTAGTTGAAATTTTTCGAACACGATGATTACTGAAGTCAGCAATGAAAACTTCTCCAGCTGAGTTCATAGCAACACCCTTTGGAGAGTTTTGCTCTGCAGAAGTTGCTGGACCATTATCTCCAGAAAAACCACCAATACCTGTTCCTGCAACAAGATGAAGGGTTCCATTTGAATCCATTTTCCAAACCGTATTATAAGTAGAGCTTGAAAAATATATCTCATTGTTCAAACCCAAACACACACCAAAGGTAGAGCCCAGTAGTGCCGATTCAGCAACAGCTCCATTTATATTGGTTGATGTTGTAGTAACCAATACATGTGTTTTATATTCAGCACACAATACAGCACCAACAAACAACAATAACCACACAACAATGGACCAAGCTGTCTTCATGAATGTTTTTTTAACAATTCAAAGTGATTCTTCTCTTTAGATTTAGAATTTCAGAGAGAATGTTGTTGTAATTGAGAGGTGACAAATCATCGCCGGTACTAATGTATGTACATGGAAGTATTAGGCTCAAAGAGGAGAAGGGTATTTGATGCGGCCACTACTTTGGTCATGATTTTAGTGCGTGTATTTTTCTCGTTAAAAATGATGAAGTTGAAATTGGTATGCCATGATGGTTTTAGAGATGACTCCTGAGTACTTCCCAAAATACTAGACAGATCGTCACCCCGCTATAACGTCGGATGCGCCATACATGGTATTATTGAGTTTTCTCGTTTGTACTAGGTGAATAGAGTAATTCCTTAATGGCATGTGATAGTTTTCCAATACCATAATATATTTGTCCTAAATAGAGAATGCTTCTGCCACTGAATTTGCTCCACAATGAGTTAAGAAAATTTTGATCTTGTTCAAAGAGAGAAGCCCTCTCTGAGGTACGTACGTCATGAATTTGTGCAAGTCAGCACGTTCCATAAGAGTGGTTAAGCCCAAATCCTAATTCGTTTCACAAATTTTCCATTTCTTCTCAGTGATGCTTCAAAGAGATCCCAATTGGTCAATTGTTCAAGTCGACCCTTCCAATCACTAAATGGTACAATTCCCATTGAAATTTGAGAAGAATTATTCATGGTATTCAATCTTATTCTGTAACAAGGAATAATTATCACTCTCCATTTCCATAAGTTCCAAAATTTCAATAATCAATTTTTCAATAGGATATATAGCCTTTTCAACGATCATCAAGACCTCGTTGTACATTCAATTTAGATTTGCTTGACTCATGAGTTGAGCGTACAGTTTGGGTCGACGATATTCTTCAGTGTGGTTGGATTTGGTTGATTTCGGAAATATCAAATGGATTTTCTTTGTTGTCCGATCAATCAGAACCAAAGGAGCTAAAAAAGCCAAGAGAAAACAGGTTGAGACATGTTGATGTGCAACCGACACTCGGGATTTAATTGTCGAGTGCTGTGTTGAATTTGTACAAATGATCGCAGCAGAAGCAAATACAATTTGCGAACAACAAGAAAAACAATTCCTCCACCACTTTATAACGCAGTACGAGGAGAAGTGATGGTGAATAATAATGGTCAGGGAATGTATTGACTGTTTTTGAGAAGGCATTCAAACATTGGCAAAAAAATAACTGGATTTTTCAAATCGTTTTTCATTGTCTTGTCGTAGTAAGAGGTGGCCTTATCAAGTTGTCCCATGTTAAATAAACAAACGTCTAAACTATTATCCCTCAGAAAACATTTCATCATTTTCCAAAGTTTTTTCATACAATGCAATGGCATGATAACATCGACACCATCAGAGAAGAATGACTCTTCATCGAAATAATTTTCTCATTCTAGTATGAAACCTCTAATTGGAAAAAACCCTTTTCAATGTACATAATTTCTACCTTGTCAATATTTGAAAATAATAAAACTTTGAATTCATCATACACCTTAATACCACAATTTCGAAATGACAGTAAGAATATCCTTTCTGTTGCGATTAATGACTGCTGCTTGTCGATGATACAAATCAATTTCAATCCTAATCCATTCCATTGCTCTAAGATTTTCAATCATTTCAAAGATTAGATCCTTCTTGGAATCATTTTCAAAATAAAAAAAATTATTCTTCTTTGAGCCTACAACCATCGTATCCAATGAAGAAAATGCATAGGGTTCATCGACAAATACATGTTTCACATGTATCGTTTTCAAATGTACAAGTTCTTTACATTTCTTGGAATGATGCATACCATTATGCTCTTCACCAAATTTCAATGGAATGATTGCTGACGTTTGATAGGGAACCTTATCTTCATCTTGTTTCACACTACAGAGTGTCATCCTTTTTTTACAAATTTCCAAAGCTTTGAAATATTTTGATTTTCCATCATTCATCTCGTAAATGAAAGGTTTTTTATCAGAATTTCCATCCTCCAAAACCATTTCATTTCCTGTTCCCCAGAAAAATGCAATTTTCAAGCCCACATACAAATATGGAGCCAATAAACATCTGACAGAAATTAAAGGACTTGCCAAAGCAATGAAATTCATCAATTCCAAAGACAAGTATCGTTCATTAGGTTCATCTTTTGATTTGGACGTGTTGACCATAATTGGAACGCGAATGGTTTTCCTTTCTTCATCAAATAATTCTCCCATCATGTATCGACAATATAAACCACCCATCGAAGATCCAATAAACGAAATTCGTGAGGGAAGAGTACAAGTATTGAGACATGCTGTCCTGTCAGTCGTTGCATGTTCAAAATCATTTCCATATTTTTGGCTTAATATTTTGGATAATTCTTTCAATAGTCGTTTTCCTGTATATTTGAATATTACACAATAAATAATTATTTAAGGTATTAAATAAATAAGTATTAATTTGGAGGAATTAAAAATTGTGTTGAAACATTGAATATTACCTCCTTGGACAATTCCATCACTCGTGCTCGACCAATTCCATAAATATCCATTATTATTGGCACTCATATTCAACATGATGAATTGTTCTTGTTGTTGAAGTGAAGCTTCTTCTTGTTCTTTTAAAAGCATTTTCGGTAATTCTTTTTCAATGTATTCCAAATGTCCTGTATTTCCTTGAAGTCCATGACACAGGACGACAAGATGTTGAATAAGCGAATTAGTTGATGACATTTTTTATTGTTGGGAAATGAACCTCAAGTTCCTATTTCCAATAAGGATTGAAATTGGATTTATACAATTTTCATTCCTATGCAGGAATAGTTGAACACATAATGGTGGTTGAAATGGAGTCAAACAATGACACATCACCACACACGTGTTTGTAAAAATGTCCATGCAATCATTTTCTTGATGAAACAAATTGTAGAATCAGACACGTATCACGTTCGAATTTCATCTTGGAATCATTACTTGATCTTTAATACCAGCTGCTTCTTATTCAAGTAGTTAATATCAAGTAAATTCAAAAACAAATTGCTTCACGTGTTTGCTCACTCAAAAAACTTGTCAAAATGATATGCTTCATTGCTGGAATCATTCTTGGAGTTTATCTTTGCAGAAATTATGATATTGAACGAATCTGTTCAGATGTCAAATCAAACATTTTCAAGTGTGAGAGTAGTGTTTGGCAAAGCTTTAAAAACACAGAGAAGAAGTATAGAAAGGAGCAGCAAGAAAGCAATACTGTGGCTGATAGTGGCACTGCTACATGCTGTAATCAAAGCTCGGCTCCAACCTTACAACAAATGTATCCAACCTTTGCATTGGGATCCACTGAAACACAAGACACGCTCAAGGACCAATAATCTGAAGGTAGCAATCTTCAACATTACTAATGGGAAGCACCACTTCCAACATCTAATCCATTGTAAATATTTTTCAGATAAGTCAACTCGGCAACTCGGTTGGGATCTTAATAGAAACATAATAAATTCAGTGTCAATTATGAAACCTCATAAATTCAAGTACACCTTCACTGACGAGTATGGCCATACTGATATTCAAAGGATTCTCTCTTCATTCTCAAAATCGTGACACCTATCATGACGAGTGACCAAATAACAATGATGCAATTTAGAACTACAGCAGATATTGACAAGCTCAGATAGCTGCTGTAATGATAATTCGGATCCGTTGAAATGAACATGATTGCAATAGAAATACAATCCATAAATATTAAAAACAGCAAAGAACCAATATATCCCACATGTAAACTCTTGATATACTCTTTCGTTGGCTTGAACGCAAGCATTCCTATAATTGTAGTAATGAACAAGACTACACAAACAGGAACAAAAACAATGATAAATGAAGTAACATAATACGTTGTACTAATATCAATGAATTGATTGAATGGAATGGCAGGTAATATGAAACATCCTAGAATTAATAAAATAGAAAGAGCAGTAAAGCAAGCATTAGAAATAACGGCTGCTTTTTGTAACTTGTATGGTTTCTTAACGTCCAATAATAATTTCTTGGATGTACTCAAATGTTTTGAATCTACATGAATAACACTTCCATAATTATTGTGTGTGGCCAAACTGAAGGAGCTTTCCGAACTTAAAGTATTTTCTTCGGATGGGAAAGAAACTCGGAGATTTGACTTTTTCTTGTTGGTGGAAAACCAACTCGTTAATCGTGCTGATAATGAACGATTTTCCAAAGACTTATTTCCATCATGATGAAGGTTGTTGCCATTCCCATCGTCTTGATCTAATAACACTTCGGGCTCATTTCTATGATGTTGTACTCGAGAAATTTCTTCCAAAATTGTATCCGTTTCGTCCAAATCGTCCTCTGGTGTTCGGATATTGGTGGCAGCAATTGCTACTGAATTATGAAGCAGTGATGATGATGAAGAATGATGCACTACTGAAGCGACAGCATGAGGGTGATGATGAGTTGCTGTTCGATGAGGCGGTTGCATTTTTTTGAAATTAAATTCATAAAAAACCATTCGATTTGGAGGATCAAATTGAATCAAATTCATTTCTAAAAGTGTTCATTGTTGGTCCTCACGTTCCTTTGAACAATGTTGTGAAAGTGTTTCCAAAATGTTCACAATTTGTACAAAGGTTGGTCTCACTGATGGATTTTCATTCCAACACTGTTTCATTAAATTAATATATTCATTACAAATGTCCATTAAGGTAGCAAGTGAGAGATGTGAATTTTGAGGTTGAATATATTCCTGGATCCAAACTTCTGCTTCAGTTTTGAATGATGTTGACAAATCATGTTGAGAAGAATTTGTGAATTCAGACATGACTCGATTGGATGTGAAGGGAATGATTGGCCTCATACCATTCATGACTTTGAAAAGAATGTTCACTCCATTTTCATCACTTCCACTAGTTTTGTTGGAGAATGGATTGTTGGTATGGAATTTGTGAATTTTCAATGATTTGTCATTTAAATAAGGATTTTCCTCAAAGAATAATTCCCACATAATGATTCCAAAAGAAAAAACATCTACTTTGGTGTTATAACCCGGACTGTCATTGATGATTTCCTAATAATAATGGAAAAAACGTATTCATCAAAAGACCAGTGTGAAGTGACGCACAGCGTTGTCAGCAATTGTGACAATTCAGATAAATTGACAATGATTTGCAATGGTTGGTATCACATGATAAAGTTGCTACTTACGTTGGCCATGTAAAAGATCGTCCCAATATTTTTGGTTGCAGTATAACTGTGACCCATGACTCGACAAAGACCAAAATCACAAATATGACCCTCGTAACTCGAGTCAAGTAAAATGTTTCCAGGCTTTAAATCTCTGTGAATAATAGGTGGAGTTAACGAATGAAGATAGGCCATTCCCTTGGCTACTCCAATGAGAGTTTTCAGTTTGGTGTGAAGCGTGAGAACTTCGTTTCCAATCTTACAATTATAAATGATTTTATCCAGACTACCTTTTGGATAATATTCTTGAACCATGAAGGTTTTCGAGCCAGATACTGTTAGACCCTTCATTTTGACAATTGAAGGATGTTGAACGGAGCTTAACAATGCTATTTCTCTTTCAAACTCCTCTTGATCAGCAACGTCGTCAAATTTGATAGTTTTCAAAGCAACATCGTTGTCTTTCCATTTCGCATGATAAACTGTTCCATTTGTACCTAATAACAATAATTTTGTACATCATTTTCACATGAATTTTGAGCAACATAAAAATTATAATAAACCAATGAAAAAACTCCACAAACCTTCACCAATCTTTTTAACAATTTCAATCTCCTCAATTTTGATAATTTCTGGTCGCAATGAAGATGATGAATATACTAGAGATGACGAGGAAGTTCTTGAATTGTCTCGTTTTGTATCCAGTGAATCGTTAATCACTAAAGGAGTGCTCTCATCGTTGGAGAAAATAACTTGCTTGTCAATGATTCGAGCTTCCAAATACTTCTCTGCACTTTCTTTTTGTTTCAAAATTTTCATTTTTCTATAGAAATATCTCAAACACTTGATCAAGACATACAAAAGGAAAACACTTGTGACAATTAAGGCTGCTCCAGAGGTTGCAACAATGGGAATTAAAATTTCAAGATGGATGGTAGCACACGTGTAACCATAAGAGTCTAAAAATATTAGTCGTGTTCCAAATGGGCAACCTTTCACATTAATTGTAAAATCCAACGGATAATTCTTTTCTATCAAAAGTTGAGCTGCAATTACAGTAATGGTTGGAGAAAAAATAGAGATTGAAAAATCACGAATTACAAAATTAGATGTCTGCACATTTCCAATGTTAGTGCTGGCATCGCTCGAGTTGTGAACTACTACTGCAATTGGAAATTGTAATACATTCACTCTGTCATATTGTCCATATTGATTCATTGTGTCAATTGAGATGTTCATTGAAGGTATTCTTTGACCAGGATAAATGTTCAATGTTAACAAGTCCTTGGATGTAAACATTACAACATGTTCCTCGTCATATCTAATTTCGAATGTGTATGCAATATCATACAGAGGTCCTCCCAGAAATTGTCCGTAGGAAAGAGCCCCATTTCCTGACTCTTCCACAGAGTAAGGCAAAAAATCCATTGATTTTGTACTGTAAATACATCCACCTACATCAAAGAAATAAAAAAAGGTGAATCTGAAATGGAAGCATATACATACCTGAATATGATGCAAAATTATCATAACAACGCAAGAAGGCAATCGTGGAATAATTTTCTGCAGGGCTTTCATAAAATAGTGCTCCACCCCGTAAAGCAGTGTTATTCGAAGCCAAAATGCCTGAACCCTCCCCACTTTCCAATATTTGTAATGGCTTAATATAAGCACATCCTCCGCTTTGAATAGCATGGTTATTGACACAACTTGTGTCTACAACAGGCGTATTCGCCTCAACATAAACTCCAGCTCCATTTAGAGCTGTGTTAAACGAACAAGTAGCCTGAATTTTTACAAAGTCTCCAGACAAGGCACAAATTCCTGCCCCATTTCCGTGCAAGTGGCTGATATTCGTAAACGAGCTAGGCCCTATGTTTGTGCTCGACTCGGTCAATGTGCTCGTGTCCACAAATATTGCTCCGCCATCAATGTTTTTAAAGTCCACAAACTCGGCTGTAAAGAAAGCAACTCCTTTGGCCACTATTGCCCGTTGTGAAATGTTTTCAAAACGACAAGATGACATGAACGCCGTGTAGCCATTAGTGATTTTCATCAATGCTTCATAAGGACTAGTGTCAGGATTAGAGTTATAAAACGTGCTATCTTCAATTACTAACTGGTCAATGCCTTCAAATTGCATGTTGAAGGATCCAGTAGAATGACATGCCATCATGGATGACTCGAGGGAAAAGTATTGAAACATGTAACTATTATCTTTAAACTGAACTGATTTAAGCTGTACGGACTTGAATCGTTTGATTGCGAATGAGCTGCTTTCAGATACGGTGTTTTTCATGACAAACAATTCATTGTAGTCGACTCCTTCAGCGTCTGTCCATGAATAATACAGCACGTTCTGTAACAGTGAGTGAGAGATGGTAATATTGGCCCCTGGGTTACCAGGATAAGTAGTTGAAGAATAAATCGTAGCATCTATGATATGTGAATGGTCCACAATAAGATTAAAAATTCCCAATAGATTCATCTTGTAAATTCGTGTCTTGTTGAATGTCAAGCTTTGTATGAGATCCACTTGCGAATTTACCGAATAATTAATGTCATGAAGTTTGCAATTGTAAAATGTGGCATCTGAAATAGTCACAGCATATGCTAAATTAGCATTTCTAATGGTCACAGAATTGACAGTCATTTTCACCACTACAAAAAACGAAAAGAGGCTTCTTCCTCCGCAATCAAAGAATATTTCAGATGTGTTTTCCATTGGTTCCAGCCTAATGTGTGAATGATATTGTCGTGAGTAACTGTACATTTCACATGATGACGAATAATTTCCTCCATTCATTAACTTGAAAGTTGCTTCCGAATGCGGTTCTATCTCATGATGATTGCGTAGAAAATCCAATCTTGCAAAGGCATCTGAAATTGTTGGGCATGGCTCGAGAATGGTGCAATTCTGTGAAAACCGAGTTTGATTATTACTACTTTCGGGAGATGATATGTAGAGAATGAGAGGCATCGAAGAGGAATTTGGAGGCGCTGACCATGTGCCCATGTCGGAAGGAAACGGTATCTGTAAGGAAGCTAATGTTGTTGACTGTGCGAGACTACAGCAGAGCAGTAGTAGCAACCAGGTTGTTGACGTCACGGTTGAGCAACACCGCTTCGTGAGATCCCAAGATATCGTCATTTTTTGTGTAAAAGTTCACATTAGTGCGAACATTGAATCTCGAGCGTGTTTAGTCTCCCAATAACTGCACACGGTTGGGTTGTGGCTGAGATGAGGGGAAAAAGATGTGCCACAAAAACCTCCAATCAAAAAATAAGGTTTTCCAGCTGAGAAGCATGTTCTGAAATCGTATCATGGTTAAAAAGACGAATTGATCTGTTTCACATGCTTCAATGGATTTGAAGAACAAGTAACTCAGAATAGGTTTGACAATCTTTCTCATGAACCAGTTAGTCACTTTCTGAGGATATAAAACTAGATCTGACATGTAATCTACAAACCAAATGTATGCATACAAGTGGTAAAAGGATAATTGAAGCCTTCTACTGAAATTAAAGTTGAAAGTGTATGCTTCTGGATATTCATGTTTTTGTCGACTCTTTTTCTTTGTCATTCGAGCTTCTTTGAGTGATTCATGAAGTGCCAAGCAAGACTCAGCAACAAGTGCAATTCCTCTTCCATAATAGGGGTTGAGAGAGGCCACACTGTCTCCCAATGCAAGAAAACCCTCAATGATTGCTTTCTTTCCTCGACGAGAACATAAAGAAGGCAACTTTTCCCAATGGTTGAATGAGATGTAGTCACGTCGATACACACTCCAATCCATGACAGGTCTGTCACCACCGTCAACAAATGCATCAAAACAGTTTTGACAATGATTGTATGCACTGGGAATTTCTGTCTTGATAAATTGTAGAGCAGACTCTTTAGATCGTAATTTTTGTGCATTTTCAAACGTTCCCAATTTGCTTATGATAAACATTGCCAGTCCATTTTCAATGCGATAAATCATGACTCTACCAGGTTTTGGGAATTCATTTGTAAATACACAAAGCCATTGCGGCTTGCCATCAATATCTCGCTTGTAGAATCCCTCCGAAAGCATTTCAGGCTTAATCCTAAATATTGCCATCACGTTTGTAATTTGTGACTTGGCTTTTGTTTTTTGAAACGGCTTTACCTTCTTCTCTATTTCAGAGAGTTCTGCCGAAATCCAATCAGGTGATTTTGTGTAGACGCCTGAGCAATCAATGACCAAATTAGCATCAATAACACTCTCTTTGCCAGAGGGTTCGGTAATTTTTACACCAACAGCCCTATGAACAATATTTCCCTTATAGTATTTGGGTCTTAATGGATGTATTTTGTTATGTACTGAGGATGTAGTGTTCATTCCATCAGAATTAGGAGAACGATTGGATGAGATAAGGTCTGGTTGTTCACGATTCTTAGACATTGTGTGGCAATCTGAGCTATGCTCTTCATGATATCTCTCCCAAACTATATCTTCGACTTGTGTATTCTCCATTATGGTGACGTTGCTCAACTTTTTCACGTGTGCCCTCAAATAGTTCTCCATAAAGGTTCGTGACATCATGATCATGTTTGGAAAGTTAACAAAATTCAAAGGTACTCTTGGAATACCATTGGTTCTGTAGTCAGCCATATCAATACTAAGCTCAAATGCTCCCAACTCGACGACACTTTCCATAAAACTTTTTTCACTTGTTGACAACAAACAATCCAATAATTGTATGCATCTCATCAACAAGATGTGCGTCTGATGACCATGTGCAACCATGGTATGACCAGCAATCATTTCTTTTTTCTCAATAATATAGACGTGATCAAAATGTACAGATGCAACTGTGGCCGATAAAAGACCAGAGACCGAGCCACCAACAATCACACATCGTTTACCAGCTTTGGGAATGTGTTTTTTTTCTAATTGTGCTGCTTCTTTTTCAAGTGTGGAATCGTAGGCTTCCACATTGGTACTGCTCACATATGGAATGATATATTTTGCCAAGAGATGAGTGATTAACACTTTTAAAATCCAAAGGAGCATCAAAATGAGTAATATAAAACTCCATTCCGAAGGTACATTTCCAAATATTAATTGTTGTAATTCTATGAATTGTTCTTTCAATTTTCTAAATACAATAGCCCACCACCATTCCGATTGTTGATGGGAATGATGATGGTGAGAGGCTTGATCTCCGAATAAATTAATCCATAAAGATGATAACATTCCGATCATGGCGATCAAGTTGATAATGTGTTTTCCACTCCTCCACTCGATGATACAAAGAAGAACTTGGAAAGCCGGCTAGTCGCCAAATAATTTGATACAAGTCAATTTTTTTCTGTTACAACAAATGATTAGTTACAAATTCCTGAGGTACAAATAAGGTAATCATAATTTTCAAATACTACACAGCTAGACGAACGAATACAACAGTGTATTGTTGTTGTTTGGTTTCATAACCATTCTTACTAATCAAAATCTGAATTATTCAAAGCTTTCTTTTTCGATTCAATTAATTTCATAGCTTCATCTTCCGAATCCCATCCATCATCAAAATCCTCATCATCAGAATCTTCTTCTTCACTTTCATCTGCCAAATAGACTCGTTTTTGATCGAGTGCCTTTTTCAACATGTTTGAAATTGCATCTCCACCGCTCGATGCCTTTGGTTTGTTAATATCTTCAGGATTCACTTTCTTTAAATTCGTACCTTTTCGAATGGATTCCAATAAATCACCTCGACCACTTGGCATTTCTGGCATTTCAATATGTATTTCAATTTTAGGAGTGTTGTTCAAGACTGGAGGAGGTGGAGGAATCATGGAACTCTGAGGAGGTGGAGGAGGTACTTGAGAAGCATTTGTTAATAATTGTGTTGTTTGTGAAGGAATAGAAGGAATGGTTGATGGTTGTTGCTGTTGTTGTTGTTGTTGTAACAACTTCTTTCGATGCTCTTCAGCTTCTTTTTCAGCTTCTTTCTGTAATTTTTCTTGAAGTTTTCGTTTTTCTTCTTCGAGTTGTTGAATCAATAACTGACGTTGTTCTTCTTCCATCTTTTCCAATTCTCGTTTGAGACGTAACTTTCTTTCGTGTTCTTCTTGTTTCATCTTCTTTTCCAATTCTTCAATTCGTTTCATTTCTTCTTGCTTCATTTGTTCGGCTAATTTCTTGAGTTTTTCTTCTTCTTCTTGAACGAGACGTGACGACACAGATTTTCGTTTCAATTGTGTAGCTTCCTTATACATGACAGATTGTCGTTTCATGCTTTCAATTTCTTTCAAATTGGATTGAATTTTCTCGAGTCGCTGTCTCTCCTCTTCTTTAAGCTTCATGTTGAGCTCTTGAAGTTTACGTTCCTCTTCTTCTTGAAGACGTTTCTGAATACGTGAAAGCATTTCCTTTTCCTCACGTTCGATACGAGCTTGCAATTCCTTCTTCTTTTTCAATTCTTCTTCCTTGTATTTGTTTTCAATTTCTCGACGCGCTTGTTCTTCTTCTTTTTTAATTTCTTCATTGATTTGTTTGAGACGTTGCTCTTTTTCTTTCACAATTTCATTATCAATTTCCATGAGACGTCTTTTAGCATCTTTATCAATGTCACTCATCATTTTCTCTCTCTTCTTTGCTTCTTCTGATTTTAATTTGCGAATTTGATCTTCTTTTTGTTGCTCTGTGAAAGAAACAAGTTTCGATTCCAACTCTTCAAGTTTTTTCTTTTCCTCTTTCTTTAAATTTTCTTCAAGTTCTTTTCTCTTAATTTCTTGTTCACGAAGGACAGATTCTTTCATTTCTCTCAATTTTCTCTTTTCTTCTTCCATAATTTTGTGATTCATCATGGTCTTTCTTTTTTCCAAATCCATTCTTTTCACTTCCAATTCCTTGTCATGTTCAGATGCTTCATTTTCTGGAATAATCACACTAATGGTCGGAGTTGCAGCAATACGAACCACATTGGAAGGTTTTGGAGGTAATGCTTTTGGTTTTGGTTTGGGAGTGACTTTCTTTTTCTTTCCTGTCAATGAGAGACTTGAAGAAGATGACCCTAAGGATGATGAGGAGGAGGGTGACACGGCATTCGATGCAATTGTTTCATTATTATTGGTGAATGTGTTTTTCACTTTTTCTGTTAATACTCCCATGGCACTTGTGAATTTGTTGGTCACCAGTGAAAGAGTGGCATTGAGTGTTGAAGAGGATGAATTTATGTCTGAATTTGAGGTCATTGTTGAATTGGAAGAATTTGAGGAAGAAGACGATGCATTATTGTTTGAACTTGTGGTGGTCGATTCAAAATTCACAGCATTTCGTTTTTTCAATGAAATTTCACTTGCAGATCGTTGATGCTTGAATGCAGCTGTTGGATCTTTAGTGGTACTATGTGCCACATGAGTCATTCCTTTAGGTGACGAAATTTTGATTTCACTCTTTGGTACGTTTTGAGTAATGGAATCAAAATAATTTTCTTTCACTTCTGTCTTTGTCTGTGTGACATTTGGAGTTGTTGTTGTTGTTGGAGGAGGAGGAGTGGTCGTTGCAGAATTGGACTTGTTCATGGCTTTTGTTGAAGAAGTATGCTGTGGAATAGGTGGAGGAGATGATGAACCATTTCCTAAAGGTCGAGGACTCGAATTATTTACACTCGAGGTAGATACCAAAGGTCTTGGTTTAGGTGATTGTTTTAATGATGAATCCATGACAGTAGCAGAACGAGTTAAATTGGGAGATGATTTGGAGGATTGGGTTTTTGACAAGGATGTTGGTGATGATGAAGAGGTTTTTGAAGAGCTTGATGTGACATTCTTGTTGAAAGGTGGCGGAGTAGAAGTCTTGTTTTTCGTCTTGTTGTTGTTGTTGTTGGATGATTTTGGCTTATTTGATAAAGACGGAGAGGAGGATGGAGAAGAACTTCCAGCAGCAAGTCCTCCGTTGAGAATATGTTCCTCGCGTTGGGCATTGGCTTCCAACTTTTCGAACATGGCTAATTTCTTGTTTACGGTGGACATGTTGATGGTGTGTGTGGTAATTGTTGAATGAAAATTAGTTCAGTACGGATCGATTGAGAAGGCGACAACAGAGGTGAGAAATTTTTTTGTGTGCGACAAATCGGCAAAGGCAAATGACTGTTGACTTGAAAGGACATCATTGGCCATTATGATTGTTGTTGAACAGCCATGACGATGTGAACATCAGTGCGAGGAAAATTGGTCAATATTTCATAATTTTGAAGTCACCAATGTTTAAGGGTCCTTGGGAAACACCTTAAACTTGTTTTTGTACTTACGGTTCATTGCATCCTCTCATTATCCAATTTTTGATTTTCCGTCGTTACATGGTAAAGGGCTTGCGAAAAGTTCTCGACTGTTTTAAATTGGGTGATGCGGACCAAATGAATTGATGATCAGCATGAACACACAATTGTGAAGTGGTGGCAAAGTCAACGAACTGAAGATCAAAATAATTGATCGAGCCTGCTTCCAACTACTGTAGATCGAAATCCACGTTTAGCAATTTCTGAAGCCTGCACTCGTAATCGCCATATTTTGAATTACGTAACCCCAATAACTTTCTTTTGGGGTTCTTTCTAGGTTGCTCTTTCACACTTTACAACAGGTCATGCCAAAGCTCCAATCAAAATTTTGACGCCCTCGTTGTCTTTGATGGAAATTTAACGTTGCGTCTGTTTTTGCGTCTAGCGTCAGACATCGCAAGGTCCTTTCGAAGTCATGGACATTGGATGACGGTTACGATTTTGTTCCTGAACATGATACTCGCAATCAAAATTGTTCAACTCTTGTTCACACGCCAACACGCAAATTTCACACATGCATCTCACAGTGCATCTTTACAACAGCTGTCACACAGCGTGTGTGAAGAGCCAAATTTTGGTTTTTAACACCCACTCGCTCCAAGTTCAATTGGTCTTCTCGAAAAAAAACAACAACACTAATTTCACACACATTGAGAATGAGAGCCGTCACCTTGACACTCTTCATGATCATGGTGGCCACTGCTACCTTGGTCATGGCTGCCAATCCATTCGATACTAGCACTCAACCATTTGCAATTGGTGGTGCTTTCAAGAGATTGGAAAAGAAGTCTCCTTCAACATTTGCTTGTTATAACTCAACCCTCTCTGATTGGGCTGAATTGAGATGGGGTGAAGTCTATCATATTGGAACTGCCAGTTACAAGGTTCAATTGAAGACTGGTGAAGTGATCTTTATCATGACCAACGGAGGCAATCATTTGATCTATGTTGGTTCTACCACCACAGTCTCACCTGCCCTCTTGTCCACCAAGAGTACTGTGATCCAAGGATCTATCAGTCAAGTCTTCCTTTCATTTGATCACAAGAAGTTGTACGTTGCTGGTTCCATCTCAAGAGTTGGTGGTACCACTTTGACTTCTACTTCTGGAATCAGAGTCATCTCCTTCAGTATTAGCTCATTGACTCAAGGAGCTTTGACTACCTACACTGAACACACTTCTAACTATGCCTTGACCAATACTTTGAGCTCTTGCGTCACTAATTTGTATGCTTTGGGTAACGGTAATTTGGTTTGTTATCAAGGAACAGTTTTGGGTAGCCACTCCTTCATTGCCTATGATGGCAACACTTGGAGAACCTTCACTCCAGCTTCCGTTGGTAACACTGTTGCTTTTGCTGACTTTTTGGTTCATCAACCAACCGGAACCTTGTATGCCAAGGGTGTTGATACCACTTCTAGAGCAACCAGTTTCTACAAGTATGATTCGAACAGTGATTTCCAAAACATTAGAACTTTGAGTGTTCCTCCATCCTATGCTAGTGCTTTCAATTTTGTTGCTCAATGGACTTTGGGTTCCGACTCCTTGTACTACACTTTGACTGTTGGTAACAATGTTTATGACAGTGCTGTTGCTTCTCAAAACGTTCAACAATTCAAATTGGACTCTCCTGCTACCTCTGTTTCTTTGGGTACTACTCGTTTGTCTGGTGCCTTGACAAGAGTTGCTGCTGATAACAGCTCTATTGCTCAATATGTCACTGCCATGTATTATGATTTCAATATCAAGAAGTTGGTTTTGGCTTTGAACACTGATAACATTTATCAAGTCTATGGTTCAAGAGATACTTGGTCCGATGATAACGCTGTTGCTTACAGATTCCAATTGATGGGAGAGTTGTTGGCCTATGATGAGACTTCATCCAAATATGTTGTTCCATACGGAGGTGGTTACAGATTGAACACTGCTACCTTGTTGTACTCATCTGCTGAATCCGGAGTGACTTGTGTTGTTTCCTCTAATCCACCTGCATCAGTGGTCTATTACAGAACTTGGGCTCCACACTTTGGTCTCTACGATCCAGCTCAAGACAAATTCGTTGCTGATGATAAGGCTGTGAGTGGTAACGTTGATACCATCTTCCCAAGTACTAAGGCTTCCGTCATCAATGCTATTGAGAACTCTCATGGAAATGGTATTGTTTATATTGGTGGTTATTTCAGATCCATCAACAATGTGGTCTATAACTCGATTGTTTCCCGTGCTCGTGATGGTACCTTGTCCGCATTGGCTGGTGGTTTGCTCCAAGTTGATTACACCTATGAAAACTTTGATAAGGCTGCACCAGGTGAAGTCAAGAAGATCATTCGTTCCAACGACAATAGATACTTGTTCGTTTTGGGTTCTTTCAATAGAGCTGGTTCTATTTTGTGCAATGGTTTGGCCATCTACAACATTGAAAAGGCTACTTGGTCTCGTCCTGAAGGTCTCTTTGATTCCACTGTTACCTTCACCGATATGGATTACGATGGAAGATACTTGTATGTGATCGGATCCAATTTGGTTCGTGTCGGAAAGTACGTCGTCAAGAATGTTGCTCGTTATGAAGTCTCCACTGATACTTGGTATCCAATGAACGGTGGTGTTGATGCTTCCGGATCCAAGGTCTTTGTTTACAATGGAAAGGTTGTTGTTTACGGCCCATCTACAGGAAGCTCTGTTGGTTTTGTTTCTGGATTGGCTGTTTGGGACTCCAACTCTTGGAAGACTATCAGAATGGACGGAGTGTCTCAACCAAACTCTTGCAGAACTAACAAGTGGTGTACTGATAACCTCGGAACTGTTGTTCCAACCATCTATAAGGGTAATGCTTACTTTATCGGTCCTGCTGATGTTAAGGTTCCAACTGATAGCTCATTCTCTGCTATTGAAACTTATACTACTGCTGCTGTTCCAGGTTCTGGTTTCTTCAATTATCCAAAGTCCAACACTCTTGGTATTGCTTCTCCAACTGCTAACAACAAGTTCTACGAATTCAATTACAACACCATGAACTTGCAACATACTCAAACCAGAGATGATGGTGACTTGGCTGATGCTACCATCCAAGCTATGAGTACTGGTGCTAGGTTCACTGTTTCTTTGGCTTTGTTGTTGGTTTCTCTCTTGGTTGCTTTGCTCCTCTAAACATTTGATGTCGTAAGGCTTCAATAAAATTTTATTCTTCCAAAATATTTTCGAGCTGTAACGTTGTGAACTTGTCGAAGAAAACAATTTTTCATCTAGTGCAGCGTTGATCCATCTCCCCTACTGCTGCTACATCTTGTATTCAATAAGCAAGGCAGCTGCAAATAAAAGTGCTTGATCGAGAGGATCACAATTTTCTGGAAAGTCAATCACGACATTGTCTAACGGTGCAACCAACTCATTCATAAATCCACTTGATTGTTTGACAATGCAAGAAGTGCAGGTGTATTTGGCTTTTCTGCGCCCATTTTTGAACCTTCTTCCTTTCTTTATAATGTGAAATGCTCTTGACACGTCTGTATTCTTGTTTGAAATGATGTATTTCGTTTTCAGTATCTTGTTTTTTACGTAAATTGTTAATCTGTTCATGTGGAAAGAGAAGCTCGAAGACACTGTTCCAATAATCACTCCATCTGGAGTACTAACTTGGAATTTAGATGAAAATATCGAGTAATAGCCGTTGATGATGAGTAGTAGCTGAGATTTCGTTTCCTTCTTGTTCAATTTGGGTGAAGAAGCATTCGTTGCGTGTGAGCTATCTGATTTTGCTGATTCCATGTCGCTTTTGTATTGAAACGAGGGAGGTATTTCTACGTACACTTCTGAGTGAATGTGAACTTTGTGTAAATGAACTCTACCATTGGTTGAAGCTATTGCTTTCATTCGTTCCATCTTCGCTGACTTGTCTGCATCCTCCATAAATCGTTGTTGCAAGTTCAGGAGGGTTTCATCATCTTCCACTTGTTCCACTCTTCCAATTTCATCTGCATAGGCCAAAATGTATCTGTCTGCATACAGTTCAAAACACTTTGCAATAGAGCATAGCAGAGCACTTGACGAGAGAGCGTAACGATCTTGAAATGCAGCACAATCAGATACATCCACTAAATTCACGGCAGGTTCTTGTTCCATAATTTTATGATCGTCATAGAATTTCTGAAAAATTGCATCCATCTGTTGTTTCAGCTTTTTGCTTTGCTTTTTTTCAATAAGCTTGGATATAAAGCTCTTTGCAGTGTAATGTCCTTCATGAGAGACAGGAAAACTCAATACGTTTCCACAAAAACCTCTACTAGATTTGAAGGAAAAGGACTTTGAGTTTGCAACATGATTTTCCACAATGCTATAACATGTTGGTTGTGAAATGGAATTTTGTTTGATAGGTAATAAAAGTAATGAATGATATTCGGTTGGCCCGTTATCCCCGATGCACTCTGCGTGAGTCATTGATTTAGGGTGATGATTCAATTGCGTATAATTGTGGTATTTCGTGCAAAGTTTAGAGAATGATATCCACCAAATATACGTAGCAAAGCTCGATATACCTACCAAATGTTTTAGAAAATAATTTAGAAAGTAATTCTTTGTTATCGATAGATGAATTAGCATGTTCTTCTTTCAAAAATGTGTCACTTCTTAATACAGTTTTGTCGGGAGTAATTTGTGTATGAATGGCGTCGAGACTTCTTGATGGCTGCAAGGTTGATGCGTTCGCTGGCGCGATTGATTCTACATTGTTCATATGATGGTGATCAATTGCTGCTGCAGATTCAATATCAAGTGTAGGTAATAGATCATTCATTTTGTTGCTTTCCAAAAATATAAATATTGAGAAATAGACGTTGCTTAAATTAAATGGAAATAAATCAAAAAAGGAAATACAGTCCGGCACGAATTCAAGTTGTCTAATTCCAAGAACGACTCGTTCATGTTGAGAAATCTGTAGTGCTTACAATGATTGAAAGTTCGAGTACAGATCTGAGGTTTGTTGAATTGACCTTCACTTTGCAATGTAAATTACAATAAGCAGAACAATAATTGCTAAAATCCACGAGTACAAGTAATTTCCAGAGTGACTTGCTTCCTCAATAGTTGAGTTTGAAGTGCTGTCTTGTCTTGAAGATCCAACAGCTTGGCGTGCTTCTTCTCGAGCATTTTTCTTTGCCAATTCAACCAATTCAGGAAACAATTTGCAATACAATGGAATTTTAGAGTTAAACTCAGCACTGCTCTTGGCCAGACGCTTCTTCTCTTCGGAAGTGGAAGTCATGGATCCATAAGTGGTTGCGTCCTCTTCCAACATGAAGCTTAAAAATCCTTGTAATATTGAGCCAACATTCCACAGAGGATTCCAACTTTCTTTGTGGAAATTTGTATTGCTCATACAGATTCTTGTATTTGTTTTGAATCGACCATTCGGAGTGATTAGTTCAATGCTTGGTGGCTTGTACGGATAATCCACAGGAAACACTGTTGTTGCAGTATGGAAAATAACCAGGATAATCAATATTATTAAATTAATTTTTGAACCATCACAAGAAATTAAATAAATAATTATTATTAATTACCACGAAAAGAGAAATTAATAATTATCAATGACACCATCACTTACCAATTTTTCCGTAATAAAAACCACCTTTATATGGATCATAGGGCAATGAATGGATGACATAGTGCCATTCAAATAAATTATTTTCCAAAGGCGAGCATTCAATGTGTTCAATCGGATTTTTCTTGATCTGTGCCAACTCCTTTCTGAGCCTATTCTAAACGTATAAAAAGATACAATTGTTAGGAATGATTGGTCGTTGATGATTCCGATGAGAAATGATAATTCATCACCTACCAATGCTTGATTTTGATTCATTTTTTTGTAATCTTTGAAATCCGATGACAAAGACTGTCGTTCCGTAAATGTGAAGGGAAGAGCAGCATGAAGGAGCCAAAAACATTAGTGAATTGAAATTTTAAAGCTAACACTTGGTTGAACAGAAATGATGCAACATATTGCACTTCAATGTGAAATTCAAAGCGTTATGTGTGATTGTTTTAGAATGACTATAAAGATGCTTTATGTAATGAAAATTCATAATTAATTCAACAATTGCAACATTATATCACACAGCTGCATATCCTTGATTCTTTTAAGAAGCGTTAATGGAAAATTCTTTTTGTCATTTGTAACGTAAAGTGAAGGAGAAATGAAACGTTTCAATTTTTGATTTGGTTTGGAAATTAGTAATACTTTCTTAAACTGTTGAATATCGAAATCGGACAATGAGTTTACAATATGATATTCAAAAGGTTTAAATTTCTGTTCTTGCATATAAGGAGGTGTTTCGATAAATGCCTTGTGATATTCATTGACCATAAAATTCACTGCCATTCTCACAGTCTTATCTGGGATGTGACAAAGTTCAGGTCTAATCTTCAAACTTACTGCTCGGCTTGTATCGAATGCGTCAATTTTCTCGACTAGGATATCAGGTTTCGTTAACACTAATACTAATCTGTATGTATCAAAACGGCGGGCAACCCCTTTAAAGCATGTTAAGCTTGTTTCCATTCTGTTGGTTGAGGACTTGTAGATATAATCATTCTGAACTGTCTGATCAAATTCACTTAATGAAGCAAAAACTAGAATAACATCACCCCACATATCTACTCCCCACCTGCCAGGTCTTGACCCATCTACATCAAATAATTCATGTGTAAAAGTTGCACCTGATTCTTTGCTAGAATAGTAATAGCTTCGATAATAGATATTTGAAAATGATTGATATTTCCGAAAATCAAACTTAATATTAGATTGTAGCTGCTGCATGAATGCTACCAAATTTTGATTAAAATTATTCCGATGATCTTGCAATCTCTCTCGCAAATAATATTTCTTGAAATGTAGATTATTCCACAACGTCAATAAACAAGAACGCCAATTTAAATCACCATGAATGGTACTCTTAAAAATCACGTCTTTCCAAACATCTCTATTCTCATATTTTGTAATATATCAACAATAATATCTTTACAACAATTGTCCAATCTATGCTCATAATCTTCATCTTGTTCGTATTTGGTTGCTGTTATTTCCATACAAACACTTTTAAGACCATAAAACACAGTACTTTTTCCTGTATCATGGAGTCCTAAAAACAAATAACTACAATTATTATAATTTGATTTGTCGCTTCTGGGAAACAATAGGATGTCTTTTGATGATGAAGTCGCGATTGGATCACTATGTGTGGATTTACTGTTCTTTGCTCCCATTTTTTTAATAAGAGAATAGCATCTCAAAGACTCAAACAAAGAGAGACGCTTTTGTGTACAATTCTCTTTAGCGATGATATTTAATCATCAAAAGAATGAATAATTTTATACGGGTTAAGAAACCTTATTAAAGAAGATTTGAAACATGGTTACTGGTGTTCATATCACGCTCATGATTACTTGACATTTTAATTTTGTAGAGAATTTTTTTGATAAATAGTTGTGATTGTTGTTTATTGTAGGTTAGGCTAAAGGAGGTGATGTTTTGATATATTGTAGCAAATACTTAAATGTGCTACCATTTCGAATTAAAAAATCATTCTTGGCTGGATGAAGGCATCAAGATGATCGTGTTGTGTGAACTCTTCATACTTGTAATGTACATTACTGTGTGTGGATTAGGAAAAACAATCTTATAAAAGCGTTGATAACAACGGGTTATCGAGGTTTCACACGTTCTGAGAGAGCCAATCTAAGCCTTCAAATAATCCTTCACCAGTCTTGGCGCTGCAAGGTTGAATGGTAAATTGTTGTTTGATACAAGCACACGTCCATGTTGAAGAGGACAATGATGAAGTGGAAGAAGAACCCTTAATAGTTCCGGAATAATGAGTTTTCGTGGTTGAGGCGCCAGAAGCAGCAGCAGGCCATGAGGAGGTGGAAGAAGTTGGGGTGGTTACTGAAGAAGAACTAAATGATGATGATGAGGAGGACATGCAAGATGAATCTACAACGCCTTGATTAGTGTTGAAACCACTCATTCCCAAACATTCCTTCTTAAATTCCTCGACACTACATGCTCCTTCAATATCTTGCTTATTGAAATAGATGAGAATCTTACAATCGGAAACGAGTTGATTATCAGTAACGACATGAATCATTTCTCTGACTTCATCAAAACGCTCACGATCACTCGAGTCCACCACAATAATCACTGCTTGATTCTTCTCAAAATAATGTTGTGCCAATTGTTTGGTTTTAAAGAAGAAGCCTCCAATATCAAACATGGTAAAGACGGTTCGTTTGTACTTTAACACTTCCACGTTGAAACCCAAGGTAGGAACTGTGGATGGTAAATTCTTACCCTTGTTGTGTTTGAGTTTGAGCATGATGCTGGTTTTACCTGCATGATCCAACCCAACCATTACAGCCTTGGCTTGCTTCTTTTTTGTTCGTTTTCCGAACTTGCTGGACTTGGAGTTGTTGTTGTTGTTGTTAGATAATGTATTATTGTTGTTATTATTGTTATTAGTAGGGAGGTCATTGTTGCTGCTATGACCACTCGAGCTCGAGCTATTGCTACTGTTGTTGCTGCTCCTAGAGGAATGTTTGGATGCGTTGGCAGGATTGGCCAACGAAGAGCCGTTATTACCTTCCTTGTTTTGGTGTTTATGAGAAGCTTGTCCCATCTTTTGAATGCAAATTAGCAAATTAAATGATTTGAAAGTAGAGAGAAGTCTAAAGACACAACAGCAAGTCTTATTGTTATGGCTGTTTTGTTTTGTGCTGTGGTATTGCAACAATGTGGCGTTCTTCTCCGGCAATAAATTGCAAAAAGCGAAACGTGAATGTGTAAACTTGAATGAATTTCAGAGAGTGGAAGGTGGTTAGAATTTCTTGGATCAATGCGGCAGCTGATTGAAACAACAACTACTGCTATTTAAAGTGTCACACCTGATGACTAAAAATCCAAATAAAGAATCAATGGATTGTTGGATCCGAAAGACTCACGTTGCGTCTAATTGTACACGTAATGACGCTACAATTGTTGTTGCTGTTTTTTAATCTTTTGTTGATTGAGCATTGGCAATCCAACCCCGACTCCGTCGATCGAACACCACTATCACGCTTCTCATTGCCAAAAATTGGTGCGCTAACGATTGTGTCACGCGTCGATGAAGAAAATTGTGAAGACCGATTTTTATTCTAATTCAAAAAGGTTCCAAAAGGAAGAAGGTTCAGCTTGACATGGCTTGTGAGATTCATTGATTTTGAGTGTTGTTGAGGAAACTCTAGTGAATCCAATAAAAGTATATGTATGTCATGTAGAAGGAACTTTGAAAGTATTTGAAATTCCAAGATCGATTCCTTCCCGACATCACGAGTTGTTGTTTTGGGCACCAGTTGGAATTCTCCAATTAGGTTTAGCACGAGCTCATTATTTAAATGCGTACAAGTACCCTTATTGAAGGTCGAAACTAGTCGAAAGTCTTCAAATTCAAATAAATATATTTAATTTCCAGAGCGCTCCAACAATTGTTTGGCAACTCTCTTGGCCTTCTCTGCAGAAATTCCCAAGTGAATTCTAACCATGCCAGTGTTGTCATTTCCTGGAGGGAAGAAAATACTGGCTGGTGACACACCAACACCTAATTTCAAAGCTTCCACTACAGCGTCCAAATCTGAAGCTGAATTGTGTTCAAATAATCCATACATGGATCCAGAAGGTTCAATAGCTTTCCAGCCCAAACTCTTGCAGAATGCATCTCTCAAGATTTGCCAATTGTCGAGCATGAGTTGACCAGTTTCTTTGACATGTCGTTCGAAATCTACCAAATCTTGTGACAGGTATTCGCCCAATGCATGTTGGAAATAAGGAACACAGATATAGAGAGGATCATGAGCACGCATCAATGCATTAATCACGTCCTTTTGTGCAATGACGTATCCACAACGCCATGATTGGCAACCCATATTCTTGGAAAATCCTCTACACACAATGACATTCTTCAAAGTATTCAAAATTTCATCGTTAGCAAGTGGACAATAAACGTGATCAATGGTGAGTTTTCCTGTTGATTCATCCTTTCTCCAAACCATGTCACAATAGCATTCATCCAACAAGACATAACAATTGTATTTGGCACACAAGTGAGCAAGTTTTTCCAATTCTTCCTTTTCATAGACTCTAGTGGTTGGATTTCCAGGATTGCAAATCATGATACAATCCAACAAACCCTTCTTCAAATAATTTTCCTCAATGTCCACAAAATCAATATCAAATCTTGGTGCAGGACCCAATTTTACGAATCGAACATGTTTTTCGTGAGCTTCTTTCGTATTACCGAAAACACTTTCAACATCTCGGAGATGGTATGTATAGAAAGGAGTCATTAATCCGATTTGAGTTTTACCTTGTTCTTTCATCCAAAGTAAAGTGCTCAAACATCCAGCAGTTACTCCTTGCACTGCCAAAATATTATCCAATTCCAAATTCTTCATTCCGTAATGATTTCTCAACATGTTCAACAATCCTTCTCGATACACAGGTTGACCCATACGAGCTCTATATTGATGTACCGAATCATCCATTGTAATTTTCTGAAGGAGACTTCTCAATGTCATGGGAGGAGCCAACTCAATCATACCTGTGAATAATGATATCACAAGTCCGATAATGGGAGAAATAATATACCATCATCACAATTTTTTGAAATAATAATTAAAACCTACCTTGAGCAACGGAATCCAATCCATGTTTCTCGCAATAATCGAAAATATCCCTCATAGTGGCTCCCTTTGGGAGTGAAGGTTGTGGATTTTGGGACATGATGAGTTGTGGATGATGGAATTTGTTTTCGCTAATTTTTTTTTCAGCGAAAGAAAAGATTTCCTACAAGATTCATCGAACAATTTGAAATCCTTGTTGGAAATTCAAGACCAGCTTGATGATGACCAAGATCCAGTGTATTTGTTTGGACAGAGTTTTGGAGTATGGAAACAAAATTTAGTTACAGTATGAATAATGTTTAAGATTGACTAACACATTTCATTCATTCATTAATACTGCAACTAAAAGTTGAAAATTGAAATGACAAAGACAAGCAGCACGATCAAGTTCAAGTTGCCACTCTTAAAATAGTTCCTTCTCCACAAACAAAATGTCTCAAAAGAAGAAACAGACCTCTTTCTTGTTGGAGTCATCAACATTGTCCAATCAACCACCATCTTCTGCCAATGACCAAGCCGATCCGTTGAGTTTTCTTTCAGAAATTCCCTCACAAGTACCACGTGATGAATCGGATCCTTCATTTACAAAATCCTTTGATCCACTTACCGAAATGACTCAAGCCAAAGAGTTCTTTCAAGAGTGGGGTTTTGCTGTATTCCGTAATGTTTTGAATTCGGAACAAGTTGAAAAATCCGTTCATGATGTGTTTGATTATTTAGAATCAGGACAGGCCTTGAATACGTATTCACGAGATTTACTGAAACGAAATGAAACTCCTTTGAAACGAGAGGACATATCCACTTGGACCAACTCGAATTGGCCAGCCATGAAAGAAGAGGGTATATTGGGTGTTCCTCCTGTCTTTACGAAACAAGCCATGGAAAATAGACAAAACGAATTATTGTATCATGTCTTTAAGGAAGTTACTGGACAGGAAAAGTTATGGGTTTCCATGGATCGTTATGGATTTTTCAGACCTACCAAGAATGTTTCTGTTCGTTATCCAGCAAATCATGTCAAGAAGAAGAATGAAGAAGGAAATAATCAAACAGAAGAAGGACTGAAAGAAGAATACATCACAGAAGTGAAAGACTTTCCCGAATACAAATCCAAACGTAATGTTCACTTTGATAGAAATCCTTGGTCCTATGTCTTTGACTTGAATTCACTCTCTGGAGCATTCCCTCACGATTACATGTATTTACCTGGATTTTGTGTTGAATACAATGAAGCAGGTCGTTACGACGATGGAATTGTGAAATTGCAAGCCTTACTCAATTTTGTGGACAATCGAGAACAAGATGGTGGATTCATAATTGTTCCAAAATTTCACAAACACTTTTTAAAATGGGTCAATGCCACAAAGAAAACACTTGGAGCAAAGCATCATTCGAGTTTTTTAGTGTTAAATTCCATTCAAAAGGAAATTGCAGAGAAGGGGGTGAGAGTTCCTCTTCGTGCAGGAGATTTATTGATTTGGGATATTATCATGCCTCATGGATCGGCACCGAATGACAGTGAGAGGTATCGATTGTGTCAATTTTTGAAAATGTTTCCTGCACAACCTTTGAAGAAGGAAAGGATGAAATTGATTCACCAAGCAGTGCAAAAGAATGGAATGCATGTGACCGAGCTTGGAGAAAAATTATTTGGGTTGAAAGAGTGGTGACAGCTCACCGTCAGTTGTCATTAAGGTCTGTACTGTATGCGCAATCCAATATTCATTGAAATAAACCATATTGGATTGACGCACCTTTTCACATGGATGGGACGGGTGAGCACAATAATTCCTCCGCGTTTACGGAATCCTTACTTTTCCTCCACTGGAATCATTCATTGAATTGACAAAATAGGAATTTTTCTTGCAGATTCGTTTCACACTTAAAGCTCACAATCCTCCTACATTGCATTCTGGAAACACAATTTAAAAATGCAACCACCTTTCTCATTCCCATCACAAGCTTCACCAAATCATCGCATTCTCAACGATGACGATCTGAAAAACAAATACAATGCAACCTTTTCAAAAGTCTTTCAAGAAATTTACGAACCCTCGACCAACATTACAGCCCAGTCACTCATCTCCTCTCTCGGCATCAACACCAAGAAACATATTCTTGATATCGGATGTGGTGCAGGAGGCTCGGGATTTCTCATTGCTTCTCAAATGCCACCCAATGCTGAACTCGTTTGTATGGACCTCTCTCCCGACATGATTCAATTAGCTCGCGAACGATGTGATATTCTGACTCGAGAACCCTTCTCTCGCAAAATTCAATTCGTAGAGGGATCTGCTGAGAAACTTCCATTTGCAGATGAAAGTTTTGATGCTGTCTTTTCCAATTATTGTTTGCATGTTATTCCCAATCCTGATCACATGTTGAGCGAAGTTGGTCGAGTATTAAAGCACGGAGGAATGGCTTGTTTGAGTGTGTGGGGTCGTCCCGAGAAGAGTCCTCTCTTTACCATTCTACAGAAAGCAACTGTTGAATGTAAGAAGAGATTTCTGAACAGTGATTCATCCTCTGAATCATCTGAATCATCATCATCAACACCTCCTCCTCCTCCTCCACGTTCTCAATTTCATCTCTGTCATCGTGAATTATTAAGGGAACGTGTATTGAATACCACCATTCTTAAAACAAAGGATTGTTCCATCCTTCAACACAAAGAAAATACAGTGGACGAGATGAGAATACGAGTCTTTTCTCAATGTTTGGCTTGGTATCAATTTCAACCGTTTCAAGCCTTTGATGCTCGTGAGTTTGCCGAGTTGAATATTCTCTCACCCGAATTTCAAAACTTGATCCGAGGCTCGGAAGAGAAACGACAACAAGTATTGCAACTTTTGGAAGAAATGGCTCTTGAGATTATGAAGTCTACTTCAGAACCAATTGGAAATGAAGCCTTAATAGTGTGGATGAAAAAAGATTAGGTCTTTATTGTTTCATGTGGTTTTTTTGTAAAGGTGATGAACTTGTTTACAAAAAACGATAAAAAAAATTGTCTTCTTCTGATGCACACACAGCAAGTTCGTCATTTGATCTTCACAGATCCAATCACTCAAAGTACTAGCAAAATATCGCTCAATGTGAGCCATCAAAATGGTTGTACTGTGTTCTCAGCTTTTGTATTCCGACAATTATACGAGTACAAGTCCGAACCAAAAAGTGATCCCGAGCTTGATGTCTATAATAACTTTTTCAATCCGGCCATGACAGCTACATGGCAAATTCCAAATGAAATTTTGGTAATTTCTGTTGGGATTAAAAGTATTCAATTGTTTAGACAGAATTTAACTTCATATCAAGATTTGGAGAGACGAATGCAAAGTATTTTGGAAAAGCCTTTGATTTGTGTGTTGAAGGATCCAATGACAAGTGGAGGAATGAATTCAACATCTGTGCAACAACTTTTACCTGCAATTAGTGGATTGGGTTGTCATGTGACTGCATCTTCATCATGGAGCCCAACATACAGTGCTGTGAATGTGGCACTCAATCATCAACAAAAAGTATTTGACGCGGGCCAATACGATGTAGATACAGATAAATGTTGGGTTGCCGCTAATGGAGATAATAACCCGTGGTTGAAAGTGAACTTTGGAGAGTTGGCATTTGTTCATAAAATTGAAATTCAAGGGCGAAAGAAGTACCAGCATTGGGTGTCACAATTTGAATTGCATGCTTCACAAGATGGAGTGAATTGGATGGCTGTTCCTTACAATCCTCAATCCACGTTATTTCCTGGGAATACGGATGAATCAACCATAGTTTCGCACACGCTACAAAGCCCCGTGTTGGCGCGTGTGTTGAAGATTGTTCCCAAAACATGGCATACTGAAGCCAATATGAGATGTGAAGTATATATAACGTTCCCAGAAAAAGAGTATTACCATTCAACGATTTAGGTGGAATTATCTCGCTGAGGAAAATGTAAAATAAAAATTCTTATTTATTACGCTTAGGTGTTGGTGCATCAACAAAGCTCACTTTCTTGCGTTTCTTTTCTTCTTGTGGTTTCTTTTCTTTTACCGCCTTGTTTGACGTCAATTTTGAGTTATTGGCCTGTTGTTGCTTTTTTTTTTCTCGACCCATGTGGAGAGCTTTTCTTCTCTCCTTTTTATCGAGTGGCTTTTTGGTCTCATCCTCTTCTGGTTTCTTAGATCGTCCAATTTTAGTAGCTTTTATATTTTCAATAGCCATCTTGGTCATCTTTTGTTCTGAAACTTGCTTAATTTCTGACATGTAGTCAGGAACCGGGCAACCAGAATTCTTCAACACATCTGCAATATTTTTCAACAGAGGAATATCGTCGTAGGTGAAAAATGTTAAGGCCTCTCCACGCTGCCCTGCTCGACCTGTTCTACCAATTCTGTGAATATAATTCGAGACAGAAGTTGGGAAATCATAATTAATCACACACGAAATATTTTTAAAGTCCAAACCACGAGCCATGACGTCTGTACAAATTAATGCCCATGTTTTTCCAGTTCTGAAATTTTGAATCACCTCATGATTTTTCTTGTCACTTCGTTTTCCGTGAATATAATCGACACAATAATCGAGAGGATCACTGGCACCAGTATCGGTCGAGCTCGATGACATTCCTGTTGTGTTTGTTAAAGTGTATAGCATTTCCTTGTAAAGTTGTTTGGCTCTTTCAATGGATTGAACGAAAATGAGTACTGGAGGTTTCAGTCCTTCTACTCGAATTCGTTCTTTGAGAGCCAATAATTTACCTTCCTCAGAACCAACGAATACTAATTTTTGGTGAATGGTGTCGGGTCCTGCATTTCTCACACCTATACTCACTTGCACGGCGTCTGGTTTTAAAAGAGAGGTCTGTGTCTTCAATGTATGTTCCAAACTCAATGGAATGGTGGCACTGAAATATGCCTTTACCAAATTTGGATTCGTGCAAAAACTCAAAATTTCATCGACTTGTTCAATAAATCCCAAGTCAAACAAACGATCTGCCTCATCAAAAACTAGCATTTCCACATTGGTTAAATCAATAATTCCACTCTTAATCATGGTCAATAAACGCATGGGTGTTGAAATTAAAATATCATTTCTCTTAGATTGGAATTTATGATTGTCTCTCACAGCTCCTTGTGACTCTCCTGCTTCACTATCCACTGCCGATTGATCATTAAGGCGAATTTTCCAATCTTTTCCACTTCCTAACACTTCCAAATTTCGATAAATTTGATCAGCCAAAATCTTGGTAGGCGTAATAATTAATCCTCTAAATCCTTCTTTTCTTGGTTTTCCCAATAGACATAACATGGGTAAACAAAATGCAACTGTTTTACCAGAACCTGTTGGAGCAGCAACAAGACATTCTTTTCTTGACATGAGTACAGGAATAGCTTGCATTTGAACAGGTGTTGGTGATTGATATTTGAGCTTGGTTCTAATATTCCTATATAAATAATCACGAACTAAATCAGGATATCTATTTTTCAATTCGAGGAAAGAAACAAATGGTTTGTAAGGAGAGGTAAAGACTGTGGTAGTATCAGCATTGTCCATTGTTGTTGAAGAGGCCTCTTCCTGTGTTGATAAATCTCTCCTTTCAGAAATTTGTTTCTTCTTAATGGAAGCACTTGTCATGGTAGGAGCCAACAACATATCGGGATCCATCTGGCTCACAATTCCCTTGATTTTGATTTTGTTTTCCTTTCTAAATTTTCGAATTTCCTCTGCAGTAGTGAGAGGAGGAGGTAAATTTGCAATGAAATCATCCTCCTCTTCATCATTGTTGTTCAATGTTGTGTTGTCTTGTTCGGTAGAATTTTCTGATGTACTTGATGATGATTTCTTTAATTGTTTCATTCGTTCCATGAGTGAAGCCTTTGATGAGGAGGTTGCTGTTGGTTTTGATGTTCCGAAAAAGTCTAATGATGATGCTGGAAGTAATTGTTCAAACAACTTCTCATCGGCCATATTATGAATGGTCAAGGAAGCTTTCGTTCGGGCTGAATGTCCCTGATGATTATTATTGCTCTCCGATGATGAATTATAAAGTCCATTTCGTTGTTTAAAACTTTGAACTTGAGTATGATCAAACGAGAGACTCTTTGTGAGACTTTCAAATAAACTCGTGGAAGAGTCTTCTTCTTCGTCGTGTGGTTCAAAGTTTCTCATTTGATGACAATTCAATGTTTCTTTTTTTCTTCATCAAAAAATTTTACGAAGGTTTTTCATTAGTGCCATTCCGATTTCATTGAATTTTTCATCATTTGTTAAAATCAAAAGAAATTTCAATTGTTACTATATTCATAGGAGAGAAATTAATAGTAATATTGAACTTTGCGAAAATTGACAATTAATTCACGAACATTGAAAAATGTCATTCTTTCGGAAATTAAACAAGATGAGACAGGATCATCTTCGGAATGGTGGTGATTACGAGAATTATCAAGGAAGGAAAGATGAGGAATCTGTGGATGAAATCTATGATGCTAATACATTGGAAATTTGTTTTTCTTCCTTACCGAATGATGATTCAACATCTTCCTCTCAAGGCTTGAATTTCATTCTCTATAATCGGAGAAGAAAACCATCCCAACACGAATATTATTCGGCAACTTTTTATGAGCAAATGATTATGTACATTTCTGACTTATTATTCGGTAGACATGATATGAACACAAGTAGATGGTTGATGCTCATAGCTTGCATTTTGTCATTGCTTGGATATGTTTATTATCGATGGCTCTATTTGAAACGAAGAGAAGAACGTCAAGATTTTGTGGATTTGGCCCTTAGACAAAAGTATCGATTTTTAAAGTAACAGTTCTAGCAACATCTTTTTATCATAGATCATTACGAGATTGGAATTCAACAATGACAAGAGCCGGCGCCAATACAGCTCCATCCCTGCATTTATGAAAGCGACAAATGACCGCTGACCATCACAAACGCACTTTTGTCGCGTTACAAATTTTGGCTCAGGCAAATGTCAACAACGCAATGACAAGAAGAAAAAAATTTCACAACACATCACACTAGCTGCCAATCACGATCACTGTTAACATAGAACAATCATGGCACTCGATCTCTTTCAACTGTTGGTCATTGAATGGCCTTTCCCAGCTCTTGCACTTGGATTACTCGGAGTCGCTTGGGTTCTCTACAATCTATCGCGAGTGCATCATACATCTCAACGCACCACCTACTACTGGTGGCTTCCTCTCTTCTTTTACATGATTCATCAATTTGAAGAACATGGAATTGATGTGTATGGAAACAAGTATGCTTTCAAAGGTCAATTATGTGCCTTGCTAGAGAAGACGACCACTGAAAAAAGGGAATGTGCTGCTTCTGAATGGATTATTATGATCGTTAATTGTGGAACTGTTTGGATCATGTTGACATTGGTTGCACTATTACAATCTCGAACACGAAGGACTTTCACCTTATTGAAAGCAAGTGGAATTGGATCTATTCTTGTGAACGCTTGGAAACACATTGTTGAAGTGCCAACAACTGGTTGGACATATAATTCAGGACTTGTCACTGGTGTCACGATGTTTTTGCCATTGGCTTTGTTTTTAATGTATTTAGAAATTAAGGAAAATGGTGGATTTTCAAATGTGAGCTATGTGTTGAAAGTGATTTTTTGGAGCGGAGTGATGGGATTCCTTTCACATGCTGTTCTGATTGGTTCGTTGGTCATGGCCATGCAGGGACATTTCCAACATGTGAATCAAGAAGCTGTGTTGACCTGGATTCAATTATTGAATGGAGTAATTCCATTGCTTGGAGATGTCGTGTTAGGTTCCTATCCATCCAATGAGAAAGAAAAAGAATTGCAAAAGAATAAGTAAGCCAAAAATTTTTTGAAAGAATTGTACATCAAGAGTTGTGTATGGCACAACCTTTATGTCAGCATTGCAACCACAAATTTCAATAATTATCAATTATTATTAAAAGAATATTTAATTGTTGTGGAATTATTAAAATTTAATTTAAAAAAAATGCCTCCTCAACAACATCCTCCCAATTCACATCTCAAGAAACCTACCAACACGCTTCTCAACAAGAACACGACCACTCCTCCTTCACGGAAAAATTCGGGAGCAAGTAATGCCGTTGTTGCTGAACATAATACAACCTCTCCGAGCATATTACCAACATCATCATCGTCGGCCAATAATGAAGCACAACAGAGGAGAACGGTTCAAATGATTACACCACCACCTCCTCCTCCATCATCGTCATCAAGTGCTAATGCAAACGCATCATCTCAATCAGCACCAAGTAAAAGAGGTAGAAAGAAAAAGCAAGCAGAACAAGTAAAGAAGGAATTATTTATTAATACCGACGTAAATTCCTCGTTGCCAGTTGCTTTATCGGATGAAGGAAAACAAATCACAGGAAAATCAGAAAATATTCAACAAACTTCACCTCCTACCCATCCTACCACACCAACATCGTTAGGAAAGAAGAAAATTCGTCCCACATTTGCGATGGCAAAAATTAGAAGAATAATTCAATCCGATGAGGAAATTGGAAAAATTGCTGCTGTTGTGCCTGTTCTTGTTTCTAGATCGTTGGAATTATTTATTCAGGATCTCGTTACACAATCTGCAAAAATTACAAAGAAGCGAAACGCCAATACGGTAACGCCAGCTCACTTGAAAGAATGTATTGAATCTGAGGAACGTTTCGATTTTTTGAAAAACAAAGTTTCAAATATTCAAATCTTATCTACAAATCAAGGTGAATCAGCTGTAATGAGCGATGAAGGAGAAGCCAATAATACGGCCAGTGTTGTGGAAAAGCCAAAAAAGAAGGGAGGAAGAAAAAAGAAGAAGGTCAAGGAAGAAATCGAACATGAAGATGAAGATTTTGGTCATGAAGACACTTATGCAGATGAAACAACTCTACCCACTGCATCATCACAGCACGCATCAACAAGTTCAAAATTGCCAACCGCTACTTCAAATTCGTCAGAACCATCTTCGCAATATGCTCCTTCTGGAGTTGGAGACAGTCATTATGCATCAACTTCTGCACATCCTTCCTCATCGTCAGCATCTGTACCACCTCAATATACGACAAGTCAACAACCACAAGTACCGCCACAGCAATATACTTCATCTCAACCACAACAATACTACTCACAACATTCTCAAAACTATCCACATCCCTCCTCTCAACAACAATATTCATACCCACCACAACATCAAGCTGCTGAGCCTTCTCCCTCCGCCACATCTTATTCATCTGGAGCACATCATGCCTATCCAGCAAGTGCTACAGCAAGCATGTCATCCTATTCATATCCATATCCTTCTTCGTCACAAAATCAACCAGCAAATACTGCAAGCTACAACAACACTGCTTATTATTCTTCTCAACAGAATTATCACCAATATTCTCAGCAACTGCAAACACAGCCGCCATCAACGACTTCATACCATTCAACAAATCAACAATATCCGCAACACTCGCAATATTATCAACCACAAAGCTATCCACCACCTCAACAACCCTACAATGCTGTGCCTACACACTCTTCCTCAATACAGCAACAATCATCACTCTATGGTCATTCATCTGTTGCTGCTTCACCTCCGACAGGTTCTCAGCAACCATTTGTTTTGCCCAGTATTTCATCTCTCACGACTCAGCCACCACCTCACATTTAAACTATAAGCGTCCACCCAGAAACAAGTAGTTTAATATATTTTACAAATTTTATTGGATAGCAATTTTTTAACATGTACATTGATCTGTATCGGTATTTGGCCTAGGGGATGCTGCCGGCGTAGGCGTTGGAGTTGGAGTTGGTGTATTACCGCTCGTGTATGAGCTCAATAAGACATCACTCGTGACACTTCTAATCCATGGCAAGTAATTGGTGACATTGGCGTAGACACCAACATTATTTCCACCACATCCAGCAGGACCGTACGACACAATTCCGACCAACACTGGAGCATTTGAATCTTTGCTGTTCAAATAGAATGCTGGACTTCCTGCATCTCCACTACAAATATCAACTCCTTGAGCAGAACCACCAGCTCCAAGGCACATTTGAGAAGGGCCTGAAATGGTTAATTGTTTTTGAGAGCAAACTGAGGTTTGTTGAAGTGGAATTTGACCCTTTTGCAAATTGTTGACACTGCTGCCTTGGTTTTGAGTGGCACCCCAACCAGCAATTTGAAGTTGTGCTCCGAAGGGTACTTTTGCAGATTCAAGTTTGAAAGATTTCACTTTGCTGGACATGGTCACTAGAGGTAGATCTTGTGACAATTGAACAAGAGCAATATCGTTGGTAATGGTGTAGACATCAAAGTTAGGATGAGCTACGACTTGAGACACCGTTCGTACAATGCATCGACCAGTGGTGTCTTTATAACAATTGTTATTTGAGGTACCTGCAATGACCACAAGTTTTGTCAAGTCAATTCCTTGTACACAATGAGCAGCTGTTATTATGTATCGCGCATTGATAATGGAAGCTCCACAGAAATGGGAAGGTGCTTGGTCTGCAGCACTTTGATATTGGATACTCACAATTCCTGCGAATTCTGACTCGGATGCTTGTGTGCCACCCGAGAGTTTGATGCTGGCAAGCGTGGACTGGCATTCCAAAAAGAGGACGATAGCGAAAATACAGGCCAGCAGTGCGAATGAAAGTTTTGTGGGAGTAGTTGTGTAGTTACTGGTTGACATGATTGGAGTTGTTGTTTTGTGTTGTACAATTTGTTTAATTGTGAAAATACAGTGTAATGAGTAATTGCTGTGGTTTTAAAGTGTTGGAAGAGTTTACCAAATTGTCGATTGGTGAAAAAGTTAGAAAGGGAAGTGGATCATGATTGGCGCGTTATCTAGTTTTCAATATATGTAGAATTAGCTATGATTTTAGAGAATGGATTCCAATTCATGAGCGCAGGGAGATAGGCTGAAGAAGTTTTGAATTAGTGAATGTTGTACAGGTTTGGTTCATGGCAATAGATTTTCATTACTCTTTTCCTCAATTGTCATGACGCTCACATCACAGAACGCTGCATGATTGGACGACTTTAGGAGACGCGATTTAAACATCTGCATCATGTTTAATGAATGGTGATTGATCGGTGGTGTTCACGGGCAAAATGATGCAAATTAGTAGGTGTAATCACCATCACAGGAATCATTGGTTGAGGGAATGCATGATTAAGGAAACAGTTATGAGTTTTCACAAAGTATAATTGCATTGTAACAGTTCATGACTCACACCCAAACTTACCTGCTTTCTCTTTCTGATCAATTTGTACACCTCATAGTCAAAATTTTCTAGCAGCTCTACAATGTGCAAATGACCTCTCTCAGAAGCGATATCCTTTGGTGATTTTCCCTTCTTACATTTCATATTCTTATCAGCTCCTCGTTTGAGAAGGAATTTTACAATTTCATAATGTCCATGATTGGAAGCAATCCATAAGGCAGTCTTTACAATTGTGAGAAAAAGGGAATCAACCATTTCACATGAATTAGGTTAATAATCATTATACTTACATGTTCGGACTATTCAAATAAGCATGATGAGGTAATGCATTCACCAAATGTCAAGTTTGGAAATGTCGGTTAGTTCTTGAGGCCTGCTGTAATATCGAAAGAGACTACTTACTTCCTACAAGATGAATTGTATTCAGATTATACAACACAAGATTTATCGGAAGGACAGTGTTATAGAGCTTTTCTAGATATTATATCGATACTTACTTCGTTTAAATCATTAACACGAGCTCCCAAGTCTACCAAATATCTCACGAGAGGTAGCGAGCCTTTGGCACACGCTGAATACAATGGTCTTCTACGGAAACACTTGTCATAGTGATTAATCAAATCAATAATTTGCAAAGGTTTTACAGGTGCAGCGAGAGCAGCTCCATGATAGGCATAATATGCAGCGGTTGCATTCCGAGGTCCGTTTGTTGCTTGTTGTTCCATGGAAGCCTTATTAAGCTCTTCAAAGAACAAGTACATTTGATAGAATGAATTGGTTTCAATCCAGAATACGGTTTTGTACACCAAATATTCTAGTGGTAAAGGAGGAGAGGCGAGAGGAGCCACGGTAGCCATGGAATATTAGGGAATGGATAGCGTTCGTAGTTGGACTTGGTTTACAATGTATGATACAGCAGACTAGAGTTGCTCCTTTAGTAGCAGTTAGAATTTCTTCAGTTAGGTTAATAATAATACAAGATAGAACTAGGCAAGAATATCTTATTCTCCGATGCCTTCGTCTTAATTTAGAGTTTGAAAAATCTTTCGATTAAGAAGAACCAAAGCCTTTATCACGGACAAGTCTTTAAGGTGTTTTTTTTAAAAAAATTGCGGTTAGTTTGTATGAAAGAACATGCGAAAAGAGCGCAAAGAAAAAGGCTGTCTTTTTTGATGCATGAAATGTTGATCAGGTCTTTGATTCTCTTGGAATTTTTGGAATATAAATGTAGAATATCAAGGAGAATATTCAAAAGTGAGTTGATCTTAATGATTGGTGATGGGGCGTGTTCATTTTTAAGGGAGCTAGCATGACATGTTCGGCACCTCATTTGGCAATACAGTGGAGAAGATTGTCTTGCATCTTGGATCTAAGGTGTCACTCTGTCGTTTTGTTGAATGATGAATCTTATGGCTATCGATTATGAGAACTTGTAGAAATTCGTAAGAGAAGATTTCAGAGCAGGATTCCCAACCGTTTCAGACTTTCCTCTCAATTGTTGAAAGCATTACTCAGGGTCTTTAAAATGCGTTCCAATTTTCAAAATAAAACACCAAAAGTTTATTAACTCGACGAGAATAGTAGCATTCTGTCAGCTCACGTTTCACTTTCCATCCTCAAAAGTCATACGTTGGGATGGAAATGAAATTTTCCAAGAATTCTATTTCATGTGGTGATCAACTAGTATTAATGTTAGCTTCTTATCACTAAGAACAACAATACTAGTCGTGGTACCATGATAGTTATTCCAATCTTGATATCATCCGCTCTATCCTCTCATCAACAATTTTCTCACTCCTAACAAGATTTTAAAAGCAAGAAAAGTTCTCACACACCCTTATGAAATATGTCACCGCGAGAAAAGTTCTCGCTGAAAATGTCGGCGAGTTTTCGTTTTCCCGCCGAAAATTTCGGCAAGCACCTTCGACAAACGATTTCTCGTTGAACATAGAGGTGTAGCCTGTACAAACACAACCAACACTCCAAAACATGCACCTCCACAAGTACCTACTATTGTTTGATTGTAGTTTCTTGTTTCAGTAGAGTAACAATCTTTTTGTGGCCTATACGAGCAGCTGAAGTTTTGGAGAGCAACTTTGAGCACGTGGACTTGGCAACAACTTCTCCCAACAACGCCTGATTTGTTTTCGAGATTTTGTTCATCTTTGCTGGCACTAAAAGCCTCCAAAAAATTCTTCGGTGATTTCTCAAGAAATTTACAACCGAACCATCAGCGATGATTTATTCATCAATCTTCATCAGTTAGACTTTGGAATTGAAACCAATCCATCTATGGACCACCACCAACCAATAGTACTCATCATAAGGATAATGGATGGAGCATCATCAAGATTTAAATTTATTAAAATAACTTTGAATCATTGCTTTCTGATGTGATGATAGTGGAGTGAATACCATCTTGTTGTTGTGGTATTGGCTATCATCGCTTAATATTATGGATTTAGAGGTTGGTTTCATCAATATTTGGTTGAGAGTTCAACATGAAAATTTCTCGGCTTAGTCCCTAGCGACGTTTTGAGTGCAAGCATGAGATTCACTTGCCAGTACAATCATCAAACGACCTGAGGTGATTGTATGAACCAGAACAACAACGATATTGGTGGTGTTATTGACTGACATGATCATTTCATTGAATGGGAGTCATTCGGAGAGAAAAACTTTGATCATCAGCCCGAGCATGAAGGAGACATAATTAGATGTTGAAATCATCACTATTAGTACACAATAGTATGTCCAACATGTATACAAAGTTTGGCGACTTTCTTTGGAGGAAAAGTTCATCATCACAGTCCAATTAGGTTTGGCTTTATTCTCCAATAGTAATGACGGATTAGCACAGCCTGAATTTTCACTTCTCAAATTCCCATAAAACTTGATCAGATTGTATCGCTTATCATTTCAACAAGATTTCCATTGAATTTGCTCGGTACATCATTCCTACGCTTGAATGAGAGCATGACGGAGTTTGTTGAGTCTTATGAATTTTATCAAAATCAAGAATAGAACGTGAATTAAAATTTGAAATTAATTCTGGTGATAGATCACGGTGTGTCATATGAGTATACCAAGTTTGATGAAATTTTGACCATCACAATAAGATCATCGGCCGCAATTATTATCTTCTCGTACCATTAAAAAAATTGAGCCTCTCAGGATTTGAACCCAAAACCTCCTAAAGGCGGTAATGATGTTTTACGACAGAGCCACAGATATTTTCATTTTAAATTTCCTTCTATTATAATAGCAAACATTGTACAGCTTTAGGTATTTGGATTTGAGTCGGGACGAGCTACTGAGCACTATGGATCCTGTGAAGTGTTGAAATGCGTTTGGAACGCCTTTGGGATACTTGGTGCTTGAAAAGTTTTTCTCGCTGAACTGTCGGCGAGTTTTGTTCCTGCCGGAATTCTTGGCGAGAAAACGAAAACTCGCCGACTTTTTCGGCGCGGCATTTTTCTCCACGACAAAATATGTAAGGTGTGAAACTGCTGCTCCTCATCACTACTGGAGCATGGTATTATTCTTTGAAATCAGCTTAATCCGTATAGAGTTGACAAGATGGATGATAAATCACTTGCCAATCTCCAACAATGTATTGTCCACTTGGAAGAGGATCATACGAGCGTGGTGGTGTTGCTTTCATTGGTGTTTTTTTACAAGTCTTTCGATTTTTCTTTTGATTTGATGCATCTTGATTCCATAACTTGATGTGAGAAGGATCGTTGTACATTTTTAGAGTCACAGCACTCTTTTCAATGACATCCTTCTTTTTCATATAACAAATATCAGTTCTCAACAAGTACTTGACTCCAGCTAAAACATCATTTCCCTGATGCAACATTTCATGGCAGAACACAACAGCACTTCCCATTTCAGGTTTCAATTGAAAAGTTTCTTGCTTGGATTTGGCATCGAAAAATTGAGTCTCACCTCCCTCTTCCACATTATTGAGATAGATCAAAACCGTCAAGAAACTCTGTTCCAAATATTGAGCTTGAATTGTTTTTCCATCATTCATCATGGAAAGAATTCTCTTATTGGTTCCATCAAAATGTTTCAAAAAGTGTTGATTCTTTTCATACTTGTACAATCGGAATTTATCACTGACAGAACACAATTTCCATTCACGAGCCTTCTCAAGGGTGGAACAAACATCTGCACGATTCACTTCTTCAGGTAAGGCTTTCCAACGAAATTCCAAATTTGGAGGAAGATGATTGGCCATGCGTTTGAAAATAATTTCGCTAAATTCACGAGAGAATCCGGTCGAGTCTAAAATAATTCTCTGATTATTACGAACATCACTCGCGTGAATTCCACTCCAAACCAACGCATTGGTTCTTCCGGAACCAGTGATGGGAACTTGTTGGTAAGAAATTTCTTCTCCGTGTTCGATCATTTGGGCGCATTCGGAAGGAGAGAAGAGATTTTTGAAATAAAAGATACCTGGTTCAAGTTCTGAAAAGATGACCTTGTGGTTATTATTACTTTCGGTCATGTTCGAGTGTTGAGTTTTTTTTAATAGATTTTGTTCCATGAAGTTGTGATCATACTGGAAATGCAACAAATTGCAATTCAGAATGCACCTTATTGTTCCCAACGAGTTCAACA